TTACTGAATGGATACGCATAAACACTTAGATCATTATACTTTTTTCCAGTCGTTGGACTATCACAATCAATTGTTTAATTGTCTTGTGTATTAAGTGAATCGTAATTACATGCTCGTGAACCAAATAGTCAAATTACCTCATTCATTATGATGACCAAATTCACTAGTGCTGTCTTATTTTGGAATTATTGCCAAATATGTACACAAAGATATCTGTATTAAGTAGTAATTTATCGTTGTTGTTTCATCTTCTTCTATCTTTTAAAAAGTGAGCTGTAGGGGGGAAAACAAAGTTAGGTCCTCCCTCCAAATCAAAACAGCAAAAGACGTCCTACAACAACCTTGCTTTATTTTGTCCGATCTTTGCACATAAATTTGGACTTAATAGTTAATATGTTTTTTAGTTGGGTAAATGCCACATTTGGTCACCGAGATTATTAAAGTGTGTCATGTTTAGGCACTAAAAATTTTTAATATAAATTTTTGTCACTCGAATTACTGAAACAGGTCACATTTGGTCACTCTCCTGTAGCCTCTGTCCAACTCCGGTCACTCGAATTATTGAAACATGTCACATTTAGTCACTCGAATTACTGAAACATGTCACGTTTAGTCACTCTCCCGTTAGTTTAATGGAGTTGGACAGAAACTAATGGGAGAGTGACTAAATGTGATCTGTTTCAGTAATTCGAGTAACCAAAATTAATATTAAAAATTTCTAGTGACTAAACATGACACGATTTAGTAATCTCAGTGACCAAATGTAGCATTTACCCTTTTTAGTTGTGTTTGTTTTCTTTTTCCTGTAGCCTTCATAAACAACAAGAAAGCCCTATAACATAAGCAAATCGATTTCAGAATTTTATTTTCCTTTATCATTGCCGCCTCCTTTTAAAGGAAGTTGAAGTGTTCACTTGTAGGTAGATTTTTTTTTTACAAAAGATAATCATTTGTATTGATTGGAAAAATAGATACTTACATTTTGTAATTAAGCCATGTCAAAAAAATTAAAAAAGTAGCTCGAAGTTGGGTACAATGAAATGGCATTTCTAGCCACCAAATGGGCTACCCTATTGCTACGGCGACCTACAAATCGCACACTAAACCCACTATGGATCGCGAAATAATGCACGACCTCCTCGAGAATAGCCCCCATCAGATTATCCCTAGTATCATCACGATTAATCTTCTCAATGACCACTTGGGCATCACCTTCAAACCTTGCCACTGTAACTCCATGGCTCAAACACCAGAGAATAGCCTACCGGAGCACAAGCAGCTCAACCACCATAGGATCGTCAATTTACTGAAACTGCATCCCCTTAGCCATGAGGACCTCCCCTGCTGGAGTCAGAATAACCATCCCACCAGCCGAATGAGATCCACTCTTAGACTCTTAGTTTCCCCATCCCACTGACAAACACCCAAATTCGGATGTATCAGCCCCAAAGGTTGTGTGAGAGGAATGGAAGGATGGAGAGTGCAGTCAACAGACAAACTAATCCACTCCTGATATTGTTGGTTGAACTGGCGCAACAGAGTTGGTATCCCAAACTGTTTGCCCTCAAAGACAACCTAGTTTCATGATCGCCAGATCCTCCATAAGACCGCCACAACTGCCATGAACATTTGAGGTTGATTAATGAGCAACATCAACTTTTTTTTAAGAACAGCGGGAATGTGTGACGAGGCATCCCCTGACCCAGATACTCGAGTCCCGAATGATCCCATAGAGCACTGGCCACAGGGCAATCAGTAAACAAATGTTCCATTGTTTCTAACTCTGCCCAACAAACTGGATATTTGGGAAGCACCGGAACATCTTTCTCGATTAGGGCTTCTGTCATAGGCAAGATCCGGTTAAAGATTTTCCAAGTAGACACTTTCAATTTGGGCAGAATATTGGCTTCCCATAATCGATTCCAGTTGGGTCTATCCATCCAACTAGCCACAGATTTCCACCTACCACCCTGTTTATCTAGCAGGAGAGCAAAATGATAGGTTGATTTAACAGTGAAACCCCCGTCAGTTGTGCCATGCCAGATCAATCTATCCTCCACAGGGATGACAATTCGGGCCCGCCCCGCTGGGTATTACCCGACCTGACCCGCGATGGCGCGGGTATTACCCGATCCGTAGTAGCGTGGGGCAGGGAACGAGTATTGCCTGACCCGCAGTAGCGTGGGGCAGAGCATGGGTATGTACTTCCGACACGCTCTGCACTGCCCAGCCCCATTCTTGGCTCATTCTACTGCATATTCATTCATATTTATCATATTTTAACCTTTCTTTGATTACTTAAATTTGATCTTTCAACTAGTTAGACTCAATTAGTCATTCCATTACCACTGTTTTTCATTCATAAAGTATTTTCCCCTTCGTTTTGTCTTAAAAAGTAAAATTGTGCGTGTATTTTTCCAAATAACAGGTGAGAGTGGGTCGACCCTCCCCGACTAGTAGTATCATGGGGCGGGGCGTGGGTATTGAGGTACCCGCCCCGACCCATTGCCATCACTAATCCTCCACCTCTAAGCTAGAAAGAGTAATCGATTTAATAGCACGACAAGTCGTCGGGTCAAACCACTGGCTAAGTTTCTCATCACGCCAGCGTAGCTCCCCTTGGCACAGAACCTCTGCCACCGGTAGGTCTGCACCTTTAGGCAACACCTGTGGGTTGTACATTGGCGGATGGGGATGTAAGCGAGGAACCCAATCAGAATGAAGTAGAGACGCCATATGGCCGTTACCAATCTTTCATCGCAATCCCATGACCAATAACTGTCGGCCATAAAGGATACTTTGTCATCCTCATGACAGCCAATAACGCAAAGTAACACTCGCGAAGGTTCCATTTGGAAAATACTTCCCTTTGTAAACCTGGGTTAAGAGGGAGGTAGGATCGTTAAGGATACGTCATTCATCGTATCCTAGACTGCCATGGTAAGAGGGATCTATCACACATGAAAAAGACGATCGGTACAAAATTCACATGGCTATCTAATCACCCAGTCGTCTATTCCAATTTCACAAAGTTTTATGCAAGGTAATTGTTAAAGGCTAATTGACAAAGGATAATTGATCTAATTTGTCTCATGGTCTCTACATTATCCACCTTAGGGATTAGTGTCAGCCAAGTATGATGAATGAATGCTATGTAGCATCCTGCTCATAGTGAAAAATGAGCACACAGCTTCAATCACCGAATTGCCGACGACACTTGTAGAAGGATAAAACCGTATTTCTTTGAAAAGTTGACCTACGGTAAACATTCAAAGTTTATTGTCATGTGTTGGGTGATTTAGTTGGTTATCAGTTATCACGCTAGTCTCATAAACTAAAGGCCTTCAATATGAATCTAGTTTTTTTTACCAATAGATCACTTGTATTACCAAGGCAAAAGCTAGCAAAGTTTACAACCCAAGTAAGAACCAACGTTCAAAATCAAAACTATCTACAATCACAGGCAACAAAGAAAGGGTCATCTTGGCCACGTCATGGGCCACCCGGTTTAGGAGTGGGCAACCGGTTTGGTAAACCCGAACCGAAACCGAATTAAACCGAACCGAAACCAAATTAATGCTATTCGGTTTGGAATTCAGAAGGAAAATATGGATAGTTCGGAAACCAGAGTTTCAACCGAACCGAATATTCGACCGAAAAACCAAAATACTATAATTGCAAGCTCCAAATGGTGGATTTTTATGTTTGTAGTTGTTTTTAGACTTAAATATTTGAACTGTTTTATGACTTATGTGTTGAAAAGTTTGACTTTATCATTGATGATGCATATAATAGCATATTTGTTGTTTATATTAGGGGTGAAAAATAATTTAAAAGTGAGAAGATACAAGTAGCATCACAAATTCGGTTTTGTGGGAAAAATCGAACCAAACTGAATTATAATTCGGTTTAAACCGGCCGAAGCAAATTATAATTCGGTTCGAATTCAGTTTGAGGTTTGAGAGAATTAGGGGACCCAATATTCATAATTTTGGTTCGGTCAAAACCGAACCGGCCGAATGCCCACCCCTAACTTGGTTGTTACTCCTGCCGACAAAAGAGATCCCCAAAACTCTGATACTGTTGTCGAAGACTCGCAATCTCCACTAGAATTCGACCTCCCTTCACATCCCGTACATCCATCTTCGGTATTTTCTCGAAAACCATCTTCGCGTCCCCACAAAACATCACCTTAGTTAGACCCTTCGAAAAGCATCACTGAATCGCATCCCGGAAAACTACTAATTCTACTAGAAAAGAATCCCCGAGACCTGCATAATAAAAACTTATGACATAGCGAATACCCCCATCTCATCACGAACCACCAACCCCCTGCACCATGCGAACCATTCAAGACAACTCCATTCACGTAGTCTAGGTTTAATTTAGACAATTCTTATTTTATTTTTAAGCGGTTGACAAAGTCAAAACTACTAAGTTAACTGGACATAAAGTGGTCGTATGATTTCTAGGATTGTTTTGGTGAGATTATTACAATGCTTGCATTTTTTAGAGTACAAGTCTTTTATAACCATTTCTCCGGACGAGTGAGATTCATTTCTTGTTGCACCGTCGCAAATGCAAGTGAACAAAACAAGGTTTGAAGCATTAGAACTCCCGATCTGGGGGTAGCTGAGATCACTATGTCCGTTGGTAATCCGATCCTATTCTTGGACTTGTTGATGATATTGTCGCATCAATGATATAACTCGTAATGGTTTTCCTTCAAAGACAACCTAAATTTTGGATTTCCAAATATGCCAGCGGGCACTACACCTGTCATACTCTGATGGGGTTGATTGATCAATAGCATCAGCTTCTTGAGAAAGATTGGAAAGTTTTGGCGAGGGAGACTTTGACCTAGATATTCTAGGCCATAGTGATCTCATATAGCCCTTGCCACCTAGTTTAACATATTTTATAGCTTCATTTTCTAGGAATTCAATCAAATCAAATCGAAAGTACTCTTATATACTTAAAACCAAATCAATTCATATATCATACGATCTTACTCTCTATCTAATCTTCGACTCGATTACTATATGCACCCAATGTCCCAATTACTACCCACCCCTATGCTATATTAGTTAAGTGTCAATTCAAATACTTAACTAGCTAATGATCTTTAATTAAGAGGGAATTAATGGGTTACGAATGGCTGTGAGATGAAGAGAGTGTTTTCTTTCTTTCTTGGCAACCAGCTGTGAAAATTTTATATTTCTCCATCCCACTTGCCTTTCCCTCTCTAATGAATGACTGACTGCCCTCAACCCCACCCAACCAAACTCTTCTTCTCAAAATTTGTAGATTCCTAATTTCCTCTGCTTTTCCACCCCCCAAACTTTCCCCTTCTCCCTCTGGTTTCTATAAATTCTTCTTCCGATACCTTCTTCTTCCCTTCCCTTCTCCCCTCTTCTCCCCCTCCTTAGCTTTACAGCTTTTACTCTGCCCCTCCTTTCCCCCATCCCTTTAAGAGCGTAAGCTCTGCTCTTTTTCCCCTAAACCTCCATTGCTCTGTTTTCCCCCAATTCCCCTGTTTTCCCCTGAAAATTGATGCTGCAGAGGTTGAAATTGATGCTCGAGACTCATGTCTCCCGTTCTCAGTGAAATCCTTCGTTCTGGGTTTATGGTCGATTCCTCGCTCAGGCGAAGGACCCATCTCGTTCAATCTTTCTCAGTTGTCTTCCTTTACTGGTTCTATGTTTTCTCATAAACCATCTCCCCCATCCCCTGTTCCTATAGTACAGAGCGTACTACTAAGCTAGCAACAATATTCATAAGTATTATTACTATACCCAGAAACTATTACCATCTGGGTCAGTCCTAACGAAAAAAAAAAAAAATCTCTCCCAGCAGCTATAAGGAGAGACTAGTTCCAATTGTAGATAAATTTGCAGCCGATCGTATTTGGGTTTTTGTTGTTGTTGTTGTCCTGTTTTTTACTATTACTGTCTCTGTTAATGGCGTCTTCCAGCGGGAATTCCTCCTCCGGCGGCTCATCGGCCCTGCTGCAGAACTCCGGGTCCGACGAGGACCTGCAGCAGCTGGTGATGGACGAGAGGAAGAGGAAGAGAATGCAGTCGAATCGAGAATCGGCGCGGCGGTCGCGGAAGAGGAAGCAGAAGCATCTCGACGAGCTGATGGGGCAGGTGACTCAACTCAGAAAGGACAATAGCCAGATCTTGACCGCCATCAACGTCACTACCCAGAACTATCTCAACGTCCAGGCAGAGAATTCGATCCTCCGCGCCCAGATCGTCGAGCTCAGCAACCGCCTCGATTCCCTCACCGAGATCCTCGATTTCATCGGAAACAACAACGCCGCCGGCGGCGGAGGGAATGGGTTCTTTGAGGGGGATCAGATGATGGATCATTTCCTCCAGCCGGAGGGTTTTCTGATCAACCCGTTGAACTCGATTTACCTCAACCAACCGATCATGGCGTCGCCGGACTTGTTCCAGTACTGAACTAAAAAAGAGGAAAGAAACGAATTTGGGAAGAAGACAAAAGAAATTGGAAATGAAACGTATTGAATGGACGGTGGTGATTGGATGTTGGAATGTCCTTCTGTTGTTTCATCGGACGGTGGTGGTGAGTTGTTCTGGTACGCTGACGTCTAGAACAATGAGTGGACCCCAGGAAAGAGGGAGTGAAAATGGGTAAAAGGTATAAGATTGGGGATTGTAATGTAATGGGTATAAGAATTGTGGGCTGAAAATGTAAAATGTAAAAGCATGATCACCCTTGGATGGATCTGTGTGTCTGGACTGGAGGCTCTGGACTTATTAATTTGGCCACTCTCTGCCTCGCAAGTGGCTAATTAATATTATTAATGTTAAGTATGGTTTGTGGTGTGTTTAGTAATTATAAATCCCTCTTGATTTTTGAACTCTGCGCTGGATTCATCGTTAACATTTAGGTGAAAGTGACCAATTGAACCAAGTTTTCGGTCATTATTGATTTGATTAAAGGGCATACTTAGTGTTGAGATCTGCAATAAACAAAGGCATACTTAGTACTTTATTGCGTTTACTATACTTTGTTTCTTTTGATAGTTTGTTTTGTATATGGATGGCAATCAAACTCATGCCCACGGATATCCGACCGCCCCCGACCCAGTCAACGCGGGGAATCCCCGCATTGACCGGGTAAGGGGCGGATATGGGTAAAACCCGCAAAAAGTTTGATGGGTATGGGGCGGGTATGGTTTTAGCCTCCCTCGCCCCATACCCATACCCATACCCGTCCCACCAAAAATATTTCTTCACATGTGAAAAATATGTGAATCGATTTGTAACCTATCAATAATAGTGAGTATAACTCAATAAAAATATATAGTAGAAATGCAATTAAGCGACCACCCAAATCAAAATCTAATTTATTTGTCTCAATTTTCCCTTTACTCTTTCACTTTTTTCCCTTGTTAACAAGATTATGTTAGTTAATTATTACTTAATAGATGTATCACAGTAGAGAATAATGATTTGAATGACATTGTACTCTACTCTGATATGGATTAATGGATGCTTTAGGATAAGATGCTTTGAACCGTATTAAAAATGATTGTCTCTTTGTAAACTTCATGATATAGTAGGTGCGTTTAATGTTATAATTGAAACTATACATGTAAAATATTTTGTATTATAATGTTGGATGTACGGGGCGGGTATTACCCATGGGTACCCGAAACCCATGGGGATGGGGATGGGTCTTCCCCGCATGGGTATGGGGCGGGTATGGGTATAGATATTTGAAAGCGGGGATGGGGATGGTTTAGGAAAACCCGTCCCAAACCCGCCCCATTGCCATCCCTAGTTGTGTAGCCATTGGTTTAGAGAGATAGGAATGGGTTAGGATGATTACTTGTTTTTTAGTAATCACGGTGTCAACCTCTTTATATACCATTTGATTAATTATTTTTCCTTTTCTTTTAATCTTACGGTCAAGATTCTTTTAGGCAATTTTGAAAATGAAAAAGTGACCACACCCGATTATTCTATATAATCTACCCAAAACCCTAATTCTATCCTCCCTCCAGCCAAACCTGCCGCAGCCGCCTCCACCACTCCAGTCGCACTAATCCTATCGGCCGCAACCCCAGCGATGACTCGTGCCGGCCACCCTCGGCCACCGCAGCGGCCTCCCTCCCCTCTGTGTCGGTACCCTCCCACTGCTCTCTCTCTCTCTCTCTCTCTCTCTCTCTCTCTCTCTCTCTCTCTCTCTCTCTCTCTCTCTCTCTCTCTCTGTCCCCCGCTGCTCTCTCATCTCTCTCCCGCTGCTCTCTTTCTTTCTCTCTACCATCACAACATACATACCCAGATATGATTTTGGTGGGTACAGTAGCAGCCATATTGGAACCATGTCCTAGTAGCCCTAAGAATTATATACAAATACAACCATAGTTATAGTAGACATGAAAATCTAGATCTGGTAATTTTTTTGTTTTGGTATTAGTTCATTGCTTTGTTTTATGAAATGGTATAATTTGTTTTTCATAATGGTATTGATTTATTTCTGCAATCGTATTGTTTTGATTTCACAATAGTAGTTATATTGATTGATTTTGGTATTGGTTGACTCTTGTAATGATATTGATTGTTTGTATTGGTAGTTTTACTATAATGATATTACTTTATTTGTGCAATGGTATTGTTTTGGTTTCACAGTAGTAGTGGTATTGACTGTTTTGGTATTTGTTTGACTTTTGTAATGGTATAAATTCTTTATATTGGTAGTTTTCGTGTAATGGTATAGATTTATTTCTGCAATGATATTGATGTTTTTCAAAGTGGTAGTGGTTGTCTAATGGATTGGTAGTAATTTCGTGTTTTTTTTCTTCCAGAAAGATTGAGAAAAATATGGAAAGAAGATCTGGCTGGAAATTACGGAAGTGAGAGAAAGAGAGAGAATTGTAATTAACAGATTTTTGTAATTACCTAAAATCTAATTTATTAAAAAATTAATTAATATAATTTATTTTTCATAGCCAATTTACTCTTAGTAACCACGCTGATTTCTACTTTGTAGTATCACCGTAACCGCTCTCGAGAGAGGTACCTACCTCTAAATCACCACACAAAAATTATGCGAATATACGATTTAGTCCTTCCAAATTGCCAAACAGTTCATAATGCAATAATAAACCTAACAATAAAAATTAACGGGAAGAACTAAGAGGGGAGACCAAAGAATCAAAGGTCGATTTGAAGATCTCGAAAATATAGGGGAAAGAAAAGATATGTAACCAACCTGAAGTTTTTGTATTTCGATGTGTTGGGAATTATTTTAGTTGTTTAGGACCTAGAGCTCTATGAAAAAATGGTTACGACTAGGTGGCTCATAGTGAAGAAGACGTCGACCTGATGACATTCTTTCTCGAGACGACTTGGGGCAAGGCAATGCACCTTAATGAGAATCATGACGCTTGCTACTATTGTTTGCTATTACAATCCGTGGCGAAGTTAAAAATCTGAATGAGGGGACTAAAATTTTACGTTCAAGAGGTTTGAACCAGATAATGGGGCTAAAGCCTTACCACAGAGATAATGATTCGCAAGTGTACGTTTTTCATATTTATAGGGAGCGGAACTTCATAGTACCGATTGTTTGTCACATACAGATCTTTCATTACTTTTTGAGAGTCATTGTAAAGACCGTGAGAACACATGGGACTTGCTACTACAATAGTAGCATTATAGGTGGAGTTGTCTGATGCATCTTCTCACCTCGTGTTTTGTAGATAAGTCGAGAGCATCTACATGCGTCGATTGTCTACAAGACACGAGGGGAGATCTCTTCTCCATAAATAGTGAGTAATTAATGAGCGTTTCTCATATTTACATGGAGGAATTTCATCGTCTATTATCTTTTAGATAAAATCTCCCATTGTTCTCTGTTTCACACAGTTCATATGCTTTTACTACCAGACATTAGTGCAATATCAACCTTTTGAATAATGTTATTCGTATAAATGTATAATCTTGTCTTGTAAATTGTAATATTGCTAATATTGTATATTGGTGCTGATCAACCCAATTTGTCTAAAGAAACAACAATATGCATCAAATTCCGAGTGCGAATGGAAACAGGCTGGATTTACTTAAAATCCAAAGATGATATTCTTCATTTCTATAAAAAAAATTGCTATTCTTCACTTTGATTGAGGGTAAAATATGCTATAAAAAGCTCAGCCAGGGATTCTTTTCTCCAACTTATTAGTTTACTTCAAAGAACACAAATGATATTAAAAATACAAAATAAAAAGAAAAGGGAGAACAAGACAATCTGAAATGGGTTCTCTTCCCATCTCCTGTCGTCCATTTTATGCCCTGTCGTTTTGATATCCGCCAATTATTTTTTTTTTCCCTTTTCGTTCAATGCATGTAAACCGTATCTTTTCCTTAAATTTTTTTATTTTTGATTTGTATAATAAGAGGATTTTTTTGGCACCATTGATTTATTGCCTGCAATTAATTGTGTGCATCGAAAGTCCACAACCTACCTGTACTTTCCAATTTTTAATTAATTCAAGGTCATCTTAGGGAATATAATTTTGTAATATATTGGCTACCGCCAATTTATTGAATCCGTACACCCCATTTTGCTTCAAATTCCAAATATGTCTGCGCTAAAATATAATTACGGTTAATAATAATTAGCAAGAAATGCTTATTCGTACAATTCACTGTATGCTAGTTGGCTAATTAAATTCTGATGTGCGAGAGGCTGTGTAGGGAATTCGTATCGCGTGATTGGTTTGGAGAAATTGATATAATTGAGTTTCTAGAAATTGTGTTTTAACGAAATGAATATAAATTGTTCAGTTTCAAGAGGTTAATTTGCTTGCAACATAAGTTTTTTTTAATTATATTTTATCTCTTTCGACTCTTTATGCTTCCTTTTGCTGGTTTATGCTTTGCTTTTGACTTTTAACCTTCTTCATTCTTATAGACTCTTACCGGGTAAATTGCAAGGTTGGCCACTGAAAGTGCTAAAAAATTCACGTTTGCTCACTAAAAGTATTTTATTCTATTCGTGGTCATTGAAAGTGGTTAAACTTTTCACATTTGGTCACTCTCCGTCAACCTCCGTTAACACCGTTAGCATTTTGATGACATGGCTAACAGAAATCCTGATTCACTCATTTTTAACTCGCCCCCTCATAAAACTCGACCCGCCACATCAGCATAATCCCCTACATCAGACAACCCAACCCAACCCAATACTTGGCCCTTCCGTCTTGACCCACGAAACCCAAAAAAATCAAACCTTCAATCCTCCTCCTTGCGTCTCCAAATGCCTAACACCCTCAATCCTCCAATCCACGAATCTCCATCACACAAAACAATCCCTTCCGCTCCATCCACCGATTCGGGGAAAGATAATGGTCATCAAGTACGACGACACCGTCATGAAAGACATGAAGTTTAAGGTCAATGTGGTGGAGAAGCCGATGACTGAATCGCGCGCTCCAGTTCTTGAGCAGGAGGTGGAGGAGAAGGCCGAGGAACCGAAGGAGGGAAGGAGCTCATTGCGGCAGAAGCGAAATTCTACCGAGGATGGTTCATTAGGGCTCGAAAATAGTGAGTTCTCAAGCACTCGACTCTGAAAATGGTGAGTTCCCAAATCAGAGATTTCTCTCTAGCTTTCCGATGGTAACATCTAAATCCCATTACCCCACTTTTTGGTTCATTTCCGTTCATTTCTGGTTTTTGTTTGTGTTGAATGTTGGATTTGGGAAATTGGGTTGGTTCTTTCTCATGATTGAGAGATGCCAGTCGATCGCAGGGAAGATTGAGTGACCACTCTAGGCGGCGCCGGTGTTTGCAAACAAAGTGAGAAGAACGGCGTCAAGACTCAAGGCTACGATGGTGGAAGGCGGAATGGCAGGCGGCGGTAGTGGTGGCTGGGATCGGGTCGAGTCGCGTTGGGTTAGGGGTTGGATTAGGTTGGTTTATGCAGAGGGTCTGACGTGGCGGGTTAAAAAAGAGTGAATCGACATTTCTGTTAGCCACGTCAGCAAAATACTAACGGTGTTAACGAAGAGTGACCAAACATGAAATGTTTACCACTTTCAATGACCATGAATGGATTTTTAATGACCAAACGTGAATTTTTAACACTTTCGGTGACCAACCTTACAATTTACCCGACTCTTACCATTCATCGAAAAAATATACCATTCTTATATTCAACATTATTAGCAAGTAAAATTATCAACTGAAAACAAAGTAAAATAAATTAGTTGTAAATTGAAGAAGAAGTACTGAGATTCTGAAGAAGAAACAAAGAACAGTATGGTAAACCCCAACTAGGCACCAAAGGCCAGTTAGGACAACTAGTCTAACGTAATTTTAAAATTGAGGCTGTCCCAAAACTGTCGAACCCCTCCTGCAACTGCACGTTCATTCAATAATCCCCATTTTTAATGATTAAAATTAACAAACAAAGGGCTTCTCTGATTAAATTAGTAATTGATTATATAATAAATCATCTAAAAGAAGATGGAATTATTGTTGTAGCCTCTTCATTTGTGGGCTGGCATGGCAGTATGGCACCGCCCTTACGATAGTTTCGACGTAAGGCGCACCACTCTCCAATTGAGATGTTACCCTGCTTATCAGAAACATGGTTGTCACACCAGCCGGCGTACCACTGGTTCAACCTGTACCGGTCATAAAACCGGTATGACACCACCGGTATGACCGGCATGATCGATATACGAATCTCTAAGTAAAATGATCTTATATTAGTGAATTTATTTGAAAAAAATAATTTATTGTTTATTTTATGTGTTAAAAAGTTAAACGTTGATGTTATTTGTTGGATTCAAGTACAAATATTTAGGTATTGACGTTAAACTTTCCCCACTGGTGATGGGGTTATAATATTGACTTCAGTTTAGAGGAAGATAAGAAAAGAGGAATTAGACCCATGCTACCCTAGAGGACGGGGATGATGGACGGTGGTTGTGGCAATAAATCTGTAAACAGAACGAGAAGAAGTAGGTGTATTTTAGAAATTAGACGTAATCTTTTTCGTCGACTAGGCGACAAGTCAATGATCAACAACAGGCCCAGTGCGATGAGACCCTATTTAACAGCAAATGATCTATTATGAATACTTGGGAAACAACAAGGATAATGAAGAAATTTTTTACTTTCCGATACTTCGATAATGAAACCAATGCGAAGTTCAGACACCAAAAAACATATCGTGCAACTCCAAAAGAAATGACGAGTACATATCCCCAATACCTCATAATAATTGTCCCAAAGCAAAGCCCTAAGAACTAAGAAGTAAGAATTGATTGACCTGTATGATATCAGTGTCGAATTGAGAGCCAACATCACAGCCAGTAACTTTTCCTCCTTTTCCCAAAAGAATTATTGCCATTGTTTCAAGAAAAACAAAATGAGCTAGTGGGAAGTGGGTGACTATTTTGTCCAGAAGAATTCTACTACTAAAATCTCAATCCATTCAGAAACTCAAAAGGGTTTTGATGAAAGGTTGAATGGTGCGATGGCTTCCCATTTTCATGGTTACATCACCCCATCATTTACCAAAAGTGGATTAAAAAGGGTTAATGATTTAGTTACGTGACATAATTCTTTTAAAGTCTAATATGCTGTTGATAGAGAAAGCCAGCAACCAACAAACAATCAGGTGTGCTCACACAGCGACGTGTAAATTACTAAACTTCATTACTAAAGTGGGATCCAAAAACACTTGATTAATTAGTACTAATATAGTTCTTTTGCATAAAATGTCTATTGGGTTAGGTTAGCATTCTATTGTCGAGACTCGAATGACCCATTTCAACCTTATCCTTTTAGGGTTAGAAAACAACACTAATTGGCTCCTCTTTGTATACTAATAAGTTTGCTTTCAATGGTATCATCTAGCCAATTTGATAAGTGCTTGTTGATGATAAGTAGGCAAATGTTTCTTTCAATACTTGACAAAGAGTTTTGTCAGCCTTGTGGTGGGTCTTTCTCGGATCAAACTGAACCGAACCAGTGACGATAAACCGAGAAAATGTAGACATGGTAGGCAGAATGGTTCACAACCAAAACATAAGAAACTGAGTCGATGAAATAGGGAGATGAAGTGATGAACCCTTGCACTGCTTTTCCAACAAATTTGGTAGGAAAGGTGGAATAAGAGAAAGAAAGGCAATCAGGAAATCAATGGCAGAGTTAAAAAACTTGTTAGATTTCAGTGAAGGGAAAAGGGTAAAAAGGGTGTAAGTCTAACTTCTATTTGTCTCAAGTGAGTTCCACGACCAATCCGACGCAGAAAATCACAAACCTGAGTAGCTGTTCTCCACTGTGACCCAAACTTTTTTCACTCGTCCTTGTGATGTTGACAATTGTTTCTTTCTCTAGGAAGGAAACAACAGAGGCATTTCACCAATAAGGAGCAAAAAGCATAGCACTCTATGTGCTTACTTGAACAAGTTATCCAGAAACTAACCCTATGGTTAGATCAAACCCATGGCGCTGGTTGAGAAAGTATTCTCTCTGGTTAAAACATCAATGGGTCCTTTTTAACTTTGTTCATCCAAAGAGAGATAGGGAAGCACACAAAAGATTCATGACTTAAAATGCTTGCAACTAGAGACTACATATGGGAAAAGTAAGCATTAAAACAACGTACAGACCAAGGTTTCTAGATTCTATCTTAACCTGCAATGCTACCATTAGTCGTATGGAATCTGAATGTAAGCAGCATCACACACAAAGGGGACGTCAGCGTACATACCGGCTAAAGCACACCTTATGCACTCCAAGACCGTGAAGAGGTAAGCGAACGCCACTGCTGTCCAAAAATGCATCCCGACTTTGCCCCAGTAGATACCGAGTGGCAGCCAACGACTCACTGTGCCAACAACCTGGAGGGCAATCTCAAGCAACATCCCCATAACCACATGGAACCTGAAGAAATGAGGCCATTCCTTTCTCCTTACAACTCCAAGGTAAGCGACGAAGAAATATGCCATCAAGAACCAGCCCGGTAAACTCCCTATAGCTCCGAGAAACGGGTATGTCAGGAACTCGAAATCTTCGAGGAAGGGGTGCAGGTGATATGCTGTCTCAGCATACATCCAGGTTTCGTGGAGAGGCATCAGATAAGGGAGGCATGCTAGGGTTCTCCACCACCATCTCGGCTTCTTGGTCATTGGTGGGAACCGAAAGCTAGTGGGCACATCTTTTGCTGCTCGAGCAGGGAGATTGGATCCGCGCTGTCTTGGAAGAGAGGGAATCATGCGTAATAATCCACCGCGTTCCCCATTAATGAGAGGGCTTGATGCAGCAGAGAGATTACGCGACCCAGCTACCATTAAAGATGAGTGTTTTATCAGAAACAAACTCAGATGACAAAGTAGCAAACCTAACAGAAACCTTGATGAACATACTTACATAAAGCTCCAGAGGAACACGATATTGGCCCCTGCCAAGAACTTCTAATGCTTAAGGCTGCAGCATTCGCAGGTTTACATGGAACACGAGCAGACGCCAACCTACCATATGTGGGTTGACCAGCCCTGGTATTGGTATAAGCATACCCCGAAGGTATCATGCATCCGTTTAGAATCATTTCCTTCTACCTGCAGATTGAAATAATATGAATAAGAAAATGTTCAGAGAAATCAGAAACCTCCATTTCTGCGTTTCATCTTAAACCATTATACGATAACATCAAGTCATCAACTAAAGTGGGACTGGATAAAACCCCCAATTCAGCTGCTGATTCTCAGGAAACCATTGAAACCAAGTGCATAAGGGGATAACATTAAAAACCCAAGCTTGAAGATCCAAATTTCGATTGAAGTACCCAACAGTTCATTCGTTCGAGGAATTTCATCGTGTTTCTCGTGGCTGACCAAAAATCAATGGTACCCTAGAAGATGTAATTGGCGAGAGAGAATTACCTTTGGGGTGGCAAGACACCTGAAAATGGTTGCTTCACTGATCTCAGCTCGGTAGGGTTTCCGGCAAGCTGCTCCCGGGTTTCATTCTTCCATTTTCGTTATCCTCTTCAGTTTCCAGAATCACAACGACTGAACTGAAGTTAAGAACCGCCGCGTTGGTACTGTCATCCGGCGCGTCCGGCAAACGTAAAAAGACAGGCCCGCCCCCGTTTGGGTATTTCCCGAGCTATAGATGGGCTTCAGCCCGAACTAGAATGGGCCTAACTAGTGAGTTCGGTCTCCAATTGTCAGGTCTGTGAACAATCCATCGCGCGTTTCACGTTTCTACCGCGCATTCAGCGTTTCCTCTCACGCCGGCATTCTTTGACATTTCACCTCAGTCTCCCCGGCGATTCAGAGGGACCGGCCAGCCAGGACAGGAAATGGAGATATGCCGCCTACCGGCTCAGTTCTTCACCAGGACGAAGGATATCTCCCACCCAATTCGACCGCTTCCTTGCGCCATTACTTCTCTTTCTCCTTCAAAGGCAGTTGATTTGGTTGAGAGTCGGATGTTTATGCTGGGAATGGGATACGTGGGACAATTCTTCGGCCAGCAACTCAAAAATGAAGGCTGGTAACGTTTCCAACTTACCCTTTGGCTCAACTTAGCTCCATGTTCAAATAGTTATCGAGAAAGATGATTAGGCGTTTGGGATGAACCGATTTAGGGTTGTGAAGGGGACTTGCACTAGCTCGAGGAAGAAGAAGGAGCTCGAGGAGAAGGGGTTTGATGCTTTTGTCCTCGATGCTAGTGAGCCTGGGTGAGTTATTCTGATTTCTGGTAACTCAGTGCAAGCTTAGAAAGCTTGTCTTATTCACTTAGGGGGAATGTTCTGATTTCGGTTATCAAGATTTTCAGGTTCTCCGTTTTGAGTTCTGTTAGTAGCTGTACTCACCTCCTTGTCTCCATCCCTCCAGTTCCTGGTCTGGGGGATCCGGTATGCGAGCAAAATTGATATTTTGGTCAAGCTTTGGTTTCCCATTGTTTTGAGTAGGTTATAGTTCATCTGCAATACTGTTCCTCTGCTTATGTTAGTGCTATTTTCGGCTGCATTGGTCTCTTTCGATTCTTCCAGTTGTTGAAACATGGAGAGCTTCTAAGAGGTGCTTTGGTGGATGGAAGTCTTCAATGGCTCTGTTACTTGTCTTCTACTGGTATGTACTCTTGGTACTTTTCCGGTAACATAGTTTACGAACTCGTGTATCGGCTACCAAGTCACAGCTCAAATTTGCGGGTTCCTTTAGCAATCTTTTTTCCTGATGACTTTTGCATCCCTGTTAGGCGTATATGGTGATCATTCAGGCGCTTGGGTCGATGAGGAGTAAGGATGCAATCCCACTTTGTAATGTTTGAGCCATATTCACATTGAATGGAATGAGTTATACACAAACCATACTGTGGCAGCTACCCAGCAAGCCCTTCAATCGAGCCAGCAAAATCAAGGTTACTTGCTGAGAATGAATGGTTAAGTTTCGGCGATTCACTAGGGTTATCAACGCAAGTGCTTCGACTTGGGGGGATCTATGGCCCTGGCAGAAGGTTGTGGCACTTTCTTCTCCATGCTTATACATGTTGGTTTCAGTACTACTAAAACCATTTCTCCGTGTGTTAGTTGTCAATATTGATCTATAAATGCTGCTCGTTTGTTCATAGTGCCATCGACACAATGATCAAGCAGCAACCTTTGACTTCACGTCAGAAAATGAGATCGTCCAAGCGGTATACATCCAGAGTTCATGTAGAGGACATCTGTCAGGCCCTCCGGGCTACCATTGAGATGCCATCCATTAGGTGTGGATTCTATCCGGATGAGATATGCTTCTGTTATGAGCTACAAGTGAATGCCCCATATGATCTCTTTCTTACTTAAACAGGAGAATCTACAATGTCGTGGATGATGACCCGGCTCCACGAGAGGAGGTGTTTGCATATGCAGAGGACCTGGTCGAAAAGAAATGGCCTGGCTTCATCGAGCAAGCACCTCCGACCCCCAAGGAGAACAAGCCATGTGTCTTCGGTAAGAGGAGCTCGAGAGGCGAGAAACGGGTGTCCAATGCTCGCATGAAGAGCGAACTGGGAGTGAAGCTTCGTCATCCGAGTTATAGATCTGGACTCCTGAGCATCACTGAGCAACTCACGTTGTAGCAACTATCAATTTATGAGATCCCTTGTGTTGAGATGCTGGGAGACAACTATGTCTTCATGCTGCTGATGTACATAATCATCTGTTGAAGTGATAATACTAATATACTATTGCTTGTTGGATTTGAAAATGAGGTTTTTGGGTTTTAAAAACCTTTAAATGGTTATTGTTGCCAGCAATGCGAAACTCCATGCAATCGAATTCGAGTTTTTAAATATTCGGCTTCAACTGGAGCTATACTAGCCTCTAGTATGATGTTGATGGTAAATCGTTGCATACTTCCGAGTTTCGACTGAGAATCAATCGAACAACAAAGTAAAAAAACCCTTATCTAATTCATATCCATCGGATTTGTATTCAGGATGTAATATCCAGTCATAGTTTAAGTTGGATTGCAACTTCAGAAAAAAAAACATTGCCACAGGTCACAGAGAGGTAACTTCGGAGCCGCTCAGTGGAACACTCATTCTAGTTGTACAAGTATGTTAATGGCACACTTTCTAACATCAAAGTCAGGATGGCCGAGTGGTCTAAGGCGCCAGACTCAAGTTCTGGTCTTCGAAAGAGGGCGTGGGTTCAAATCCCACTTCTGACAATTTATTTTCCTACTTTTTTTTGCTTCGATTTTTCTAACAGCTGCATAGGAGATAGGACGCTAGTCTAAGTCTTACAAGTCTACTTGACATGTTTCCCCAATAATATTTTGGTTTCCCCACTCAAAACAGCCCATCATATCTCTGCCCAAACAGTACTGTTTCAACCAAAGATTTGTTGGTTTTGATTCTAGCTTTGCTTGTTTGATCTTTTTGGAAAGACAGTCTCTTATGTAGAAGTGGGGAAGGGGATGGCCCTGCACTATGACACTTAAGTCAGCACGTGTATGATATAAAAGTGTGAAATATGCAAAAATCAAAGGTAGGGAAAGAGTTCCCTTCCTAAGACCATCTTTAGTGATTAGATCCAAAAGTCCAATATTTGAGGCTATAATTCAAATTCTAACCCCTCGAAAGGTATTTTGGCATTAGTAGTGAGTTCCAAAAGTCCAAATTTTCAGATTTGCGCTTTAACTCATAATCCGGTTTTGTATATATTTCATCATTCTAATTATAAAATTTGTTCATTAATTTTATATAGGTACTAATAATTAATTAAGACGAACATTTCGACAATTTTTTTTTGAATTCCGACCAAAAAAAATTATTTGTAAATATGACTTAATTAATGACGGTCTCTTGTTTGGACCGAAAGAGCCGTTGGAGGAGATTGTGAGTACAAAAAGGTAAAGTTGTTTCTTTTTTTATTATTATTAAAGCTCTTTTTGGCAGGTGGGCCCTTATGCTTTTCCCCCGTGTGGCCACATTATCTTTTGGAACTTCTTGTCCTTTTCTAGGCCAAATTTGGACTCAATTTTTGGATCAATTGAAACTTTTAGCCTTTTGAAACCTTACTAAAGTAGGTCTAGTCCAATTTTTTGAAATTCCAGCCCACCACTAAAGTTCGTCTAAGAGGTTAGTGCCTTTGTATAGACAAGGTCACAAGAACTAGTGGCCTTATTTTTTTTTTTTTTGCTATAGTTAGACCTCAAATCTGATTGGAGGGTTTACATCGTGTCACCTTATTGTGTCCAAAAGTATTGTATTAGTCTATTAGATAACTAAAACGAGTATGCTATTTCAATTCAAAGTTATAGTCACACTAACCTCTACCTAGCAAATACATATTTCGAAGTAGACAATCCTCTACGCTTAAGACACATTCTTCCTCCTCTCCTCCGTTCTGATGAAAAATAAGGCTTTTATAAAAGTGTTTGCAAGACTGTAGCGTACTAGAGGTGCGACCGAGAAAATCTTCTATTGGATTTTAAACAGATAGACGAGTTTTAGCAATATGAAACGAATGAACGACGATTAAATCACAATTTCAATATTAAATATCCTACCGCTTATTTTTTCGGTACAACCTACCCATATTGTTTTAATTACCTTACTTTATAATAGCTCTAGAAGCAAATCCAATGCTTAAAAAACCTGTCAAAAGCCCCACATTGGAATATCTCTCATTAATTACGATTAGTCCAAAGTTGGAACATCCTGGAACATATAGAAACCGGTCAGCTTCATCTACATCAAAATGATTCGCTAACAATTTCCAAGGAACTTGAAAGTTTGAGCCCCTCACGCAATGCCAACTAGCAAGATGCTTATTCCTCCAAGAACACATCTTATAAGACGACGTAATTAAATACATTATTATTATGGTAATGGTGATCTTAAGTTAGTTTAACTCTCCCCAACGTAAGTATTAGCATCATATCTTTTTGCTGACTCATCACCATGTTTTTCTTTTGCAATTTGCAAATGATGGTGTAATAAGACATGCATAATGCTCGACTTAGATGAGAGGGTTTCTTTTGCAATCGATCTCAACATCGTAAGGTAGGTATTGAAACCCTAAACCTACCTTGTGCAAGTAATTAACAACATTGGTTACTCATTGGAAAGAAAAGTGTCTAGACAATGGGCAAATGGATCTAGCCGAAAAATAGTTAACGATGTATGCACGTTTTTTTATAACTTTGAGTTCGTCAAATGTAACCAACCAATCTTGTTTATTTTTTGCATGTATGTATTTTTATTTTAAATGAGTTTGCACATAGATGTATATTTTGTACATACATTGTACTATTCGAAACTAAACTAACATGATATAAGATAAAATGAACGATGAAAATGATTTTTAAGGATTCAATCCACATACAAATTGTTATAAACGCGCTGCTACGGATCGGGAAATCGCCGGAATCGACAAAGCAAGAATACGAAAGCGAGAATCGAAAAAAACACAGACACACGATTTACGTGGTTCACTAACACGATGTGTGTTAGCTTCGTCCACGGGCGAGAGAGAGCCAGTTTCACTATATCGAGGAGATTACAGATTATAGAGTATGAGAAGTATTTATAGTACTTCTCCATGTGGGTCTAAACCTAATCCAATCTGGCAAAGGAAACGGTTACAGACCAGGCCCAGAACCCGAACCCAAATAACATTGAGCCCATACACCGTGGCCCGGGGGCGTTGCCCCTGGACCACACTCGCTGACCGCCACCGGGCAGCGAGAGCCCCGATTACCAGTCGTAGCTGCTGATAGTCCGATTCAAGTCATATCAACACAAATATTTGATTTGGTTCGTTTATTTCAATGTTTTAAAAGGATTCAATATGGTTAGATGCCTACATCTATTGAGTATAAAACTACCAAGTGGTTGATTTACATGTTGACCATAAAGTTTGACATGTCATTTTTATGGATCTTCTAATAAATAAACGAAATAGTTTCAATTCAATCCACCCTGCTGTAATTTTTTTGCAAGAGAATAAGCAAGAGCATTAAGTTAATAACAGCAAATATTAAGCTTAATCTCTAGTGATTTCACCAATTAAGGATGAAACATCTGGTTTACCTAACACGTTTCCCTCCATGGAAATTTAGACGAGCAACCTCAACCTCAACAGTCAACTGCCGCAGCATAGCCTCATCAACAATGGCATAATAAAGCCTGCGGAAAGTAGGAGATATCATCATCATCATCATCATCATCATCATCATAATATCAAAAACCTAACTCCCAACCTACAGTTCAACCTCACAATTTAATCACCGTTTTAATGAAACCCAACCAACTTCTCCCTATTGGTAGTGGACCGTTGCGGCATTCCGACAAACACCTACAGCTCTTTCTTTGCCCCACACCACACTCACACTGCTCCTTCATCCACCTTTAATTTCCTCTCTTCTCTGTTCGCCCAAAACAGAGCACTTAAAAAAATGGAGAATCAAATCTTGAGCATCGTCGCCGGAGGAGTCGCGTGCTGGACGGCGGCATTCGTCTTGGCAAGGAACATGTTCCCCAAGTGCTCGTTGGAGTTCTGCAACCGCTTGGTCTCGACATTGCACGCCATTTTGGGTGTCACTTTAGCTTCGCTGACCGTTGCAGATTGGCGCCGCCCGGTTTCCCCTGTGGCTTCGGATTCTTCCCCGCGCCAGATGCAGACGCTGGCGGTGAGCCTTTCGTACATGATATACGATCTGGGTTGCTGTATGTTCGAGAGGAGGGTCGATATGGCGAATGCGGTCCACCATTTGGTCAGCATTGTTGGACTTGGAGCTGGGCTTGCTTATCAGAAGGTAACCCTGTTGCCAAAATCACATCTTTTCTCAGTTTGGTCTTGTGGGTTTCTCCTGAAACAGAGGATTTTGAAAGGAGGTTCGTTGTTCCAGCTCCAGCTCTGGGAAATTTTTGGGGGACCAGATTGGGGGTTTTGGAGTTTTGCTGGGATAGAATGGGGAAACTGCCAAAGTTTTGATCTTTCTTTAGTTCTCTGCTGTCGATTAAATTTATTCAAGAGCTCGAGCTCTCTTTTTCTGGGGTTAGTTTGATAATTTGTGGGTGAAATGAAACAGTGTGGGACAGAGATGGTGGCTGCTTTGTGGGTGACTGAGATTTCGAGTCCTCTTCTTCATTTGAGAGAGCTGCTCAAGGAGCTTGGTTACAGAGACACCCAATTCAACTTTGCAGCTGATGTAAGTCCCCAATCTCTTTCTACTCTAACCATCTGAGGTTTCGCGGATTAATCTTGAATTTGAGCATATTTTATGTTGGGGAGAGTATTTAGAGTTGGGGTGAAAATTGAAATTGCCGAATATCATTAACAAATAAATCGTTTCAGTTCATCAGAATAATAGAAAAAACTAATTTTTTTTTAATTAGTCGATGTGAACATACATACTCGTATCAAGTTAGACCTGAAGATATATTCACTAGGCACAATGGTGTTGTATTTAAGTTATGGTTTGTTTGAAAGAATATGGTCCATATTAACAAATTAAGAGTGCAACAGATTGTACAATTATTATATTGGATGAGTTGAGCATTTTAAACGAGAAAAAAACAGTACCAATTGTTAAATTGGTTGCCAAAACATAATCAAACTCTCTAGTGTTAGGTACATTGTAGTTGAGTTACCCTTGATTGACCCTTTGAATTTTGTGATCCTGAACCTTGCCATGTGAAATACAGATTGCTTTTGCTGCGATTTTCTCATTTGCAAGAATGGGGTGTGGGCCTTATCTCACTTATGTGGTTCTGGCTGCCAACAATCCACTCATTATTAAGGTAACTCTATCTCTATGTCCACCTTTTACACTATCGACTGAAGTTGCCTTGTGCCAAGGATCAACATTGGAGAGTTTTTTTTTTTTTTATATTCTGATGTCTGAATTTGTACATGCTTTGGTTTGACCAGGCAATGGGATTGGGGCTACAACTGGTCAGTGCATTCTGGTTCTACAAAATTGTTAGGATGGTGAGATACAAGGTTACTAAATGGACTTCTACTTCTACTTCTGCCACAAAAAAGGCAATTTGAACTCAAAGTGCAGTAGGCTAGTTCCATTTCTATCTATGTACAAACAACATAGCCATTATCTATTGTGTGAGTGAAGAATTGGGTTACAAACAACAAGATACAAAAGAAGTCCCCTTCTTCAATGGACAAGGCTCGGACGAACCATAAACCGAAAAGGCATGGCTAAACACTTTAACTTGGTTACAAATTACTAGTTAGTACTATTTTCTGCTCTTTTCCAAAATATGCGTCATAGTGCACAACCTAAAAGATCAAAAGGATGAGTAATGTGATCATGAATTTGACTGTGGGCTCGCAATGGAATGAGGCAAAGTGCATAAAAGATTGAAGCTTTTATATTTACCCTCATGGAAGTCTTCTTGGGTGATATAGTCACGTTTTGCATGAACCACGAACATGCCAGCTTTGTTGCACACATTTACAAGATGAGCTCTGATGAGCTCCGGTGAATCCCTACAATCATTGCATGTAGTTTTGTTCGTTGAGATCAAGACAAGACCAAGTCCAAAGGTTATTAGGTTTTTTTTAGTTAGGGAGTTGAGCAAGTTTCACGACAACTTCATAGTAGATATTCTCGGTGTTCATAAATTCTAGAAGCATAGATCTTAAGGATCTCCATGCTTAAGTGCTCGTTGGCATTGCTAATGGGATCTCCATGCTTAAGTTATTGATTTGATTTACATAGATTATAACTTGTTCCCCTAAGTTCTTTCTTCTATTTTGGCGAGATTGTTCTCCAAAGTTCAGAAAAGGCGAGCTAAAGCCCAGAATTAAACATGGACAAATCTCCATTTCAAGTTCAGGAATTTAAAGCAACATCAATGTTATATACAAGGTGAGTACATAAGAGAATCTGCCATGTGATACCTTGCAACATAGTAGACGTGAAATCATTAAAAGTACAGTACTAACAACAAACCTAGATTTTTTAAGCTAATACTGGAAGCAGTACCGTGGAGAATCACTGATGAAGTATCATTCTTTATCAGTTTGTCAAACAAAAGAACGCCATATAGCAGGTCGATCGTGGCTTATGCGAAGAATGCTGAATGGACAGTAAGAAGCTATAAGATACAACACATTAAGAGAATGCTAATCAAATTTAGACACCAATGTGCAACTTCTTTTGAGTTCCTCTACCTCAGTACAATTTATAAATATAAAGAACAGAAGAGACACCACTTTACTACCACAACCATTAAATTTCCATAAAAACATATAATAATTACATACATTCTGAACTTGGTCAGAAGCACACCATAGATCAATTACAGGCCAATATTCATACATTCATCATATCATACCCAATTGTCCAAACAAAGAGCTTCCGAAGCAAACAAAAGCGAGGAGATATGATGCCCACCTATCAGCAACAAAGATTAATCCACAAAAGGTAGTTCCCTGATCAACCTGTCAACAATGAGAGATCAACTATCACTTGCTTAGGAAGGAACAAAATAATAACAAACTCCAACATAAACAAATCCTAGCAAGTTTGAAAAACCAAAGAAGAAAGAGCCCCAAACCACTTTAATCGTGTTGTTTCATTTATGTAATCAGAATCATGGGTGCAATTAGGTGTACTCTTAAGTTTCACTCAGGGACGGAGCCAGGATTTAATCTACGGGGGGAGGGGGGGGGGGGGGATTTCTTAATACGTTATAGTATAAGTGGAAAAACTAATAATAAAAATTATTTTAAAAAATGTATTATTATTATTAAAACTCAAAAAAAATTTTCACATGAAGTTCACTACAAATCATAAAAAATATAATGACAATAGTCGAATTAGCTAATAACTAGCTTCCAAAAAAAGGAGAAGGCTACTGCTTACCAAAAAGACAAAAAAATTTAAAAATATACTCACCTCAAGGATCATACCCGTGACCATTGGGTCCTTCTACATTGCTAATTCCGCTAGGCCAATTCAAATTTTATGTTATAATCTGCACGCTTTTTAGTTTCATTCAATACTTTCTTGTTTATGCGTATTATCCTAGGCCGTTTACAGATAAGTTCGAGATTCTCGGGGGGGGGGGGGGGGGGGGGGGGGGGGGGCTTAGGGCCAACGTAGCTCCGCCCCTGGTTTCACTAAGATGAATGTTGATGAAAGTCATCCTCCCTAATGAACTTAATTAGTCAATTAAGAATTGAAAAAAAAGCAACGTGAACCAATAGTACTGGAATGAAAATCTTTGGTTCAGCAGCTTCTAAAAGCCAACCATTAAGAAACCAAACTGGGAATGTAAACCTTAGGAAGCTAAGAATCACCAAAGGACAACATTTTGGAGAGCAGAACATATTATGTAAATAAGAAAAACTTACAGAGCGCACACACTTGAAGAGTCTAAACATTATCCAGAACGAACTTGAATTTTGTTTCTTCAATGCTAGAGAACATGTTGCTGGAAGCTCCAAGTCATCAACAGACTTAACTGTATCGCTCTGGTGACCCCATGGCATCTCACCTGTCGGTCAAAAATTTTGCAGGAAGAGACCACAACTACCTCTTGAATGATGGGGTCGGCTATGAATTTAACAGATACTATTTACAGAACCTGTAACAGATCAAGCGAAAACAGAACTGGGTTAACATAAAATTACAGAGAAAACAATATAGGTACAGAGACGAAAATGGAGAACAGATCAATGCACTCTCACAAGAGAGGAGATGATGTCAACAAAATATGGGAAGGAGAGCCTTAACTGGAATCCAACATATTCGACTTTTTCTGAGAAGAACTGATAGATCTCTTCGTGTGGTCAACCAGATTAAAGAACTAATTAACTTTGATAGTCTCAATCTGCACAAAAAAATGCCCAATCAACATCAACCGAACTTGACTTAAAAAAAATTACAGAATGCCTTATAAAACCAAAAAGATCAAAGAATTGTCAACTTTTCCGCTCTCCCTCCTTTGGCGAGTCCGCATACAAAATTTAGTATAGCAAACTCGCACAATGATTGCCAAATCCCAGTTTTACCTGATTTTTTACGTGAAATCCCAGCTGCAAGAAATAGGAGGAACTAATTAGGGTTCTAACAAATTGGGGGATACTTAGCCGATGCACCTATCCACTATTAATGTTGAAAATGGAATATGTCACTAGCGAAACAACATGAAGAGCAATCCAAGTCGACAAACTTTTTAGATTTTGATCACAAACAAATAGAAATGACATTGATAAATGTGTTGCATACACAATCTAGGAACTATATTAACTTGTAAACAAAAACCTCAAAGCTACCTAAAAGAATAAAACAGGGGAAGTAGGTAAAAGTAATAATGAGGGAGACACAAAAAAACATGATGGGCAAACCTCCCTCTTTGCTAAGATCTGGCTCCCTGATCTATCCAGTCACAGACCCTCTCTCAATCCCCTCAAACGCAGAGAGAAAAACCCACCAGAGCCTCAGTCGAGTTTCCCTAAAATCAAGACCCCACTGCCATCCTCCATACATCTGAAAACCCTCCCAGGACCTGACTCTGTGCCTCTCCCCATGACACCCGCAGTCACCTCCAATACCTCAAGCCATGAACCGGCCCAACTCCCACCTCCAAACCGCGACTAATCACGTCACCCTCCAACTTCTCCACTCTAGCGATCCCTCCCAGAGCGCCTCGATCCGCGCGCCCGCTAGGGCTAAAGTTGCTTGTAGATCTCTGATGACTAACGCGCGTCAGAGCCACCATCCGACCCAAGACAGCCCAACCAAAAGCCAACGACCAGTCCCACCTCGACCGAGCCCCCAAACTCCGTCAGATCCCAATGAGGCCTCACCCAACTCCAGCCCACACGTCAACCCACGCCAGGTTGAAATAGTAAATCTCAGTCACGTTGTACAGTAAAAGGTGTCTGTGTGTACAGTACCATTGCATGCGCCGGGTTTCTTCTTTTAATGGTCAAAGATAAATTCTTTCAACATAACATTGTCTAGCGAACCATGGTAGTATTGAAGGAGAAATTAAGGAAACCCAAAATTTCATTTGTAGGAAACCCAAATGTTTCCTCCTTCCTTTTCGACGACTCTTCTTTCTCAATTCCCTCTTTGTTGTTGTTTTGGAAAGAAGGGGATAGAGTGATGGGGTGGTAGGGAGGAAACTGTTTAGGAGAACAGTGAATGGCACAAACTCATATTCATGTTTTGGACATATCTCAATGACATTAGAAGTGAGCCTTTGTTTTTGATGTCTAAGTCTAACTAATAAGATTAGAAGTTGCTTGGCAACATTAAAATTGCCAGTAGGTTCAAGTGAACTCTCTTTTGTTGGAACTTCTAGCTATGTTTTCATTTTAATATCTTTATCGAGTTAATTTGACTCAATATATCTTAATGTTTCTTATAGTATCTTGTTGTATCTGCAGTTATATATTGGAGAAGTATCAAATAAGTTGAGACGTGAAGTTGGATGAGATTTTTGGTTCTTTTCTTATTTGATTCGTGATTGTTGCAATGTCAGACATTGAAGCAATCATTCAAGAAATGTTCCAAACATCTATGGCTTCTTAATCCAATTTTTTTTGCTAGCGGCCATTAAGGCCATTGTTTCATTGTGAAGTAAACATGAAACATGATGGTTGTTGCAAGTCTATTGTCTTTTTGTAAAATATCACTTTAATATATTAGAAGGTAGACCACTTTACCATTGATTTCAGAAATTCTTGCCGCCAATTTTAAGCACACGTAGTTGGGGAAGGTTTTGGGATTACAACAACATTAGCAGGGCCATTCGTGGTTATGTTGCAGCTTAAGAGAGAAGTACGTGCATTCTTTCCCATTTATGTTAACTGATGAAAAAGAAATCTTGATTGAATAGTTGGAAACCTTGAGAGAAAGCATAAGGAACATAGCACTACGAAAGTCCATTCCAATGACATTTTTCTCATACATTATGGCTCTAAGTTTTTCTTGGGTCCTTTTCAGGCTCGTGCATAATGTTTCAAGAGACAATCATCAAAGTGATGTTGTAACATTTTTCTCCAACCTTGTGACTTCTATCAAGCTATATCTATGAATTCATTTTTAAACATTTTTAGAGAATTAGATTTGTGGGAATAAGGAAGATAGCAGTAGATGAGAAAACCAAATTGTTCCACCTACTAGGGGAAACTGTATAGCTGACCTTTCAAAAAAACATTTAGAATAAAGTCATAAGTTTTGAAAATATGTTTATCATGGAAAAAAAAGGATACCAGATGGTAAAAAATCAATAGTGTTGAAGGAGATATTAAGGAATATTAAGTCTTAAAAATTCAAAACCAAAGATATATCTTGGATATACATATGAATCATTTGTGTTTCTTCATAATTAAATTTCTTAAATGAATTGGATGTAATTTTGTTTAGTGATGTATATCACTTTTATTATATTAATAGTACAAAACTACAGTTAATTCTATAATTTGTGCTGAAAGGGCAAGGAAAAAGTTAATGATTCATAAAACTAGTTGTGACTTAGATTAACCCGGTATAGTTGTTCATGTATTTGATATATATAATACGAATTTAATCCTTTGAGCGCTAATGACATTTTCTCATTCTCTCCGCTAGCAATTTTTGGCAAAAGAAGAAAAGTGTTTATCTTAGCTTAATTAGTGGAAAAACAAAAAACAAAAAAAAACTTATTCTTGTGTGACATTGTCTTCTCAATGTCTTTTTTTTTTTGTTAAGACTAAGATCTCAAACATATATGTGGTGCTCCTCAGACTCAGAGTTACCACGAAACTTAAGGAGTTGGCAGAGAACATAATAGGGGAAAGAATTTTCTTTAACACTCAAGGCAAACACTTGGAGTATTAGAGAAAACTTTGAGAGGTTTAAGGAATTCAGGTCTATGCAAAGGTCGCATAAAAATAAATCAAACTGATCCTCGAATCAGTATGTACAAGAAACTTACAAGTCACTTCTTCATCGGCTTAGACATTTGGGCCATAGCAGTGTACATCTCGAATTCACTTGGGTCGATTGGAATCTCACTGTCAAGCTCTTTCTTGTCAATTTCAACTTGCTTACAGAATGTGGATGCCTTCGAAAAAAGGTGTTTTTGTAAAACTCACGATTTACAATTCTCAAGCATCAAAGATAAGTTTCTCATCTTTTATTTTGTGTAAGTCGGTTATAGTATGCACACAATTTTATAAAATTATGTGTTCATCTTGCCTCTTGCATAATTTTTTCACCATAAACAATATTTAGGTTAAAAAAATTCTTGTTCCATTAAGTAAAAAAATACATCTTTAATATCTATGTTTTATTCATTTTTCTTGAAATTATGAGTAGTAATGGTTTCTCTCATTGCTCTAATCTGTTCTCATTTCTTTCATTGTTGTATTTGTTTGTTTGTCCATGTAAAAATTGGATGTGAATGATCAACCAATTTCATTATGTACACTCAATTTGAGAAATCATACATCTTGAGTTGATTCTAAACTTTTTTTTTGAAGTGGTCCATGACTCTAATAGCGAGTCAAAATCACCACTTACTCACCATTGGGCCAAGAAGCAAGTTGCAAACTCGATTTGGATATGTATTTTCTACTTGCTTGCTAGCAGCTAAGAGTATAATGTAGTCCAATAGTGAAGGAAACACAAAATGTGTGACATTGTCTTCTCAATGTTTTCCCCCCTGTTAAGACTAATATCACAAACATATCCTCAAAGTTGGCCCGAAACAAAAGGAGTTGGAAGAGAACATTATATGAAAAAGATAAATTCCAACACTAGGAGTATTGGAGGACGGTTTACAATTCTCAAACATCAAAGATAAATTCCTCGTCTTTTATTTTGTGTAAGTCGGTTATAATATGCATACAATTTTATTAAATTTAGTATTAGTTTCGCATAACTTTCTCACCAAAAAATGTTATTTAGGTTTAAAAGTTATCCTTTCATTAAGTATACATTGTTTGGTATTCGTTTCTCTCATTGCTCCAATTTGTTCTCATTTCTTTCATTGGTCTATTTGTTTGTCCATGCAAAAATTGGACATGAATGATCAACCAATTCCATTATGTGTACTCAATCTAAGAAATCGTACATCTTGAGTCCATTCCTTTTCTTAAGTGTTCCATGACTCTAATTAGAATTTAATAGCGAATCAAAATCACCACAGGGCCAAGAAGCAAGTTGCAAACTCGATTTGGATGCGTCCTTTCTACTTGCTTTCTAGCAGCTGAGATTATAGTTCAATCGTGAAGGTGAAGTGGTATCTAGCTAGCTCAATTGAACTCTTATAACGATACAATAAAATTAGTTATTTTCCCAACTACTTTAACCAAAGTGGTAAATTTAGATCCCCACACTATTTTGAATCTAAAATTATTTTTTCAAAACAATTCATGTACACATTATTCACTATTCAGCATACAAAATCCTATTTTATATTCCATGAGTTACTATTATCAAACACAAAGAATTTTAAGGGTGGCACTCAGTTCAGTTTTGGGTTAACCACTAAGCAAAAAATACATACTGAAATTCAACTGATAAGCATTATCAGTTAACCACCTGTCATTAGTTTGGTCAATGATTAGTTTGACGATTAACCACTAACCAATAACAACCTCAACATGTGACATCTTTTTTTTTATACTGAAATTTCATATGATGTCCTTTTTAACAATAAAAAATAATCATACAAATCATTCAAAATATTTTAATACATTTCTACATTATGAACATAAAATAATAATGATAAGAAATAACATCAATACAATACAACATACATTGTGAATTCATAATTAAATCCAAATTTCAACACATAAAATAAAAAATAATCAAACTTCTTCATCCAATTAACGAGTACCAACCAACAAGGCATCAACACAGACACGAAAGATCATCATCGTCATTCACAAACATTAAAAAAAAAAAAAATCAAAGACCACTAAGGTGTGAGGTTCGATTTGTCGACTGCAAATGGGAGTTAGTGAGATTACAGGACTAACTCTTACAGACCGTTTGGTACCAAATGAATCAAGAATTCATTTCACTGTAAAATGAATTACCGTGTAGAATTCATTGTCAAATGAAATCTTGTGTTTGGTATGTCATATTCAAATCTTTAGAAAGAAAATGAATTGCGTGTATAATTCATTGTCAAATGAATTCCTGTGTTTGGTATATCATATGTATAAGTAATTTAGTAAATACTTGTGGAATTCATTTGGAAATTCCATCTCAATTCTTTGGAATTGCTATAACTAGCTCCAATTCCGCAGAATTCAAAATTTAGAATTGAAAATGAATTCTTTTAATACCAAACACAAAATATTTCATTTCAAAATGAATTCCTCTAAACTTATGGAATTCATTTATACCAAACGGTATGTTAAACATATTTGAGGCTCTGGGTGGAGTGTTATTTGAAATATATGGGAATTGAGATGTTTGAAATTGCTATTTTGAATGTTGGAACGTTTTCCTTCAGCCAAAGTCCAAAATTATGTAATTATACTAGTATACGGTTAACGATTAACCACTAATTGATTAGTTGATTTGTGATTAATCACTAAATAAAATACCGCTAACCGAAAAATTAATCAATAATAAATTATCGATTATCAGCTAACCACTAACTACATCTAACCATTTACCAATTCTACCCTACCAAGAATTCGTTTTAATATGAACAAAATCTACAACTACAACATAGATCAAGAAGACAAACATCATTCAATGGTTGCATAAAAGCCAAAAGAAACAACTTCGCTATTATATTAGACCGTTGGTGAATTTAGGGGTCGCCATCGTAGCTTACCTGACAGCGGGAGCAGATTGCATTGCAATGATCATATTATAACACAGACATATCCTTCAACTATATCCAAACGCACACCAGACACAGCTCAACGATCAATCAATCGATTAATTTTACACGACGGCAGTTCTTTCTAACTTCACCCTTGAGTCCAGTAAGAGCGCCGATGTGAGGAGTGGAGACGGAAAAGATGATCACTGACCGGAGAGACAGACGAGATCGGTCTCGTTCAGGCCTTGGCGTTTGAAGAGACTGATGAGGCTTGCTGTTCTCGTCTCGAGTCCTTTCTTCCCAAGGGGAGCTCCCAACTTGGTCCACCTCTCTAGAAACAAAGACCATCATGGTTAAGTTTTGTGGAGTCAATTACTACATAACACATTAGTCACTAACTCTCCATCAAGTTTTCTATCAACTTATCCAAGATTACCATATGCGACCTCCACATTAATAATGGGGGGAAAAAAGCCATACAGATAAGCTGACAGAAATTGTGCTCATGTGTCAAACGGATTACTCAACCCAATTCCAACCTGTATCACCCAAAATCACCTTAAACACTTCTCCTACTGAATATTTAATTAGAGGTCTACTATGTACATCTACCATTATTAATTCTGGTTAGCTGACACAGTTATCTGGACAATTCGGTGAAAGTTTAATGACAGTTCATGAAACTGATCCCTAAGTGTGGAGGTGCTAGATGCGAAGTTAATTAAGCGTCTTTGAGGTTTAGCTTTCACTGATTACCAGTACAGTAGAGCCACGAGCTGCCATGGCAAGAATATCCACGCAAGAGAAGGTTTGAGTGCAAGCATTTTCCAACTCAGCCTTGATCTCGTCAATCACATCAAATCCTCTGAGGGAATTCCTGTTTGGACCTGCATTCTTCTCGCTAGCAATCTTTGCAGTACTGTCCAATAGCACTGAAGCATCACAACCCTGCAAAAAAGAAGGGAAAAAAGGATGTTGTAACTAAGTGAAAGGAAAGAGTATTCTAGTGTATGTTGAATGTGTTCAAGATAGTGGGACCTGCACAAAGCAATCATGGAAATTAGCTTGAGGACAGGAAACTTGATAGTATCCGGGAAACAAACCTGCAGATCCAATGCCGGCAACAGGAGCATGATGGCCACCCCACCAGCCGAAACCTACAGGGTGACCGAAGGAAACAATGGTGTTGCATGAAAGGAAAATCACACAAAAGGTGAAGGCAACCTTGCAGAATGCCATTGGTAAGCAAGTAACTAGGAAATCAGTTCTTAGCTATCTATGATTCAGCAGTATCCTTGGCAAAAGTTTATATGCATGGAGAACTTAACCACTCTCCCTTACCAAATCCTTCAGTACCACCACCTAATCCAGATAGCTTTGACTTTGTCTTCAACCTCTGGAGGTGGATGCATATGAAGGGAAGCCTTCTTTTGTCTGTGGAGTAGTTTCTGTTACTAACTGCTCCAGGGCCATGCCTTGATGATGCATATCTATGCAAACATCAATCTCCCATGCCTGGTTCCCTGCACTTTCCTCCGATTGGCTTGTACTGAGGCTTTTGGCTGCATATATGAGCTGTCCGAAAAGTATAAACCGAGCTTAGTTACAGTCTCATAACAAAATTGAGGTACAAAATGATAACCATTAGCAACCAAATCCGCAAACTGCACTTATTTACTGAACAAAACGTGGGAGTCAACTTAACTGTGCAGGAAGCGCCATCTGCCATCAGAGATGACATCCTTTAGTTCACTAGTCCAGAGAGGACCAACAACATTTTTTAATTAAGGGATAGGGATAATATACAGAAAAAGATGTGGCATCCTTTGCCTTTTGGGATTGATTTCAGAAGAGAATATACATGTACAAAGTTTTTTGACAGATGAGCAACAGAGGCTGTTCTAGAAGACTGGCACTCATACAACATGTAATTAGACATTGTATGATCCACCTCCATCGGAGACTATACTTTACATAGATGCCTCATCGGAGTCAGTAGACGTGCAAATCTAAGGGGTACATGTGCCTTGATTAGTGTCCCGTTCTCCATATATTCCTACGCAGGTGAGAAAACGGGCATCAGAAACTCAAAGTCGCAACTGATAGAAGACATCTACAACTTCTGGAGAATACTTACAGTTCTCTCCACCATCCCAACTTGATGTACTGTGCTCAGCAGCTCCCCTTTGTCAAAGGGAATCAAAGCTTCCACCCACACCATTGAGTCCTGTGACAAGGTTTCATGTGTAAAAATCGAGTAACAGTATCAAACAGTACTATTTTGTTTTTATTCTGTACCCTTAATTTGTCCTGGACTGCATCGCAGAAATCTTGTAACCCGTCCCCAGTCAGAGCAGATATGCAGACAACATCCTGGTGTTTTGCTGCTTCTAATTTTGTTTTCAGAGGATCAGCGGCCTTGTCAACCTGCGACAATTGAGGTAGAAGCTGAGCGGATTACAGATAAAAGATCAAAATCTCAAAGTAAATGCTATCAGTGTACCTTATTCCAAACCATTAACTTTGGAATTGATGAAACATCTAGTTCTGATAAGACTTTGTCCACAGCATCAATCTGTTGTTCTGCTAGTGGATGACTGAAATTTTGTGGACGCACTGGGATGTAAGAAGAGGAAAAAGATTGTGTGGAACAGATTTAAATTAATTGTTTGACAACAGGATACCTAATGTCAACCACATGCACCATCAACGCAGACTCAGAAATCTCCTCTAGCGTTGCTCTGAAAGCAGCAACCTGCCAGAACCACCCATCAGAGATGCTTTTCCAAAACTTCATGCTAAAAACATGTCTGACTAACTAGCATATGATATTGCAGCAAGCAAAAATTGAAAATATGAGAAAAAAGTTAATGAAAAGCCACCTCTAATGCGAAAAGGCCTTACCAGGGTAGTGGGCAACTTTTGGATGAAACCAACAGTATCAGTGAGGAGGAACTCATTTCCATTCTTCATCTGGCCCACAACCAAACAACAGTTATATCAATTTTCCTGTCAAGTTTATCTAGTACTTCAAATCATTAGCCAATGAAATCTATTTCTAGCAATACCCACACAAACCAACTTGATGTTACAGCTCGTTCATTACTTAATTATATTAGCTTCAAATTTTGAAAATGTGGCAAGTTTGACTATCCTGAGGATACAAGGAAACTGTAAGAAGATGCAAACTGGAAAGATGTTTGTCATTCGTCAAGTTGCTTACCTGAACCCTTCTAGTAGTAGGATCAAGAGTAGCAAATAGTTTGTCCTCAGCTAGAACTCCTGCTCCAGTCAATTGGTTTAAGAGAGTACTCTTCCCAGCGTTTGTATACCCTACCTGAATATTGTAAATGTCATAGCAGAAGCATCAATTACTGGTAGATGGGCTATCTACCTAATATATTTTCCTCTGTGCTTCTGAATCACACAAATAGGTTCTGCACTTGCTTATTGCTTACCAAAGATACAACTGGAACAGGTACAGCAGTACGCCTGGTTCGGTACTGTTTCCTGTGTTTCCTTACAGATTCTAGCTCTTTTTTTAGAACTCCAATCTAACCAAAAAAAGGAGACCAGAAATTGGTGTCAAATTTGTTTTCAATAGCTGAAAGATGACCATGTAAATTCATATGAGGCAGAAGGATAGGTACAAATTAAAATTATTGTATAATGAGCCAACTATTACTAGCTTTAAGCAATAAAGATTCATTACTTGAGTACGTAAGATACGTTTGTCAACTTCAATCTGCTTCTCACCCATACCCTTGACCTGGCCACCAGCTTGACGCTCAAGATGACTCCACATTTTTGTAAGTCGTGGTAACTGGTACTCCATTTGAGCCAATGCGACCTACAAGGACCTTATAATTTCAGCACAACTAAATAAAATTATTTTCCTGCAAAAGTAACTACAATGCTTCAAACTCAGAGGAACCCAAAACCCACCAAAAAACTCATTTACAGAAACAAAGAAACCACACTAGAATCCAATCTTTAGACCATGCATAACAAGCCAATAAACAGCCTATTTACCAGGACAAAGCTATACAATTCACCTAGACAACACCATAAAAGGTTAACTAGAAACACCACAAGAAAGAAAAAAGATTCCTAGAAGACAGTTGAAACAATCCATAGAAATCAGAACTCAAAGCAGCCTCTTGCTACTATATAGGCGTTTCAAGGACTATTATCTGTGAAAATAGTGTATTCATATTCATGGCACAGTCAAACCTACAAAATACTTACCTGTAAAGATGCTTCATGAGTTGCAGCTCTCTGGTTGAAGATATCCAAGATGAGGGCAGTGCGATCACAAACTCTAACTTTTTCACCAAATGCCTTCTCTAAATTACGAAGTTGCCTATGATTAAATGAAGATAATTGGAAAATAAGTATGAAAATATTCACAGATGGCAGATGCTTGATTCTCGGTAATACTAATAAGCACATTTGATAAAAGAACAAAAATAAATAATAACACTTAACAAAGATCTCATCTTTAAAGAAGAGCATAGTAGAACCACATTGACAGCTTGGGGAAACCACAAGAGCAGAAGGAAACACGAAGAACTCACAGATGTAATGCAGCTACAGCTATGTATTGATCAAGCCCTAAGAAGCTAGTGAACTTCCCACATTTAAAGCAACAATAAGAAAAGGTTCTTCACCCATTGACGTGTAAGTACCAACTTACTTCATCTAAAATGAAACACTGATTGCTGAAAAATCTCAAGCTCCTAGGATTTCAAATATGAACTGGAGTAGATTGTTGAAAAACACGATTTACATATCAATGTATGGTGATCAAGATTCACTCTAATGGGGAGCAAGTACAAGTTCCGGTGGCATAGCTCACAAGTTCAAATATCTTACCCAGCAGAAAGCTCATCGTCAAATATCACAGTCTCAACATCTAGAGCATGAATCGCACTCTTAATTTCTGAGACCTTGCCAGAGCCAATGTATGACCTCGCATTTGGAGTACTTAGTCTGCAATAAAAACAGTGAATTAAACACGGTACAAGCTTCAGGCTGATAACACGTTCGTAAAGTTAAATGAATCTAGTCATATTCATCCACCCATTCGTATCTAGCTACACAAGTTGAGCATCAGTCAGCAGCACCATTGATTCCAACTTCTTAAATCACATATTAAAAAAACTTCAGAAACTACACTCACTTCTGATACGTCGAACCAACGATCGTAAGCCCAGCGGTGTCAGCAAGCTGAGCCAATTCCTTGAGCGACTCCTCTATGCCAAAAGTATTATCCGGATCTCCTTTGCGCTCAACTCCAACTAGGTATGCATTTTCAGCCAAAACCTGGAAGAAATGGAAAAAATCACTTCCTCAAAAAATCACCAATTGAAGAAAATTCACACCAGAACAGCTCAAAATAACACAATCCGTCTCAAAGTCTCAAACACACCTCCTTTCCATTTCGAAGCGTGAACCTATTGTCGAAGCTATCCTCGTCTTCTCTGCTCTTCTTCTTAACTCTCGTCGGTTTGACCTCCGATTCTTCCACCGAGGATCCATTCACAGGCCCGGTAACCTGAGGCTCTTCTTCGCCGGCCGGAATTATCGCTGCGCTCTCCGGAGGTGGAGATGCAACTTCAGCGCCTGGTTGGGCGACTCTGACGACGGCGAGAGGAGAGGGAGCGAGGCGATGAGTTGAGAGGGAGAGCGAGGAGTTTGATCTGCTGTTAGGGTTTGGATTCCATTGGAGATGCGGCTGGTGGATCAATGGCGACGGCCGAGGAAGAGAGCAGAAGCAGAGAGTCATTCCGACTAGACTTCTGGAGGTGGGAGGTGGTTTGCGCGCAATCTGTGATCTTTTCCCGTTTTCTCGGTGGCTGTTGAAATGTATAATCTCGTCCGTCCACGTGGCAGAGCAATCAACGTCATGGAAGGCGGAAACGCTGTTGTAACCCATCGTTTCAGCCTGAAACGCAGCGCACTTCTTGAATTGCTCATTTCGTTATGACGCTATGGCTATATTATTAAACTCAATCAACGATTTTTTAAATAAGGTTTGAATTAGCGATTTGATGATTATAAAATTTAAGTAAAATTACTCTTATCTCTATGGAGATTCGTTGAGAGCTTCGAAAATAATGTGTTATTATCACTATGTCTATAAAGTTATATGAGAGTTCCAAAATTAAAGAAGCTGTAACGATTACTATGTACCTTGGAGAGAAATGAAATATTGTTGATAGTGGCTATCAATTGTGGATTTGATATCATCTGTCTCTATCGACCTTGTCTTCTTTTTATAGCTTCGGTGTGGAGTAGATTAGAAGAAACTGTCATTAAATATGGTAATAAAACTCGAATTTATAAATATCTAATTTGATCAAAATTGGTGGGTTTTGAGTCGAATGTGAGTTATACCTGCTTTACACAAACCATATTCAACTTGATCAAACTTTCTTCTTTCTATACAGGCCATATTCAATATCAATCTCCCGTGGAATCATTTCTTCCTCATCCTAAACCTCTAAGTCTCTAACCAATCAGAAAATCCAATGATCAAGGTAAAAGATCAAACAACCAAATTCCTCCCTTTTGCTTTTGTCAGCGAAGTAATCGTTGAAGGGGGAGAAAAGATTCCATATTTAATTATCTATGATTTGACATATGTCAAAAATTGAACCGAAAATTTCACAAGGCTAGTCAATTTTTATATAATCCAAGGCACAATTAAGATCCATCAAACTAAACATGATTAAAAGGAGAATCTCTCTAACACTTTAAGCAAATCTCACATCGATAAAGTACAAAATAGATCCATGGTTCATAAGTAAGTAAGAGACCGTCCTTAACTGATGAGATGTGTTTTGGCGCAAAATGTAGTAGTTCTTGTGAGAACTCCAAAGTTAAACGTCCTCAATGTGGAGTACAATAATGATGAGTGACATTATGGAAAGTCAAATTGAATTGAACTTCAAGGCTAAAACCTTGAATATCGAAGTCAAATGTAAACTATACTTTTGTCGAAAAAAATTCGGAATGTTACAATCGCACTACCAATGCAGTAAAAAGCGCGATTCTACCTAGAAGCGGAAAAAGGGATAAAATCGTAAAGCGTAGAATCAAAGCGTAAAAGCGTAAGTTTTTTACGCATAATGAAAAATAACTAAAAATCTATTAATTAGGACATATGCTATGCAAAATATGAATGCACAGATAAGTTAATAAATACATGCGATTCATGCCTAAAGTAGAATAACTTATAACATCTTAATAATAAGTTCGTAAACATAAATTTTAACAATAAACCACTTTTCCCTCTATGCTAATGAATTTGGGGAAAAGCCTAGCTGGTGAATTATATAACTCTATTGAAGTTGAGAATGCATCCAAGTACCTGATATGTATCTTCTAATCTCAAATATATCATATTGTTGGTGATTTACTTTTAAAATATACTTTTTATAATTAATTTCATGAAAAGAATACTCATTTAGTGAACTAAAAGCGTAAAAATGTAAAGCGTTTTGGTGAACTAGAAGCGTAAAACCGTTAGCCTTTAAGCTTTAAAGCGCAATTTAGTCCGATTTTATACACTTAAATTTTTATATGGAAACGAAAGCGTTTTGGTGACCTAAAAGCGTAAAATCGTAAGTTTTTAAGTTTTAAAGCGCGATTTTGACTGCATTGCGCACTACTATAGTTTTTTTTTTATAGGATGGAGGCAAAAGGCAAAATACAATCACACTATAGATTCTCAGCCGAGGGATGGGCCAGTTATAAAATGCACTTTTTATATATTACTATCCCAAAAATAATAAGAAATTAATTAACAAACCTCGTCAAATTTTGAATTGGCTTAAACTTACACGTCTCAAGTCTCATGAGGTTGGGATTTAATTTAATTTAATTTTTGGATCAACATTTCCACAACTGGATAAAACCAGACAAATCGTACAATATTATCAAAGGGGAACCAATTACTACTAGTTAGCTTAATTAGTAGCTATCCTTAGTATGGAAACCCATTAACAAGGAATAAATCACAAATCAACTTATAAGAGATGTGTTGAACTTAAACATCTACATCAACTTTGATCCTAGCCATCAAATGTGTCCTTTAAACTAAGTATGACCTAATAAATTATCCAACAGACCACCAGTGGTTGGAAAAGATGGAATTACTGTTGGATAACTCAAAAAATTAAAAGTATTAAATAAAACCACATATCTTATATCATTGCCCTACCCTAAACCATATCAGTCATCCATTAATCTTATTATCAATTTATGAAGTTGATACAAAACGTGACAAACCATACAATATTTCACATTATATATGATCCTTTCCTGGTTTGCAACCACGTATATACCATTTTTTAATAGTCTTATAATCTATCGGGGAAAAACCAATCAATTCCATCCTCGAGGAAATAATAACTTATCAACGTTGTTATTATGTATTTCTTTATTTTCAAACACCCAACTCTTTCGTAGGCAGCCAAAGAAACGCTTATCAAATCTATTGCCCTGGCTCTGCCGTTGCACGTGATGTCCTGTTTCAAGCTCCCTTTGTCCCTGTGCCGCCTTTTAGACAGGCATGTGGCCCGGTTCTGGTGGGGTGAGAATGAAGGGCATTCGAGGGTGCGGTGGATGTCGTGGCGGGACATGTGCAGGAGTAAGCATGAGGGGGGTATGGGGTTCCGCCGTTTTGAGCTTTTTAATCAGGCACTCTTGGCTAAAATTGGGTGGCGTATCATCAGTGAACCGGATTCCTTGCTAGCCCAAGTGTATCGGGGTAAATACTTCCCTAATGGCCATTTCCTAACAGCAAAAGCTAGGTCTAGGCCTTCTTGGGGTTGGCAGAGTATCATGTTTGGTCGCCAGCTTCTAGAGATGGGATTGAGATGGCAGGTTGGGAATGGGCGCGCAGCATCTATGCTCCATTCTACTTGGGTCCCGGAATTTCAGTTTCAGCCCATTTGTTACAATCCTCAGGTGTTGCCGGCTGGTGGTGACCCTCTGGTGGCCGAGCTTATTTGTCAAGGGGAGGGACGTTGGTGTGACCAAAAACTATTGCAGTGGTTTGACCCCGTGACGTGCCGTCTAATCAAGGCTATCCCGCTCCCGCGAGACAATGTTGAGGATAAGCTCATTTGGTATGGAACAGCGGATGGGGTGTTCTCGGTCAAATCGGCTTACCATCTGGCTGTCTCATTGGAGAAAAGGAGAGGGCGTGGGAGGGCTTCTGTAGATTGGATGGATAGGGCTAGTTGGATTCGGCTGTGGGAGGCTAATATCCCGCCTAAGCTTAAGGTTTTTGCTTGGCAGATCTTCAATCGAATTTTGCCGACTACTGAGGCGCTTATTAGTCACCATATCCCGGTCCTGCCCCGTTGTCCGGTCTGTTGGGGAGGCCCAGAAACTTTGGAGCATCTTTTTTTGGATTGTCCGGTCGCGCGTGCCCTGTGGGGGGCGGCGGGGTTGGAACATCTAGGGGAGGGCCTTCCACGGCATACCTTCCCTTTGTTCCTTAAGAAGTTGCTGGCCTTGGTTTCTCAGCCGTCGCTGTGGATGGCCATTTTTGCGGTACTTTGGCGGATATGGAAGTCCCGAAACTGGGTTGTTTTTTAAGGAAAGCAATTTAGTCTTCCGGCGCTTATACGCCAATTTACCCAGCAAGTGGAGGAATGGGCGCGTCTCCCGGTTGAAGACAGGTTCCCAATCCCGGTAGTAGTGGAACAAGGCCCTGGGATGGTGGGCTCTGCTGAGTTAGTCTGTACTTGGGATGGTGCCACGAGGAGGGGTTCGTATTCGGCGGGTGGCATGGTGCTTATGACTGCCTCTAGTGCCGTCCTCAGGGTTGCCGGTGTCCAGTTTCCAGTCATTGATGATCCTGCGACTGTGGAGTTGATTGCGCTACGTGAGGCTCTTCTCTGGTGCTTGGGCCAAGGTTTAGCCTCGGTTAGGTTTGAAGGAGATGCTAAGGTTGTCATTGACAAAATCAGGAGGAGGGATTCAAGAGACAGCAGGTTGGATGCTATTTTGGAGGAAGTGATAAAGATCTTTGATAGTAGCCCTGGGTTCAGTGTTCGTTTTTGTTGAAGCCGCGTTACTCCGATCGTGAATTCCTCTCCCTCTGATGTGGCTCCTCTCTACAGGCGCCTGAACCCTGCACCAACAGACGCCTAGTGGGCTAGGGAGGCCCGTTAGCACTCCGACGCTCAAATCAGAATCTGCTTTTAGAGAGAGAAGTGAATTTCAACTCTTAGTGAGAGAAGCCAACCTGCTTAAATGCTACCTACCGAGTACTATTTATACTCGATGAGACCCCGACCAGGCTCCTGGATTCCAGCTCCATGTCAGCGCATCATTAAATGCCTAGTACGGTCTAACGGTCGGATATCTACACGTGGCAGCTCCCAGACCAGACTCCTAGGCGCCTGGCAGGACCACATCTCCAGGTGGCACGCTCTCAGCTCCTTGGCCTCCTAGCCGCATGGTCCCCGCGTCTATTTTGTCGTTACGCGCCCGGCTCTCTAGCTTTGGGCCCAATTCTTACCTTGTCTTCCCTGTCCTTAATTGGGCCCGGGCCCAATTAAGTCTTTTGAGCCCATGTCCCCCATAGGTTTGCCCATATTTATCCAACAATTGTCCCCCAGTTAGGCGCTCATGGTTGAGCATGGGCGCCTAACTATACACAACGCTTGAGTAGTCCTTTCCACAGCAAATTACTTCCGTTGTACTTATGCAGGCGCCCAACTTCTTTGCCCGCCTTTTTTCCCTCTGCCAACCATCCCACGCGCTTTTTACGATTTGGCGCCTATTCGATTGGAATGAATTCGTGCGCCTATACCAGGCGCCCAACTTCTTTCCCCGCCTTTTTTCCATCCGCCAATCATCCCACGCGCTTTTGACGATTTGGCGCCTGTTCGATTGGAATTATTTCGTGCGCCTATACCCGTCCCCTCGTCGGGCGTATTCAAAAATCAAAATTCGAATTTTGGGTTCCCCAATGGTCATTGAAATTCAAATTTTGAATTTTGAACGGACGGGGAAGGTGAAGGGACTGGACGGCACGCATCCCCATACTTAACCGTTAGAATTAATTCGTGCGCCTATACCCGCCCCCTCGCCGTGCGCATTCAAAATTCAAAATTCGAATTTTGGGTTCTCAATGATCATTGAAATTCAAATTTTGAATTTTGAACGGACGGGGAAGGTGAAAGGACTGGATGGCACGCATCCCTATACTTGACCGTTGGGATTCCTCTCCCTATAAAAGGAGTTGTCCGCCACCCACTCCAACCATTTGCTCGCCCCCCTCTCTCTCTTCGCCTCTCTCTCTATCGGCCAGGCGCCCCCCTTTCCGCACGCTTACGCGCCTACTTCTTTCCCTGTGTGAGTGCCTGTGTGAGCGTCTTCCTCCGAGATTTTTGAAAACCCACATCATGTCCGAAATGCCTAGCCCAGGCGCGTCCTCTGGCAATCCTCCACCCACCGATAGCCAGGCGCCCGATGTGATCAAACTTTTGGAGAAGCATTTCTCCCCCGATCCCAACAGAGAGTCGGGTGGGTGGACTCCTGGTGGGAGCAAAGCGGCGCCATCCAAAGAAGGTGGCTCCTCATCGTTGGCGGCGACCCATAGCTCTCGCGGGAAAGCTATTGCGGTTGAAGAGGCGCCTACCAAACAGACCAAAGCGCCCAGCCAGCCAAAGTCAAGTGAGTTTCGCTCACTGCATTTTTTTTTTTTTTTATTTAAACTCATGCGCCCTTAGTCATCTAGGATAGAAGAATTGACTATGCCCTATTTGCATCCGCGTTATAGGCCATGCGCCTGGATCTTCTGAATCGTCCGAGTTGGAGGCGTCCCCTCTATCGACCGACTCAGGCGCCTCGGAGCCCGTGAAAATAATTCTCTGGGCCGACACCTGGCCCTCAGGGGAAGCGCCCCTTGAAACATGCCACATGTCCATCGCTGAGGCCGGGCCGTTGCGAGTATCGACAATTAAGGCGCTCGAGTTGGAGAATTTGGTTGTGTCTATGCAACTTCCACGCGCCTGGTCTTTTGCAACTGCGCCACGCGTGGCAAGGATTGGAGTGGTCGGCCCTAATTGGCTTGGTATCTATCGAGAGTATTTTCGATTTGGCTTGCGAATTCCCTTAGATTCCATCCTAGAGGGTATTCTTGAGCTATGTCGATGCTCGCTTGGGCGCCTGTCCCCCTCTGTTTTCCTAATTCATATTCTTTTCAAGTTGAAGTGTAGGCAGCATAACGTAAAGCCCACCTTCAAATTGTTTCACCATTTCTTTACCATGGTTCATAGCGACAATTGCCTGTCCTTGCAAAGGCGCCTTGATATTCCCGGACATTTCTTAGTGGATTCCCCAAAACTAGGCCGGGAATGGTTTAGAGCCTTTTTCTTCATTAAGCCTCGCAAAGGGTCATTTTATGAGAGTGGGCGCTCATTCACTCGCGGTTGGGCAGTTGGCGACGCGGAGGCATTCAATGTTGAGGCGCCCTTGACGACGGACGAGGAAATTGAGGGCGCCCGCCTTATATCCTTGCACCCTATGGACTTGAGCTCTACTGCGTCTAGGACTCCTGTTCTTCACGAGTATTACCGCGATGGTGGGCGCCTACAACATGGTGTTGTTGTTGTTTTTTTTTTTTTTTTTTTTTTTTTTTTTTTTAACACTCATTGTCATGCGTTTATGTGCAGGTGCGGACTTTACTTCCATGGCTACTCTTATGAAAAGCCAGTTTGCAAAGATGGGAGTGGCGGCCAAGGTAGCGCCCAGCTCGAAAAAAGGCCGGTCTAAAGGCGCCCAAGCTTCGAAGGGTGCTTCGTCAAAGGCAAATAAGGCTGTTGCCAGTTATTCACAGGCGCCTGGCGCCCAAGAGGTGAAGGGAAAGGGACGGGCAAGCAAGAAAAACAAGTCCCCCAAAAAGGTCAAACCAGTTCAAGTTTCGAGCGCCCCCTCAACCGATGTTGGAATAGACCTCGTGGATCAAAGTGACAAGGCGCCTGTTGAACCGCTATCGAAGGGAGCATCGGTGTCCATCAACCTACTTCAAGACATCGAAGTAGAGGAAGATGACGTTCCTTTGCTCCAACGGATGAAGAGGAAACCTGAGAGCACAGGCGCCCAGGATGTATCGAGTAAGAAGCCCCGGGTTGAGGACGATACGCCTCTTCCGGAGTCAATTCAAAAGTGGCTGCAGCCTCCCAAACATAAGGTGACCGTGGAGTGCTCCGATAGGTCTGCTTTGGAGCGTGGCCCCGCGATTCACATGGCCTTGGCGGCCGGAGACGTGCTTAGGGCGCCCCTTGACCTGGCAGGCGCTGATCCATGGGGTGAAATGTGCCGAATAAGCGCCCACGTAAGTTTTCCTTTCCTATTCTTTTACTAAGTAATCTGTTAACCTTACTTCTAATTGGCATATGATCCCCTTGCTCATTTGTTATGTAGATGATGGTCGTGGCCAAGAAGGGCCTCTTAGAACGGGAGGCTCTACGCGCCTCATGTCATGAGGCGTCCACCTCCCTTAGCGTTGCTCAAGATAACCTCGCTACAGCGCAAAGGCGTCAAGCAGAACTGGTGAAGATGTGCGAAGAAGCTCAGTTCGAGGCGGCCAAGAATGCTTCACTCCTTCAACAGTTAGTTGATGAGGAGAAGAGAAAGCTGCGAGAAGATTATGAGGGGCGCCTGGAGGTCGAGAAGAGGGAGCGCATTGAGCAAGTATCCAAATTAGAGAAGGAAAAAGAAGACTTGGAGAAAGAGGCGGGCGCCTATAGGAGCGAAATTGATTTGCTGACTCAAGAGAAGGGCGATCTGCGGAAGGAGACTAAGCGCCTGACAAGGGAGAATAAGAAGTCGGCGCAGGATATTAAGGCACTTGAGGAGGAAAAGCAGGCGCTTGTGGTTGAAAAGGAGGTGTTGGAAGCTCAGTCGGCGGACTTCGCCAAATCCGAAGCAGGACAGGCGCTCAAGGCTCAGGCGGCCTTGAACTCCATTTTGATCCTTCAAAAGAAGTTAACCGCAGATCACCCTGACATCGATTGGGACATCCAATCCATGGTGGGGTTTGTTATTTCTTTTATGGAGAGCGGGCGCCCCGTGGATGAGCAAGCGCCTGAGGATGACAATGGTGAAGGCAATAATGAAGTTGAAGATCATTCCTCTTCTGACTCCGAGAGTGGGTCGGACGAGTGACTATAAACGTGCGTCCATCAGTCGCACTTATGCTTAAGACTTTGCACTTTTTTTTTTTTTTTTTTTTTTGTATGCGCCTGCTACTTTATCCATCTAACTATGACGATGCTCTTGTTTGGTTCTTATCACTTTCTTTTGCTTAACTAATGTTTTCTCTTTGAACTTGGGCGCTATAGATGGGCGCTTTATACGGTGCATTTCTGATAAGGTGCTTTTCTCCCCACGTGCGCTTTTCTCTCTTAACCTCGATATTATGTAAGGGCGCGAGGAGTTGGCGCTTTATATGGCGGGCGCAATGAATGGGCGCTTTATATGAAGGGCGCAGTAACTTAGGCGCTGCTCTTGCATGCTTTCTCAATACCCAATTTCATATTTAATTAATCCGATGTTGCCAAAATATGGGCGCAAACGAGGGCGCTTTACAAAATAAAGGGCGCTATAAGGAAGGGCGCTTTACTTCTACGGCGCATTAAGGCGCTTTTGGAGAAACTAAGAAATCTATTAACTCTTGGAGATTTGTGACTAAGTACTGTCCTTCCATTTCATCCCGAGTCTAGGCGCCTACCCCATTGCCCCCGGCATCATACCCACTTCCACTTCGCTTTCACCATCTCCCGCGCCTGCTTCCCCCACCTCATACTTTCGCAGGTTTTGCGCATTCCAGGTTCGCTTCACCTTCTTACCCGAGAGATGTTCTAACTTGAACGTACTTGGGCCATTGACCTCCTGGACGCGATAAGGACCCTTCCATTTTGGTGCCAACTTTCCCTCGGTAGCTTTGGGGCGGAAATCTCGCTTGAGCACAAGACTTCCCTGTACGATGCCGTGCGCCCGCATCTTTTTGTTGTAATACCTTGCTACTTGCCCCTTCATTGCCTCCAGACGTAGGGCGGCTGCTTCTCGGCGCTCATCCAACAGGTCTAGCTCATCGATTCGCTCCTGAACATCCAGTGACTCATCTTGGTGGATCATTCTGAAGCTTGGCACTCGCATTTCCACAGGTAGGACGGCCTCGCTGCCATAAGTCAAGGCAAAAGGTGTTTCTCCCGATGCAACTTTGAAGGTAGTTCTATGCGCCCACAGGACACTCGGTAGCTCTTCGACCCATCTTCCCTTCGCACCTTCTAACCTTGTGTGCAATCCACGTAATATGCTCTTGTTAGCTGCCTCAGCTTGCCCGTTGGCTTGTGGATAGGCTACGGACGAGAATCGCAAAATTACTCCATTTTCATCACAAAACTCTACGAACTTTTTGCAATCGAATTGTTTCCCGTGGTCCGTGACAATAGACTCCGGGAGGCCAAATCGTGCAAAAATGTTCTTCTTGGTAAATTTTCGCACCTGCGTCTCCGTGATGGACGCCAATGGTTCAGCCTCGATCCATTTGGTGAAGTAATCCACCGCCACGATCAAATACTTGAACTGCCCCGGAGCCTTTGGGAATGGTCCTAAGAGGTCCATACCCCATTGAGCAAAAGGCCAAGCGCCAACATTCCCTTGCATGGGTGCCGCAGGAAGATGTATGTCGTTGGCATGAATTTGACACTGGTGACATGCTGCCACGTGTCTTCGAGCATCCGCCCGTATTGTGGGCCAATAATATCCTTGGCGAAGCAAAATTTTCTCAAGACTCCGGGCGCCTGCATGCATTCCACACGTCCCCCGATGCACCTCGTCAATCGCTTGCAAGCCTTCGGCGTTGGTAAGACATCTCAAGTATGCGCCTGAGTGAGATTTTTTGTATAACACTCCGTCAATGATGGTGCACCGAGCAGCCTTGCGCCTCAGACGCCATGCTTCTTTTGAATCCTCTGGTACTATTCCCTGTGTGAGGAAGAGCCAAATTGGAGCCATCCATCCTTCTTCGACCCCCGCCGACACGGATGCCATTATCACGTCTTCATGTGGCACTTCTTTTGTCACGATCACCGTTCGATTATCCTCAAAGTCCATAGCCGTCGCCAACTTAGATAGGGCATCTGCATGCGCATTCTCTTCTCTCGGTATATGAGTGAACGTGACTTCTCTAAACCAGGCGCACTTCTTGCGCACGGAGTTCACATAGGCGCCCAGCGATTCCTCCTTTACCTCATAGACCTCATTCAACTGGTTGACAACTAGAGCAGAATCGGATTTTACATTCACCTTTTGAGCGCCTAGTTCTCTGGCCATGTGGAGCCCTGCCAAAACAGCCTCGTATTCCGCCGCATTGTTCGTCTTGAGGGTCGCAAAGCGTAAGGCTACTTCATGCAAGGCGCCTAAGGGACTCATGATGACGATCCCCGCCCCCGCACCTACTCGACTTGCAGCACCGTCTACATGTACTTGCCAACACTCTTCAGCCTCCAATCCTCCATCCGACACGCCTTCCGCCAAAAAGTTTGCCAAGACTTGCGCCTTAATTGCGGGACGAGGCGCATAGCTCACATCAAACTCGCTCAGTTGCACAGCCCATTTCACCAGGCGCCCCGCCACATCCATGGACCCCAGGACGGTTCGCAAGGGTAGATTTGTAAGGACCACGACGCTATGCGCCTGGAAGTAGGGCCTGAGTTTGTTAGCCGCCATCACCACCGCCAGCGCGGCCTTTTCGATGGGCGCATATCGTGTTTCGTGGCCTACCATAGTGCGGCTGACATAATATACTGGCTTCTCTTCATTCGTTTGAGGCTCCCTGGACACGAGAACTGCACTCACAGCAACGTGCGACACAGCTATGTACAAATACAACACTTCTTTTGCTTTTGGCGCTGTCATCACCGTGGGCGAAGTGAGCAATTTCTTCAAGTCGTCGAACGCACTGCTACATTCCTCGGTCCATCTGAATTTGGAGGCTTTTTTTAGAGTCTTAAAAAATGGGGCGCCCCGGTCAGAAGCCCGAGGAATGAAGCGCCCAAGGGCGGCCAACCGGCCAGTTAAGCCTTGCACCTCTTTTGGTGTCCGAGGGGGTGCCAAATTCAATATTGCCTCAACTTGCTTGGGGTTAGCCTCAATCCCCCTTCTCGTTATCATGAATCCCAAGAACTTCCCTGCCTCTGCTAAAAACACACACTTCTTGGGATTAAGTCTCAGCTTGAAGCGGCGCATGGTCTCAAAAGTTTCTCGAAGGTCCCGAATGTGGTCCAGGCGCCTTTTGCTCTTCACAATCAGATCGTCTACATACACCTCCACGTTTCGACCCAATTGCCTTTGGAATACTTGGTTGACCATCCTCTGGTATGTTGCCCCCGCATTCTTCAGGCCGAACGCCATCACCTTGTAACAGAAATTACCAAAGGGTGTCATGAAAGCAGTCTTCACTCTATCCTCCTCCGCCATGGGGATTTGATGGTAACCTGAGAACATGTCTAGGAAGCTGAGCGCCTCGTGATAAGCTGTGGCATCCACAAGTATGTCGATACGCGGCATGGGATAAGCATCCGTGGGGCACGCCCGGTTAAGGTTGGTAAAATCCACACACATTCTCCAATCTCCCGCCGGCTTCGGGACAAAAACGACATTGGAAAGCCAGGTGATGTATCTTGCTTCCTCCACAAACCCTGCCTCCAGCAACCTATCCACTTCGCAACGGAGTGCTTCTTCTTTTTCTTGGGTCAAATTCCGACGCTTTTGCTGAACCGGCCTTTTGCCTTCCTCCACAGCTAGCCTATGCACCGCCGTTTCGGGCGAGACCCCAGGCATGTCTTGTGCGCTCCAAGCGAACAATTCACCGAATTCACGCAATAACTCGATCAATGGTACCCTCATGTCTTCAGGGGTCTGCGCGGATATTCTAACCTGTCGTTCTGGGCGCCCTTCATCAAGCGCTATAACCAACCCTCCGTCCACAGATTCGGCCCTGGGCGCTTCTTCAGGTCGAATGTCAATGATATTCACCCGGTGTCGCCGAACGCCTCGCTCAATTTCCCGCGCATAGCGTGGGGCGTTCCTTCCTCGTGAAATCCCTATGCCCTGTGGCGCCACGAACTTCAACGATTGGTGACACGTGGAAGCCACCCCATTGAATTGTGCCAAGAGGGGACGCCCCAGAATAACATTGTATGGGGAAGGACAATCCACGATGCCAAACTCCACCGAGTGAGTCACACAATGCGCCTCATCCCCTAGGGTTACGGGGAGGCGCACCCGGCCAATGACCAAGGCGGGCGCCCCCGAAAATCCTATCAACACCGAACTTGAAGGCCTCACCAGATCTGGTGCCAACTGCATACGCTCAAACGTACTTTTGAACATGACATCCATCGAACTTCCCGTGTCCACCAACATCCTCTTCACCTTGCATCCTGCTATTACCCCTTGTATCTCCAACGCCTCCTCCGACGGAACTTGGCACGCTTCGTCAGGTTCTTGGTTGAAGTTTATGTGCACCGCGGCCTTTGCTTCCACCGATGCGGCTCTTAGGCGCCTGGTCCTTTCCAACTTATCTCTCAAATCTAGGGAGCCGGTAATTGATTCTACCGTGAGTCTCACGCGGTTGGGGTCGCTACCTTGGTCAACCTCGAAAGGCGGTGGGGGTATGTCAGGATCTTGTTGCGCCTCCACTCTTCCAGGCGCTTCTTGGGCCTCCAGCGTTCGTGCTTGTCCCGCCATTCTTGCTGCGTAAGTGCGATGCGTCCTCTCCTCTCCCCTTCTAACAAAATCATTGAGCATCCCTTTATCGGCCAAGGTCTGGAGCTCGGTCTTCAGTTGGTAGCAATCGGCTGTATAATGTCCCTTGTCCCGATGGAAGTCACAATACCGATCGAGGTTCTTCTCATTTGGTTGTCCACGCATTGGTCCTGGCCATCGTATATGATACCCTCTATCTTTGACATATTGCAAGACATTTTTCAACGTGTCGTTGTACTCCGTGAAGTTTCCCGCTGCCCTTGGCGGAGGGCGCTGCATATCTGGTCTTCTCGGTGGCATGCCACTCCCTATCGCCGGCCTAGGCGCTTGCCTCCCTTCCATTTCGTCCCCCCGCAGGCGCCTCTTTTCGGCTCTACGTGCCGCCAACGTTTCTTCCAACATGATCACTTTTTGCACTCTTCGATCCAAATCCTCGGTGGACGCCACATCTCGCTTCGAGAGGACTCGGCATAGCTCTTCACTGCTGGTGCAAGCATCCAGGCAGACTCCCAACACTGCGGGTTGCACATCTTTGACCGCCATGGCGACCGAAATCCATCGGTCGTAGAACTCCCTGAGCGCTTCTCCTTCTCTCTGCTTCACTTTGAACAGGGCGCCTATGGTCAGCGTCCGACGTTTCCGGCTGGCAAACTTGGCCAAGAATAACTCGGCAAATTGCTCGAAGCATTCTATGCGCCCTTCCTCAATCTGGTGATACCAATCCAAAACCACTCCCGCGAATGTGGACGGGAACACCTTGCACAGCGTAGCATCTGAGCTGTTGTACAACTGCATCTTTGTGAAGTAACTATTCAAGTGGTCTTCTGGGTCCGCCACTCCGTCATAATTGGGCAATGGTGGTATCGTCGTCCCAGCTGGCTCCATCAAAATGCTTCGCGCCAGCGGTTGTCGTACGCCAAAGCGCCTTTCTAGGCGCCTAGACGCCCAAGCGTTAGGTTCTTCGATTTCGTTCGCATGCGGCGGGATTTGTGGTCTCCAGGCGCGCGAACGTCCCTGAGCGCCTAAACCTGCATGATGCGGGAGTCCGTATTGCAGAGACTCTAAATCCTCGCTCGCCCTCTCACGTTTTCTGACTCCCGGGCTATAGGTCATCACGTCTTCACTTCGCCCCCCTTCTATCTCCCTCCGAAGCGCCGCAATGGCTCTGTCTTGGTCTGCAATGATTCGAAACAACTCCCTTCTCGTCAAGGACTCGTCCTCTCCCGGCGATAGGCGCACATGACTAGCCTCCTCTTCCACGTCCATGAGTGTCTCAGGACTTGGCTGCCGTCCGCCATCTCCCATGTGGGAATTCTCCGATCTCGTAACATCTTCCTCCCCAATCCCCTCGTCTAAGTTCTCCATGCGCCTGACGTCGATCAATTCGCCCCCTACCTGGCGCGCCAATTGTTGAAGCCGCGTTACTCCGATCGTGAATTCCTCTCCCTCTGATGTGGCTCCTCTCTACAGGCGCCTGAACCCTGCACCAACAGACGCCTAGTGGGCTAGGGAGGCCCGTTAGCACTCCGACGCTCAAATCAGAATCTGCTTTTAGAGAGAGAAGTGAATTTCAACTCTTAGTGAGAGAAGCCAACCTGCTTAAATGCTACCTACCGAGTACTATTTATACTCGATGAGACCCCGACCAGGCTCCTGGATTCCAGCTCCATGTCAGCGCATCATTAAATGCCTAGTACGGTCTAACGGTCGGATATCTACACGTGGCAGCTCCCAGACCAGACTCCTAGGCGCCTGGCAGGACCACATCTCCAGGTGGCACGCTCTCAGCTCCTTGGCCTCCTAGCCGCATGGTCCCCGCGTCTATTTTGTCGTTACGCGCCCGGCTCTCTAGCTTTGGGCCCAATTCTTACCTTGTCTTCCCTGTCCTTAATTGGGCCCGGGCCCAATTAAGTCTATTGAGCCCATGTCCCCCATAGGTTTGCCCATATTTATCCAACAGTTTTGTAGGTCGGCATAGAAATAGGGTAGCCCATTTGGTGGCTAGAAAAGCCCTCGCTTTGTATCCGACTATGAGTCGTGCTTTTAATTTTCAGGCCTGGCTGGTTTCCAGGATGTAACTATTGTTTTCATTATCAATATATGATTATCTTTTGTAAAAAAAAAAAAAAACACCCAACTCTTACATAATTTGTTTTTGTATGCTATCGATGGCGTTCGATTTAACAATCAACTCAACCACTCGTTTCTTTTCTTAATTTTCTTAATATATTGAAATTATTCTTATTTAATTTCCCTCTCATAGTTTTCATCTCCCGCCGGATTCTGCAGTTAGACCAGCAACAAGGTATCTGTTTGTTTGACAGCGAGTCGTTTCTTTTAAATAGAAAGCTCTCCAATGAATAAAGATAAATCGTAAATGTCATCGGGGAAAAAGGTCTAAAATTGCACATCAATAAATAATCCCGTAATATAATTAATTATGTAATACAAACAAAAAAAATGAATGATTATGATCAACAAGAAAAGAAAAGATTAAATTGCAAGTTTGGTCACTAGAATTACTCAAAAATTTCACGTTAGCTATTGAAATTAATTTATTCCATCCGTAGTCACTTAAATTAAGTTAACGATTCAAGTTTGGTCACTAGTCGTTAGTCTCCGTTAACTTTTGCTGATGTGGCGGTCAACTCTTATAGTTGACCGTTAAATGAGTGACGTGGCAATTAAAATAATAATAATAAATAAATTTTGATTATTTTTTATTTTTCATTTAATTATTTTAAAATTAACGGAGACTAACGGCCAGTGACCAAACTTGAACTGGTAACTTAATTTGAGTGACTACGGATGGAATAAATTAATTTTAATGGCAAACGTGAAATTTTTAAGTAATTCTAGCGACCAAAGTTGCAATTTAGCCGAAAAGAAAATGCGGATTCAACGGGGAAAAAGAATCGGACACTTTGCAGAAAATCACCTTTGTGTTAGATCTTCAAGAGTCAATTGGGATAATGAGCTCATGTGTAAATTCTCTGTGAAAAAGGTTTGGGAAACAATCAGACCTAAGTATGAAAAGGTCTTGTGGTACAACCTGGTTTGGAAGTTCCTATGTGCCCCAAGGGATAAGTTGCTTGTGTGGCTTATTATCCTCAACAGGATCACTACCCTTGATAAGGTTCAGGTGTGGAATCCTTCGGTGATTAACAAATGTCCCATTTGCCTCTTCGCTGCAGAATCAAAGGACCATTTGTTTTTTGACTGTTCTTATTCAGATAAGGTTCTACAGGTTGTGTTTCAATCACAAGCTCAAACGGGAGGAATCTAGGAAGACTCCTTGGGGCTAGCTATACTCAGTTCAAAGTAATCTCCTCAGCTTCTGATCGTGGCAGGCTTCTTTGGAATACAGTGGCGAGTGAGTCGTGGAGGGAGCAGTGTAGGCGTTTATATGCAAAGATTCTCTGATTGAAGCTCAACTACTGAAGAAGGTTAACAACTACTGTCTTTGCTGCGAAATGGCTTTCCTCAGATAGAAAATGCCATTTTCGAAGCAGAAATTCATAGTATAGTTTAATAGATGTTTATTTTGTTGTAATATAGTTTTTAGTTTGTCAATATGTATAGTTTATGAAGTTAGTCTGTACTTGTGGATTGATATTGGTGAGAAATGGTTGCCACTTGCCATTTAGAATGGTTTATAACCATTCTTCTTGATGAATAAACAACTTATTCATCGAAAAAAATGCCACACGAAATAAATTATTTAAAAATGGGAGTTAGGTAGTTAGTCGATAGCCAGCGTGCCAATGCAGACACGTGTAATCGGACGTCAATTAGGACTTAAATAGATAGATAGTATATATTTTTTTTTTGGTAATGTGATTTAGAGAGATCTTGTATTCAATTCATAATCACATAAAAAATGTATTATTACATTTTTAGATCAAGGTTAGTGATGGCAAGGTAGCGAGACGGGGAGGGTATCTCAATACGCATACCCGTCCAACACTAAGCACGTGTCAAGTCGAATAATACCCATGCATGTACGGGACAGGTGGGCCGACCCAATCTTAATTATATGTTGTTTGAAAAAATAACATCGATATTTAACTGTTTTATAAAAACACATATAGAAAGTACTTTATAAATGAATAAGAAATATAGAAGAAAAACATAATTGAGTCTAAATAGTTGAAAGATATAGTCTCAAAAATACTTTAGGATAAAAATATAATTTTGGTGAGGCTAAAAGAGGAGAAATACACGTAGATATTGATACAAATAATGATAGAACGGCACGAGACGAGGAGTACGATCTCCCTGTTCGAAAGCAATAATCTTTAGGACTTTGCTACGGTGACATGCACTTTCCGGTCGACCTCATATAGGATTAGGTCGACCTAATCTGTTGTTTCAGTGTAAAAACAGTTTTATGGTGCCTACTTTGGAATTCATATCTTACAATTGGCTAGATGGAAATTGGAGATTAATGGCTTGTTTTGAAGCTGAAGTGTCCCTCTACACAGTAAAGTACGTGCGAGCTCGATAGGAAGTCCAGAAGACCATTTTTGAACCTAATCAAAAGGCTATGCCAAAACTGGGAAACTGCTTGAAAATGGCTTAAGTCTGGGAACGTGTTTGTGAAGCCTACTTTGGAGCTCAATTTGAGAAGCATGATGCGAGTCGAGTCCAGAGGCCTATACCACGTTAAATTATGTATGTTTGTATACAAAGGCAATGAATTGGATGAAAGATTGGATATCTTTAAGGCTTCAAACAAAAGGCTCGAAGTTGCTACGAAGGCTGTTTTTCTGGCAGCTTGCTTGTGCTCGAAGTCTGCCAGAAAAACAGCCTTCGTAGCAACTTCGACCCTTTTGTTTGAAGCCTTACAGATATCCAATCTTTCATCCAATGCCTTGAATTTGTAATAAAACATACCTAATTTAACGTGGTAGAGACCCTAGACTCGACTCGCATTCATGCTTCTCGAATTGAGCTATAATGTAGGCTTCACAAACATGTTTCCAGACTTGGCCATTTTCATGCAGTTTTCTAGTTTTGGCATAGCCTTTTGATCAGGTTGAAAAATGGTCTTCTGAACTTTCTATTGAGCTCTCAATCACTTCAATATGTAGAGGAACACTCCAGCTTCAAAACAAGCCATTAATCTTTAATTTCCATCTAGCCAATTGTATGATATGAATCTCCAAAGTAGGCACCATGAAATTGTTTTTACACTGAAACAACAGATTAGATCGATCTAATCATAATGAGGTCGACCTAATCGTAAATGAGGTCGATCTGATCATAATGAGGTCGACCTAATTCTAACAGAGGTCGACCGAAAAGTGCAAGTCACCGTGACACTGACATGCATGTCATCTTAAGCACACCCTAATCTTTATCATTGTAATATACGTATAAACCCATGACGGGGACGATTTATTAAATTTTATGTAGTTAGATCAAAGAACACTTAAATAATTAATCTCATGTATACAACGACCTCCTTGTTCCAAAACAATCGTCTTTATCATTGTAACATACGGTACGTACATACCAATAATTGGGGATGATTAAATTTTTCCTGTAGTTAGATTAATGAACATTGAATAATTAATTTCATGTAACTTGGCAAGTGTACAACAATCACCATCACGACGAAACAAGAAACCCCAAGGGCTTGAAAAATAATAAATTGCTGTCAATCTTGTTCCTTAAACTATCATTTATTATGAGTCCTTTTTGAAAACCACGAACCATTCAATTAGAATTCCACATAACAGAAAAAAACAAAGAGGGAAGAGAGACATGGAGATTGGAGAGGAGATTGCTTTGGAATGGTTGGTGCTTAGCGGTTAAACCCGCCGGTTAGCCGCCATATGATGAACCCTATGTTTGGGGAGGAAGGGAAGCAAGTTTACATGTCAGGTCCACCAACTGGTAGTTGAAAGGAAAACCAGAAGACAAGAAGAAATCAGTAGACGGCAGCAACCTAAAAACAAAACAATTTATTAGAACAGCAACCACCACGCTGCCGGCTGCCTGCCTGCCTGGCCTTCCCCAAACACAGCTAACTAAGTGCCCAACCATTCGTTTTTGCTTTCTTGTCGTGCGGACACTGAAAATTACTACTACGTGGAAGTGGGAACCCTAGTTTCAACTTATTATTCTATGCTGCATTGCATGGTGATGTTCATGTTACTGTTAGAATTGTCATACGAGCTAATTAGAATATGTAGTGTGCACCTAATCTTTCAGGCGTCAACTATAGCTGGTTTGGTAAGTTTTCGACAAAATTGGTCAAGGATTCGGATTCTGAACTTGTCTTTACACTTTTGAAGTTTTACGAATGAAGCCAGACAAAAACAAAAAAAAAAAAAATTCAATTTATCCTGAAAATTTACATCCAACATGCCGATTCGTCTTTCGGATTTGGACCTATTGGTTTACAGGATTATAATTAAGATCCTTCTACTTTTTTTCTCTGTGAAAAAAATCATTTAACGCGCGGTTGAGTACAACCTAGTATATCCAATCAGCGACTAAATCGTGTGAATAACTCAACTATTTAGGAAGAAATTTAGAAACAGTTTTATATCATTTTAGTATGACAGACTAACAATGTCTTTTATTTATTAAAAAAAAGGGGTAAGAGTACCGTGTATAAATTTAAAATGCATACTAATTAACAATTTGACCGTCTCAAGTTACGAAACTTAAATATGATATACATTATAAGCTTAGTTTGGTCCTGCTGTAGCTTCTGACTGGAGCTTTTAGATAAGTACTTTTCAAAAAAAGTAGTTGACTGGTCGTTCCCCGAGAATATAATAAGGCCTCTCTTATTAACAACCACAAAAATGTCCTCGCGTATTTCTTGTGTATGGATTGTTCCATATTTAACTCAATATAAAATTATGAAAAAATAGTAAACTTAATAAAAGTAAGTGAGCATGGAAAACATAGTAGTCAGTGATTATGGCGTAAAATTTTATTTGAATTGATCGATTGATTCTAGATGTTGAGGAATAGGTTTTATATGACATGCAAAAAGTGTAAGACAATAAATATATTTTCTTTCTATCCGGTGTTATCGTGTTCCTTCCAGTCGTGATGTATTTCATTTCAATTCTTTTTAATATTACTATATAAATTTCTCTTTTTTTTTTTCAGTTCTTCATAAAATTAACATAGCTAGTAGTCACTATCTACACTACAGGTGTGCATCACTTCGAAAGAATTCGGCGTCGTTAATCATGTCATCATTTCTTCCATTTTTTATTTATTTAGAAATTTCTTTTTGTTATTGGTCGATATATAAAAACGAAACTATCAATTGTGTTCTATTCAAATAAAGTATCATAGTCTACCTTGACTTGTGTCCGGAGCACAACTTTCAACTCAACTTGCAACCAACATAAGTCTGAGTATCAAGTTCAATATAAGGCTCAGTATGAGTATCTACTTCACCCTATCCTAATTCTCGTTCCTAGATATCATACAACAATTTCATACCAGTTCTCAGCCCACAATTTCCTCAAAGTTTTGAGTTTGTAATTACTCCACACTTTTTCCTTATATAAAACATTTTAATTATAGTTATGATTACTATTGAGATACGCCCTAACGTTTAGGAATTAGATGCGAGGTGTTAAAATCTCCACACACTTTCTCCTTAAATAATATTTTTAAATTGTATTAGTGGTTATTGTCAAAATATGCACTAAACTATATACGAGTTGAACTTGAGTCTTTGAGGACTTCTTATATAATCTTAGGTAAAAAAATTCCACACTTGTAAACCTCGAACCTAGAGCTCCCCTTTAGCTATAATTAATTGGGTTGGTGTCAATGTTTCCAATGATAAGGAAGAGCGGGAGGGACAATATCTCTTGGGATTAGTGTTTTTGTGTTTGTTTATTTTTGTCTCCCTCTCCGCCAATGGCTTCTTCGATCACGCGCATTCCATCTTCACTTACCACCCACCATTTCCCTTCTTCTCTAAGGTATTTCTTTCTTTCTATCTTCCCCTGCTTCCTGCTTCTTCTCCTCCTCTGCTACTTCTATTTCATCATCTCCATTCATTTGGTCTGACTCAAAAAACATAATAGACCCCAAAGGGTTTCTTCTGAAATCTGAAATCTCATCCCTTTCCAACTCTCTCTCTCACACAAGTTCACCGTCTCCATAACCAAAGATCATGGTGATGACGATGATGGTAGTTCCGATTGTTGAAATCTAGAGACACACAGTACCAAACAGTTTGTGTTTCTGGGATGTTGTTTATTTTCTCCCCCTTTGGCCTCTTGGGGTTGGTCTAATCTTGAAGGGTTTCTGGTGGGCTCTTCTTCTTTCTTCTTAATTAATTCTCAAGTCTTCCATCCATGGTGTCCTCTGTTTCCTCTGTTTTTACTCTGTTTCAGTCCCTTCACAATTAACGATATAAGTTGCTAGGTTCCCACATAATGATTTCGGTATCATCTCAATACTTGACTTGCTACTAAGGCTTAGGAGTCTTTTTTCTATTTAGAAATCATGATTAGCTCATAATAGTCAAAACCTAGGGGGGAGGGTAATTGATTTGATTAGAGAACCATTCACTTATACATAAGAGTTTGTCCGAATTTCGTTCCTTTGTATTAGTGTTGATATGATTGTACGTGTTATGATAACGTCTGAAGTTGATTCATTTGGAAACCCTTTTCCTGTTTTCTCATCAGGATTTGTCACCAAGATCATTATGACCTGTAAGAAGGAAGTATTAGTCTGATTCCCCCTCAATTTTAGAGACTAAACAAGGAAAATACAGAGCAGAGCAGCAAGCTAGCTTTCAGAATTCAGATGATGGCTACATACTATACAACAATCAGCAGCAGTCCAACGGGAGACTTGCAGACACCAAGTTCATCATCATGTCAATTAGAAACCAATCTTTCCAATAATTCCCACCTCAACACCATCTCCATTTGTTCATACTCGGATATTCTCTCCGGAGCCACCACCACCTCTCTATCTCCCAACCACCACCACGCCGATGAATTCTCAACCTCACAATTCGGGCCGACACGCAACAACGAGATGATGTTCATCCCGCCCTTGAGCAGCGAGGTTCCGTCTCCAGATTTGCATCCACGCAACGTGGACGCAAATCTGACTGCCGCGGAGGGGTTCCACATCCAAGGTGGGCTCTCTCTGAGCCTCGGCACCCAGATGGGCGGTGTCGAGGCTCCATCGTTTCATCACTATCAGTACTCCGTCTCAGAGCCCGAAGAGGAGCTCATTCTGCCTGCTTCGTTGGTTAAATGGAACAACCACAACAACCATGGAGGAGGAGGGGATGTGATAAAGATGGAAGGTGGTGGTGGTGGTCCGATGAACAATCCTCCCGATCATTTCTTGCAGGGGAGTGAGAGTAACAATGCTGTTGAAGTGTATGAGACGTTCGGGTATGCGAATGTTTCGCTGTTCAATTCGAGGTACCTCAACGCGACGCATGAGTTGCTGGACGAGGTTGTTAATGTGAAGTACGCCCTCGCGGCGAGTGGTGAAGGGAACAAATGCTCGGATGAGAAAGAGGGCAACGAACGGGTTGCATCGGTTGAGTCGGATGGTGGCAACTCATCCTCGACCGAGTTGTCACCATCCAAAAAACAGGACTTGCAGAGTAAAAAGATCAAGCTTGTGTCCATGATCGATGAGGTAACAAAATTTTCAGTTTCTTTTATGTGACTTGTCACACTTTATATGACTCAAATTATTATTCGATTATCAAAATCTTGTATATCTTGTAGGTGGACAGGAGGTACAAGCAGTACTACCACCAAATGCAAGCTCTGGTCACATCCCTAGATATGGTCGCCGGCAACGGCGTAGCTAAATCGTACACAGCTCTCACGTTGCAGACAATCTCCCGGCGGTTTCGCAGCCTCCGGGATGCAATCGGCAGCCAATTAGACGCAATCAGGAGGAAGCTAGGCGAGCCAAAAGCAGCATCCCGCTGCATCCCGCGTCTTCGGTATGTGGAGCAGCAGCTCAGGCAGCAGCGAGCGCTTCAGCAGCTCGGCGTCATGCGCCATGCTTGGAGGCCTCAGAGGGGCCTTCCCGAGAACTCCGTCACAGTTCTCAGGGCTTGGCTCTTCGAGCACTTCCTCCACCCGTATGTCAAAACACAGGATTCGTGTTTAATCTCACATTTTTGGTAGTTATAGCGGTTGATCGTGGGTTTGTAAATGTTGGTTTGTGATGTGCAGGTATCCAAATGATGCAGAGAAGCTGATGCTAGCGAAGCAGACAGGGTTGAGTAGAAACCAGGTGGCCAACTGGTTCATAAACGCCAGAGTGCGGCTATGGAAGCCGATGGTGGAGGAAATGTACAAAGAAGAGTGCGGCGGGTTCGGCGACTCAGACGCAAACTCCAAGTCGTCAAACGACGAACCAAACAGAATCCACGGCGGTGCCACCCTCGATCAAAATCAATACCAGCGACACGATCATCATCATCATCATCTAGTAGTCGGTGAACACGATCTCCAAGACACCGCGGTGACCTCATCGCCATCATTAGCCGCCGATCACCACCACTTCCTCCATCATAACTCCAATTCAATGATCAGTTTTCACCAGGAGACGATGCAGCCACAATCGCGACCGGAGATCGACCACGATCAGGACCAGGGGCTACGACATTATGTGGTGGCGGAACAGAGTACTCTGCCTCTCAACCTAAATGCAGGGGATGGCAGCTTGATGTCCGCGGCCGTCCAATACGGCGGCGTTTCTGAGATGAACGCCGGACTACTTCCTGCTACATTAGGAGGAACCCACCACCGCCATGTATCTCTGGCGTTGGGATTGCAGCACAATGAAACGGACGGCGGCGACGGTGGTGAGATGGTGGATTACCATAATTGCTTGGATGGCAAGGCACATGAGCAGCATCACAGGTTTGGGAGCACGGTACATCTGTTGCATGATTTTGTAGTGTCTAAGAACCCTTGCTTCTAGGTCAAGGTAACGCAAGTTATCAGGAGAATTGAAGGGAGGTTGGTTGATGGTTTCATATTTCTTCGTTTTTTTTGGCTGCAAAGGGAGTTTTCTGTACATACATATAATGGTGGTGATATAATATGTTAATGTCTCTTTCTTTCCCACCACGACTTGTAACATATAGGAATTAGATTGGCGGAAGAGTATTGTAATCGGGTATATTTGTAAAGGTAGGAACAGAAGGGGAAATGTAGAACAGGGGGCTTTGTATACTTTCTGTTGTTGAATAAGGAAAGTTTGGTATACAAATTGATGACGATTTCAAGGTATTTTTTTGACGCATTGAGGTCATCGCACTAGTAGAAGTCCAAGGTTCAAAAAGGCGCTAGGCGTAAGGCGGGCGTCGAGTCTTTGTCTTGCGCCTAGCTCGCCTAGGCATAGACTAAACGTGCCTAGGCGTTGGAAGAAAAATAGTTATTCGCACTACATGATGAATGAAATAATAATCTACAACACTTATTCACTTCAGTGAAAATGATTAATAACTTACACAACACTTAATGACAAGAACATAGCTCATGAATTCATAGAATCATAGCTCAATAGCTCACAAAGTTCTTGAACTATTGAATATATTGCAATGGAAAATTGATTTCATAGTTTATGTTAATTTGGTCTTTAATATTGACTTCCTAGCTCCATCTAGTAATGTTTAGGAGAGACTTATATGTCGCCTTACTTTATTGATGTGTTCCAGTATCTAATTAGGTGCGAAACTCCTAGGCGAGGCGTTTTGCCATTGCCTTGTGCCTAGGCGTGCCAAAGCGTAAGGTTAAGTGTGCTTTTTCGAACCATGAGTAGAATGACTTAATGATACCAACATAGCATTGTAACTTCACGATGTCATATTCGAGGTCCGCTCAGCTTATATTTCAAGGCTAATGGAATAACACGGTAAATGTGTCTGAAAGAGTTAGCAAAATGTAATTCATTAGAAGAAGTCAATCTACATACTATGAAGTAAAACTACGTTCAATTCGGAGCTCAACAACTATTAATTAGAAAATCAACCAAAGCCGAGGCAAAAGACGGAAGAACGTAATATCTAGTTTCATTGAATCCTTTGAAGAGAGCGGGAGTATTCTCCATTTTTTGTCTATTCGAACTCGAGTAGAGATGAGTAAACGATACAAAACCAAACACCAACAAAGATGTCGATATTAGCACAACAAAAGTAAAATGACAAAAAGATGGACCACCAAAAGGTTCTCATGTGAGCAATGTTGTCAAACTAGTTTAAGTCATTGAATCGGTTAAGCAAGTGGTTTGAGATTTAATGGTCTTATCGGCGTCCGACCTATTTGAGACGTTTTATACATTTTATAAATATATATACAGATAAGGTAGTAATTCAAAATTTTAATAATTAATGTTGTCAAACCTCATTAAGTCATTTTATACATTTTCTAAATATATATACAAATAAGGTAGCAATTAAAAATTTTATTGACTGAAATCAAATTTACCTTATATGTAAATATTAAAAACTCATCTTCCATAAAAGAAAACCTACCCCACCTCCATCAAAGAAAGCATGGATCTCTCCTGTGCTTTGTCAATGTGAGATTCGCCTAATGGGTTACATAAACCTCCATTTGGGATCAATATGTAACACCTTAGGCGAATCCCACATCAACAAAGCAAATGAGAGACTATGGTTCATAAGTAAGAAACCGACCTTAACTGACAAGACGCGTTTTTAGGTGAAATGAAAGAGTTCTTGTCAAAACCTTGAAGTCAAAAGTGCTCAACGTAAAGCACTTCAAGGATGAGTGACCTTATAAGAAGTCATCTCGATAAACATCCCCAAAGCAAAATCCGTGAAAGTCTAGACCCAAAGCGGATAATGTCTTGTCGGGAAAAGCTGCGGAATGTTATAGAAAACACTAGCTTTCATGGTTCTAAATCCATATTGGCTGAATTGGTAATACCAAAACGCATTCTAGTTATCATCAAATGTTACTCCTCAATCATGATAAACAATTCCATAGTGTAAAAAGTTAACAAAATGAAATACAGGGAGCGAATTTGCCATGCGGTTTCCTGCAAGCTTCGTGAATGTTTTGTCTCCATTCATCAGGGGGGCAGACATGAGCAGTTTCTCTGTACTAGGGGATGGCTGTGGTCCAAACTGCCTTAACCATTCTTGCTCATGGTTACTTGGATTCCACGCTTTCTTTCCCTCACAGACAAGTCCCTTTCAAACAATCTTCCCACAAGATTAGATCATCCATCCATATTCTTTCCCTGCCCATGTTTCTAGTTAGGGGAAGTGTAGAGCCCTCCCTCTTGGACATAAATAACCTACCCAAGTTGCTTCCCTATGTTCTAATGAGCTGGCCAGGCACCCATTTCTGTGAAAAAGGGAACTCTTGTGGCTGAAAACAATAGCCTATTGGTGGTGGTGGTGGAGTGATTGTAGCATATAGGTAAAAGAAAGGGGTTGGTTCGAACCAACTTGCGAGTTTCGGGTTATCCCGTTTTGGTTCTTAGGTCACTGTGATCGAATCATTTTGTTATTGTTAATATTTCAAACCAAAATCTAATACTACGGAGAGATTTATTAGTTTGAGCATGATTATACTAATTTATATCGTTGACATATGTGATCGGAGATTTCATAGTCACTGTAACATACCGAGGGTAATATATTATAATAGGTTCATCATTTTGAATTGTGAGTCATTATATATTATCGGTTGGATCTGTTAGTCATTTATAATAGTCAAATTTGAAATATAACTCAAACACTAAAGTGGGAAATTTTTGGAAATGAGTCATGGTGGGTAGGTTTCAGATTAAAATCATTTTAGCAATTGGGCCGGTTCAAATGATAGTATATATCTTGGGCTTAATTGCAAGTTTGGTCACTCGAATTGCTATAAAATTTCACGTTTGCCACTCAAATTAATTTATTCCATTTATAGTCACTCGAATTAGTTGAACAGTTCAAGTTCGGTCACTCTCCGTTAACCTCCGTTAACTTTGACTGACGTGGCGGTCAACTCTGACAGTTGACTGTTAAATGTGTGACGTGGCAAATAAAAAATAATTAAAAAATAAAAATTAAATTTTTAGAAATTACACATCATTATAAAAAAAAAATTATAATTATAAAAAATAAAAAAAAAAGAAATTATCACAAAAAGAAATTACACATCATTATCACAAAGAAATTATCAAAAAACAAACAACACAAAATTCCTTCCAGATTCGTGCCCCGCCTCCATAGACAGAGTCTTTAGTCTTTACCACACATGAAAATTGGGTTATGTTGGTTTGTCGTTGCAGGGCTGGGCAACGGCGATCTGAACGGCGTGACGCTTGGGACGACGAGGAGCGGTAATACGTGCGAAGGCGAGCTGCAATGAAACGTGGAAGTGATCAACAACTGTTCGTGCCCCATCAGCAACCTGGTCGTTTCATGCAAAGGATTCACCAGCACTCTGCCAGTAAACCCGGCTCTGTTCATGCAAAGGATATCACAGGCTGGAATTAACAACAATGGATATAACTAATACATTAGTATGAAACACCTCCTTTACAAATCATTCCAATCCTTAATTCTTTTACAGGTGCATCTAAAAGCTAGAGTTCCTGGAAGTAGCCTACCCTCTTCTTCTTTTTTCTTAGAAAAGTACAACGCAGATCACCATTGGCCTGAACTGGCCGGTTAAAACACATCAACATTTTTTCGGCTACTTAACTGTAACCATACAATGAACTCACGCTTTACCTACCGCGGACTTTCCGACCCTCCTTCGGACTTTCAAGTTTTTGTGATAATTTTTATTTTTATTTTTTATAATTATAATTTTTTTTTATAATGATGTGTAATTTCTAAAAGTTTAATTTTTATTTTTTAATTATTTTTTATTTGCAACGTCACACATTTAACGGTCAACTGTCAGAGTTGACCGCCACGTCAGTCAAAGTTAACGGAGGTTAACGGAGAGTGACCGAACTTGAACTGTTCAACTAATTCGAGTGACTATAAATGGAATAAATTAATTTGAGTGTCAAACGTGAAATTTTATAGCAATTCGAGTAACCAAACTTGCAATTAAGCCATATATCTTGGAACGATTGTTGACACTAAACTTTGATGCTAAAGACTTGGGATGTGATGCATGTTAGCATCCATAATTCCATATAGCTACTGGACCAACCCTTAGAAGTTCAAATGATAATTTTGTTCACCTCGAATCACTTTGAGTCATGGTTGACACCAGCCCAACATAGCTTAATCATAAGATCAAATCATTTTAGCAAGCATGATTGTCAAATATGAAAAGAAGGACAATCTATTTCTTTTATGAATGTTGAAAACGGAACAACTTTGTGAGGTTTGTGGATTGTGGGAAGATAGAGGGGGCCGAAGCAAGACAGCTTTAATCGTATGAGGAAGTGAGTGGGGGGCTCTGTTTAAATCCCAGATCCTGGTGGTGAATAAACCAGAGAGTGACAACTGGAGGAGGCCAAAGGAACAAAAGATAGGCAATCATTGCATGAGAGCATTGTCCTGAGTTGAAGAGGAAAAACTAAAAAGAAATAAGAATAGAGCTTATATAATATAACCCAGAATCAGTCTTATCAGCACATCAATGAACAGAGCCAATAGGCAACAGCCCACAAAGACAGAACCCTTTTTTGTTTGTATGACTGTGGCTGTGGTGGCTGTGAGCCTGTGACTAAACTGGCTATTGTATTGGCCCCTTTTTCCATCCTTACTATGCTTCTCTCTCTTTCTCTCTCTCTATCTTGAGCCCAACAAGACTAGGAAGCACAGCATCATCGTCAAATCCGGCTCGAATCGATAGATTTAACTAGTTAAACCACGATTTAAGAGTTTAGTTAGCCTATCTGACTGCCATCTAGTATTTGGAGTCAATCTCGGATTTAAATCAAGTGATTTTTTTGAATTCAACCATTCGAAATCTCGACCCAACTGTCTCATGTCGAGCCGAATGTAATAACATCAAGCGAGTAACTTCCTTTCGAATGTGATCTCTTTCTACCTCATGCATTCTCTGCACTAAAGATAGTGACATTCAGAGTCCTCTCAACATCTCCAATGCATGATAGCAACATCTAACAGAGAAGAAAGGTTTAGATATTCCCATATGGTTACTGTCCCAGAAAGAGACAATCTTCAAACTGAGAGTGTGCAAAAGCTAGCCTGGCCCTTTTTTCATTTCAATTTCATAGATTGCAAAACAGGGAAAACCCCCATGAGAATTGAGATACATATACAATACACCATCAATCCCCCCTCTTCTCTCTTCCTGTGAAAGGAAGAGAGAAGAGTTCTTCTTTTATCATTGTTTTAAGGCTGAAGCCTGAAAATATCCTTTTTTAGTCTCCCAAAGAAATGCAGCTTCCAGTCACTAAAGCTGAAGCCCACTGCTCCTATTGCTTTTGCTTGCTTGTTTTTTAATAGTCAGGGAAGTTTTTGGTTGGGGAAGGGCCGAAGGGGACCATTTTCTTACTTTGTCAGCTATTCCATTCTGATATTTTTATGCTTTCACAGCCAATTAACCCTCACAATGTTTATAGAGGGCTCTGGCTCTGGCTATATCTTCAGCTCTTGGCTGCTTAGATTTAGGCCTGGTCTGTTGCACACAGTCATATAGGGAAGCAAGAAAAGGGAGAGAGAAAGAGAGCTCTTAGCTTTATTCTGTGTAGTTCACTAGTGTAAACTGTAAAGTGTAAAGGAAACAGAACAGAACAGAACTCACACAATAGTAGTATACTACTTTCACCTTCTGGCACTCGTTTTCCCCCCCTTCATGCTTATTAAAGCTTGCTACTTTCCTTTCCATTTTCCTGTTTCTGTTGGAGGGTTCTCCTTAGTTCATTGAGATTTTGCCAGTCCAATCAGTTGCAGAAGTTTTTTTTTTTTGTTCTTCATACACTTGCATTGATCCTCCACTTTTTGGCCTTGTTTGTCAACAAATGCCATCACCCACTTTTACCTACTGATGCTTTCTTATCAATGGAAGCTCTTTGTTCATTGTAAGTCTGTAAGTCAAATACTTAGTTCCCCCGCCATTTTGATGGATGGAAGAGCTCCAACTTTTTCTTCAGGAGGGGTCAAAAGTGTCATGCTTTAACATAATCAAGACTTTCATCATCTTCTGTTAGTTAGTAGTGTATCTTCTTTTCTAAGTCATGCCTAATAATGCAGCATCCCTTTTTCTGGTTCTTTGATTTCCAGTTAGCTTTTAAATTGCAATGCTTGGACATGACTGCACTTCTGGTTTCTGAAAGTCAAATCCTTTATGTCAAAAGATCAAACCCTTTCTCCTTCTACTTATAATTTATAAATGATCTACCAACTCCTTTTTCCTTTTGTCATAAAGTCCTGTAAGGCATCTCAAGTCTTAGTCCCCATGTTTGCTTACAAAACCAGTATCTCTTGAACTATCAAATCGATCCAGCCACCCAACCCAGAATCTCCCAATATTTTCCTTTTCAGATGATCATTTCCATTGAAACTCCATCCCCCAAAACACCCTTCTTCTGATTCTTGTTCCTTCTTCTAAGCTTTACTATGGTTTCTCAAGACTCCCCTCCACATCAATCCTCTAGCATGCTACGCCAGTTCATTCAATCCCCAAACCAGTTAGAGAACCAAAACCTCAACACATTCCCTCACTCTCTTGGCCTAATGCCTTCCATTCATTCGTTTGAAGATAGAATCTCGCGGTTCTCGGCCTCTCAGGAATCAGAGATGAGCCACACCAGGCACTTCATGGACCTCCTTGGAGCAGCTGCAAATGAGACCAACAATCACCATGTCCAAAGGCTCTCACTTTCCCTTGGCTCTCAAATGGGTTTCCCTCCTTCTCATGAAGTCCAATTCAGACAGAGTAGTAGCTACCAAAGTGACTACTCTTTCAACTGCAACAACAACAACAATACTGCCTCCTTTGCTCCTTCATCATCTTCTTACGGGACCGAATCGTTCTTCCTTGCCATGAAGAACTCAAAATATATAAGACCAGCCCAATCACTACTCCAAGAAATTGCAAGAGTTGGTGGGAAATCTGTTGAGATTAACAATGAGAAGTATGTGATGAATCTGATTCAAAGCAGGAGAAGAGGAGGAGGGCTTGCTTCTGAGCTGAGAGCAGAATTATGCAGCAGCATGAATGGCAATCTGATGACACCAGAAAGACAAGAGCTTCACATCACACTCTCAAAGCTCGTAGCTTTACTTGAAGAGGTTGGTGTTTCTCGCTTTTTTCTTTCTTTCTTGGTGGTTTAACCAAAGGGTTAATGGTATTGTTTTACTTGTACTATGCTGTTTTACACAAATACATTATGATCTAGTTTAGTTAGAATCTACTTAAACTTAGTAATCATGCCCTAAATCACTCACCGCCTGTTCTTTGTGTTCAGATTGATGTGAGGTATGAGAAGTACTACCAGCAATTGGAGGAAGTGGTGTCATCGTTCGAGCAGATGGCGGGTTTAGGAGCTGGGAAATCTTACACGGCGTTGGCGTTGCAGGCCATGTCGAGGCATTTCTGCAGCTTGAGAGATGGGATTGTGTCGCAGATCAATGGCGCAAGGAGGAGGTTGTTGTCGAGTAATTTGTCTCATCATGTAAGCAATGGGATTTCGCAGCTGAGCCTGTTTGATGAAGAAGGGAGGCAGCATCATCAGGAGGCTGCAGGGAGATTGTCGCTTCAGCAGCTTGGATTGCTGCAATGCCAGAGGCAGCAATGGAGGCCCATCAGAGGGCTGCCTGAGACCTCTGTCGCCATCCTCCGATCTTGGCTGTTCGAGCACTTCTTGAACCCGTGAGTTAGTTCAATTTTGCTTTCCAAATCATATCATCGCTCAGAAAGCTACGTTTTGTTTGGGAAGTTGTGATATTTAATGAGTTTTTCTTTTCATTGAGTAGGGTAAGTAGTTGCTAAATGTTTGATATTTTAAGAATTGGTCACTAGAGTTCCCAATTAGCATCGAAAGTTTTAGACTTTAGTCCATATTATCTAAATAAATCAGCTGTAAGTCTTTTTAGTTAGGTATTGGGTAATGGACTAGAATCACTAATTTAATTTACATTGATAATAAGATAAAATGGTTTGTTAATGTCAATTAAAAGGTTTATGTTGGGTTTTCCAAATTATTTACTTAGCCTAGTTAACATGTTTGGTGAACAACATAATGCGTTTGCATGAAGTGTTTATTATGTTTATTATTTCAAACTTAAGCAATAGTGTCATTAGGAGAGTTACCTAACTAACCTCTACACTTTCTCCTTCCCTCTCCTCTTTCTTATGATAGATAATCAATTAATCTATTAACATGGAATTGTAGGTATCCCAATGATTCTGAGAAGCTAATGTTGGCGTCACAAACCGGGCTGACAAAAAATCAGGTGATCTTTTTAGTCATACTTTCACAACTAACTGATGTCGATCATCAGAGCAGTGAGCTCGAAAACGCATTGGTAACAGGTTTGTTGCTTGGTGATAGGTGGCTAATTGGTTCATAAATGCGAGAGTGAGACTATGGAAGCCGATGATAGAAGAAATGTACAAAGAAGAATTTGCCGATTCTTCAGAAGACTCAAATCCATCACATCAAGGAGCGAACAATAGATCTAGCCGAGCAACAGAAGATTTTGCGAGGGATGATCATTCAGATGATTGAAGAACGAGCGACCGATCCTTGTTATATTCCAATATAGTATTCTTTAATCGAAGTGCCACTCGAATGCTGGTTCTTTTTAGGTATTCACATTATGATCACTCTGAAACTCCAAGCTGCTAATGCGCGACACGTATTAAGAGTTCTTTTTCGCCCTTCTCCCAATTTATAACGAGAGAGTAGTTGCATAATATCTAGGAATAATTGAGTCTCATGGGATAAATATTTGTAATTCATTCCTTTCGATTGTTATCAAATTCTAACTAGATATAACGTGGATTAAATTGAATTCCGGCCAAACCGAATCGGATAGACACTCAACTAAAGAAAATCGGATATTACCAAACTACCAACTCAGTATTTTAGTTTAGTAACTCCATAGTCCACACACTAATAAAAATATTTAGGATCCCACCGTTTCACCCAAGAAGCGTGCAATATCAGCTCCAGAATATTTTCTTCCGCTGCTCCACCAATCACCATCATCCCCTCCAACTATATTCCGAAATCCATCCGATAAGTAAACAATTAAAAAGAAAAGAACCCAACAAACTAATTAGTAGTAGCACTGATAAAATGGCGGTATTCTGATAATCCGGCGGATCACCTAATAAAACCCGCTTCTTCTTCCCCACATCCGCTCCCCGGAACCACACCATGACCAGTTCGGCTGCTCCGTCGCGCAAGGTTTTTCTCCGCTCTCTCCTTTTCCCGATTCTCTCTATTCGTCTTGATTGACGAGATGGGTTTTTTTTTCATTTTTGTTGGTTTCCGAAATTTGGCGTAGGCTTTAAGCAGGATCGCTTGTAGCAGGCTGCAGAAGGAGCTGGCCGAGTGGCAGCGCAATCCGCCGGCGGGGTTCAAGCACAGGGTCACTGATAACCTCCAGAGGTTCTCTTCTACTTGACTTTTTTTTCTTCTTTCTTTCTCCTTTCGAGCTGTCGATTGGAAGAATTGTACGTTGATTTTGGTATTGGATTCGGTTTGTGAAGATGGGTGATCGAGGTCAATGGAGCTCCGGGGACTCTGTATGCGAACGAGATGTATCAGCTTCAAGTTGACTTCCCTGAGCACTACCCCATGGAAGCTCCTCAGGCGAGAGTTTTATGATTATTTCCGCGCTGCAGTCTAAATTGTTGGTCAATCTGCGGTTTTGTGTTCAGTAATGGCGTTTTTATCTATGGTGTTTGCATTTGAAACAGGTGATTTTCATCCCGCCGGCTCCTATGCATCCTCACATCTACAGCAATGGCCATATTTGTTTAGGTATCTCTCTCTATTTTCTTCTGCCTGCAAATTATCAGTTATGAGTTATGACATGTATGGCACATCCAGTGAAGTTTGGCTCATTGGAGCAACTGGGGTTTTAGATTTGCTTTATTATGAGTTTGCTTCATAGGGTATAAGCATTATAGTTTTCTATGGTTCTGACCCGGGCTTCGTCTTTCATTCATTGGTCAACATTTTCGCCACTAGTGCACGAATAGGGTAGCGAATAGACCTGGGTCTATCAGCTGAACATGACTGTTAATACTCGGCATTCTTGTTCATTGCTAGTTGATGAATTGCATCCAACTATGAGTTTACCTCAGTGAGTAGTTTGAGACTGTGGCTGAAGTTTGACCTGCTAGACCAAGAAAGATGCACACTTGAGCAATGAAACCTACATAAGCTTATCAATATTATTAGTTGTGGTTGATAGTATGGTTTTTTTTTTTCCACAATGCTTTGGTTTTCCTGGGCAAAGAGTCATCTTTAGCAACTTCTTGTGAGAAGTGGGGGAAATAGTTCTGTCATACTTCTTTCAGTAGTATCTGATTGTTGCTCATGATCTAAACTTGTGTTTTGATTGTCCTTTGTAGATATACTGTATGATTCATGGTCTCCAGCAATGACTGTTAGTTCCATCTGTATCAGCATTCTCTCCATGCTATCTAGTGCAACTGCAAAGGTTGGTTTGTCTGATCCTGCAGCCAATCCTCCAATCCTCTAAACCTCCTTTACCATTATTACTGTTCACCTGTCCTATTACCATATCTAGTCCTCACTTGACCCGCTACCTGCTCCACCATCATGCAGCAACGCCCTGCTGACAATGACCGTTACGTGAAGAACTGCAAGAGTGGGAGATCTCCTAAGGAGACTCGATGGTGGTTCCACGACGACAAAGTCTAGCTTGTTTAACAAACTAAATGAGATCTAACAATTACTTGCATTACCACCTGTGTATACCCAAAGAAACAGAGGTTTGATGAACTTATGTGGTAGCTTGTGATTGATGGAAACAGGTTCAGAAGCTGGTTTTGCTTTCTACCTGTCATAGAGCAACCTGTTTCTTTATTTACTTTTTTGTTTACTGAGCTCTCCTTTCAGTTGTTGTCAAGCAACTGTAAAAAAGGATGAGAATTACGTACTAATGAACCTTCCGTCAGTAAGCATTCTTTGACATGCAAGAACGGTCGCTATACACCGTCGACGGTCTCCACGATACAGGTGGGCCTTAAAGACTCAAGACTTGTGTTTCTATTATTAACTCAATGAATATATAGAGCCATACAGCAGAGTGTGCAACGGAAGGCAAATAACAGAAGGAGTGAAAGCTAGAGAGAAAAGTGGAGCACAACGTTCCACTACTAACAGATAACAAGCTGCCTATAATGTAGGAAACAGGTACACTTCATCACCCCCCCGCAATTTGAGGCTCGGAGAGGCGAAAATTGGAGCAGAACTTGTTGAAGGGCTGTCGTGGTAATGGCTTTGTGAGAACATCAGCAAGTTGATCGGGAGCTGGAAGATAGTGCACACGAAGCTGTCCTTTGCTGACCTGGTCACGTACAAAGTGGAACTCGATTTCCATATGCTTAGACCGATTGTGAAACACGGGATTATGAGCAAGGAAAGTTGCTCCGAGGTTGTCACACCAAAGAGCTGGAGCTGAGGGTAGCTGCTGCCCTAGTTCAGTGAGTAAAGACTTTAACCAGAGAACTTCTGAAGCCAGAGTAGCTAGGGCACGATATTCGCATTCGGTCGAGGAGCGGGCAACAGACTTTTGTTTCCGAGTAGACCAGGAAACGAGGTTGATGCCACAGAATACGGCAAACCCGGTAACAGACTTACGATCCTGTGGGCAAGATGCCCAGGAGGCATCTGAGTAGCCATGAACATGTAGAGATGATGATTTGCTGATAACCAGACCTCGATCAATAGTGCCTTTCAGGTATCGAAGGATTCGTTTGACTGCGGACCAGTGATTATCCGTGGGAGAGTGCTGGAATTGAGATACGTGATTTACCGCAAATGCAACGTCTGGACGAGTGAAACTGAGATACTGCAGACCACCAACTATGCTGCGGTACATGGCTGGATCCTTGAATGGAGGAGAGGAGGACATGGCAGACTGTTGAATGATGTCTGTTGTGCAGGGTGTGGAGATTGTATTTGCGTCGGACATATGAGCACGGTCTAGTAAATCATGGATGAACTTGCGCTGCCGAAGAACAATACCAGTGGGTGTGCGACACACTTCAATGCCAAGGAAATAGGATAGGGACCCCAACTCACGAAGAGCAAAGTTGTCGCGGAGAAATGTGAACAGCTTCTGTATGAGAGACGAATCATTGCCTGTGATGACTATGTCGTCAACATAGACGAGCATGTAAACCCGAGTCGGACCTGTCTTATAGATGAACAAAGATGGGTCAGTCCTGGAAACAGAGAAACCAAATCGTGTGAGTGCGGCAGCAAGACATCGAAACCATGTCCGGGGAGCCTGTCAGAGACCGTAGATCGACTTCCGAAGACGACACACGTAATCGGGTTTGGCAGGATCGACGAAGCCAGCGGGCTGCTGCATATAGACCGTTTCCTGTAGTTGATCGTGAAGGAAAGCATTGGCGACGTCAATTTGATGCAGAGGCCATTCATGAGTCACTGCCAGACCAAGAATTAGGCGAAGCGTGGCAGGTTTGAGGACTGGGCTGTAGGTCTGTTGAAAATCCAGTCCTGGAATCTGCTCATAGCCACGAGCAACCAAGCGAGCACGCCGTCGATCCAAGGAACCAGTTGGGTGAAGCTTGGTGCGGTACACCCACTTGTTGGAGATAATGTTGCAGTTGGCAGGCGGGGGAACCAAGTCCCAGGTGTGGTTGCGGTGTTGGGCATCGACTTCCTCTTGCATAGCCGAGCGCCAGAGTGGGTTCTTGAGGGCCTGTTTGACAGTGGTGGGGGTGTCATCGATGTGGAGGGTGGAGAGGAAGGACTTGGGTTTGAGATTCCCTGTTTTGATGCGGGTTACCATGGGGTGTTGAGAGCTCGTGGGGTTTGTGACAGTGAGCAGGCGTGGGGAGGTGGTGAAAGGCGGCCGATCGGTGATTTGGCGGCGAGGGGGTAGAGATGTCGGCGTTCGGCGAGAAGCAGGGATTGGGGACGAGAGGGAAGGGGATGTAGATTGGGCCTGGTGGGTGGGCTGAATGGGGGGTGGTTGCGTGGGAGGTGTGGATGGCTGGGTGTGAGCTTCGGATGTGGGCGGATTGGTGGTGGACGAGGAAGGGGGGATAGATGGTGGCTGAGGTGGAGGGGGATCTGGGGGGCTAAACGTCGTCGGTGATACTGGAGGAGAGGCCGTGTTGGGAGGGAACGGGTCGCTGGGTTGGTGGGCTGAGAAACAGGCTGCGGTGGGTGGGCTGGAGGTGGCGAAGACAGAGTTGGGCTGGGGGCAGAATTGGGGTTGGGCCTGGGAAGGGGGAAAGGTAGAGGGCCAGTGGGCACGGCAGATGGTGGGGGAAGTAGAATAGGTGGGGATGTATGTGGTGTGGTTAAGGAGGGTGAGGGTGTAGGTAAATCGGCAAATGGAAAATGAGACTCATCAAATAAAACGTGGCGACTAACATAGATGCGACCGGTGGGAATGTGAAGGCAACGATAACCCTTATGGAGTTTGCTGTATCCAAGGAAAACACAGGGAACAGACCGGGGAGCCAATTTGTTTGGAGTGAGGGGACGAAGCCAAGGATAGTAGAGACACCCAAAAACACGAAGATTAGTGATATCGGGAGCGCGGTGAAAAAGAAAATGAAATGGAGAATCATGGGCGAGAAGCGGAGTAGGCGTGCGATTGATGAGATAACAGGCTGTGTCGAAAGCAAGAGGCCAGTATTTCAAAGGAACATTGGAGTGATGGAGAAGAGCAAGACCATTATTAACGATATGCCGATGTTTACGTTCGGCGCAACCATTTTGTTCGGGAGTATAAGGGCATGAAGAGCGATGAGCAATGCCATTTTGAGCGAGATAAGAAGAGAGGGCTTGATATTCACCACGCCAATCGGATTGAAAAGTTTTGAGTGGGAGTCCAAAGAATTTTTCGACTAATTGCCTAAATTGAATAAACACATTTAGCAATTGGGATTTATAACGAACAAAATAAATCCACGAGAATTTGCTATAATGATCATAAAAAAGAATATAATAGGATTGCTCATCGTAAGACAAAATAGGCGCAGGACCCCATACATCACTACATACTAGTTCAAGAGGAGCCTGAGCCTGAAAAGTCGATGCAGAAAAAGGTAATTTGTGGATTTTACTGACGGCACAGCCATGACACAAAGAAGGAGAGGATGGTGCGAAATTTATTTTATTTTGATGAAGAACTTGCTTGACCGCACGTGCGTGAGCATGCCCAAGCCGACGATGCCAAGTATCAAACGAAGCCACACAAGCAATGGGGGAAAGTGGCCGAGAGATAGTGATGGGAAGGGAGTAAAGACCATCCACGGCAAATCCACGATGAATTTCACGCCCCGTGCTTCGATCCTTGATGAGAAAAAGAGAGTCAAAAAATTCAATTGATATAGGATTTGAACAAGTGAGAGAGCTAATTGAGAGAAGATTGTAGGGAGCACCATGCACATGCAGAATATTATCCAAAGAAATCGGAGTGTTGGATAGAGAAGTGGAGGATGAGCCAAATCGAGAGATGGGAAGAGATTTACCGTTGCCAAAAGTCACTTGATCAGTCCCATTGTACTCGGAATGATGAGCAAGGTTGTCCAATTCCGAGGTGAGATGATGATTCGTACCCGAGTCCAAAAGCCACTGATTAGAATCAAAAGATTGGACAGGAGAGGAGGAGACCATGGCGTGTGGGCCTGCAGGAGGGCGGTTAGGGCGGGTATGGGCTGGGTGAAATTGTTGGGTCGAGGGAGCATGTTGAATGGACAGTGGGCTGGGGCATTGGGTTTTCATGTGGCCCCTGCCTCCACAGTTATAACAAATTAACCCACCAGTGGGCCGAGGCCCAAGAACACCATGCGCTGGGCTGGACCTGCCAAAAGAGAAATCAGAAACAAATATAAGGTTAGAAGAACGACCGCCGCCTCGGCCAGAGCTGCGACCTCTGCCTCGGCCACCACGGCCGCGATATCCACCGGCGCTGGAGAAGAAGGCCGACGGCGCGGGAGAGGCAGAATGAGAAGCATATCTTTGGAGCTGAATTTCTTCACTGAGAAGCAGAGAATGAAGATTTTCGAAGCTGATGGGTTCCATCCTGGATTCGATATGACGCACGAAAGGTCGGTAGTCTTCACCCAGACCATCAAGAATCCAAGCGGTGAGATCGTCGTTTTTGACAGGGGAGCCCAGGGCCGCCAATTGATCTGCCTTGGTCTTGACGGTTTGAAGGTAATCATGAATGCTTGTGTCGCCACGACGGATGGTTTGAAGGGTCTTGGTGAGCTGCCGAATCTGGATTTGCGAACCGGAGGCATAGATCGTGGCCAGGGCTGTCCATGCTTCAAACGCGGTGATTTGTTGATGATGTTCGGCATAACTGATTCAGATAAGGAAAAATTGATCAGGGTAAGAACGTACTGATCTCTTTGGTACCAAGTCCAATAGGCTGGATTGGCTTGGCCATCAATAGATTGAGGAGGAGCAGAAAGCGAGCCGTCAACATGGCCCATCAGACAGTGACAACGGAGTAGTGGTGTTATTTGAGCATGCCAGAGGAGGTAGTTTGTGGGTGTAAGTTTGACACTGAGCTGGGGATTGGCAGGAAGGGAGATAGTGGAGAAAGTAGAGGACATAGAGACAGACTCGCCTGAAGCAGAGGAAGAAGAAATTGAGGATGATTCAGTGGCCATGGCGTGACCAGGAAACAAGAAGAAGATGAGCAGAGAAAAGAAGAAGAAGAACTTTGACTCGTTAGAGCTCAGGAAGGCTCTGATACCATAAAGACTCAAGACTTGTGTTTCTATTATTAACTCAATGAATATATAGAGCCATACAGCAGAGTGTGCAACGGAAGGCAAATAACAGAAGGAGTGAAAGCTGGAGAGAAAAGTGGAGCACAACGTTCCACTACTAACAGATAACAAGCTGCCTATAATGTAGGAAACAGGTACACTTCATCACGCCTTCCGTTGCATGCAGACATTGAGCATAGTCAAATGGCCAGATAACAAGAAAAATCTTCCTCGTAGAATTCCAATTCCTTGACACGCAAGAAACAGTCGCTATTCCCCGTACCCAACCATATATTGATGCTCCTTCCATTGCCTATAGACATAGAGCAGAGTCAAATGGCTAGATTCCGGAACAAGAAACTTCCCCCCTCGTAGAATGGCTCGCCTCAGCCCTCTCGTAAGGCTGGAAGAACATTGAGGGGACAGAGAGCATTGATACGATCGTAAAGAAACCTAATTTACAGGGGCGGAGCTACACAGGGCCTAAGGGGGGCCCCGGCCCCCCCCCCCCCCCCCCCCCCCCCCCCCCCCCCCCCCCCCCGAGAATTTCGAAAATCACGAAAGAATGTACGAGTATTCTGAAAATTACGAAGTAAATACAGATTTATAATAATGGTCGCGGGTTAAAAGGTATCTAAAGTAGCCGATTTCCCTAGTGGAGTTTATAGTGGTTTTGTATCAAACAGGTCAAGGGTTCAATCCTCACCTATGTTAGTTTTTCGGTTGGAGTTTTTTACAATTTTATAGCTTTAATGGAAAAAATTTCCCCGATAAGTTTAACAAGAATGTCAATCTAATTATTTGACAAAACATCTCGTACATTTTGATAATTTACACAATTAATTTATTTATATAGTTATATAATTATTTTGATTTTTTTCTTATTACGATAATATACGAATCATTTCCGGCCCCCCCAAACCCAAAATCCTAGCTCCGCCCCTGCTAATTTACGATTCAAAACCGCTCTCCCATCTAACAATCTTAGCTAGTGGAGGATCCAAAGGAAACTCAACCATTTTCTCCATCCTAATATCTTCCTCTTCCACCATTATGGCTTGAGTTTAAGTTTTATCATTGGGATGGTGCCATGGTGGTCACTGGTCAGGACAAGCAAGAAGAAGCGCCGGACGGATGAGCTATCAGAAGGAGAACGAAGGACGATAATGAAGTCGCAGATAAACCCGTTATTCGACAAGTTGATGAACGCCAAGCCCAAAAAGAAGCCCATGGTTTACGGGCTATAAGCAGCTACGGTCCTGGGCTAAAATTTTCGTGGGTTTTGCAGGCCCAAATCAATCTGGCAACATAATTTCATTTCAGGGCTTCAGGCAGCCATTGAAGCTCTCTCAACTGTCAAGTGTTCCTCTCTCGGGGAAGATGCCGGCGGGACGATTATCATCAATGGCTGCGACGCTCGCTTCGGCTCTTCCATGGCGGACTACGCCTCTATACTTCATAGGCGTCAAGCCTTCTCGACTTAATCGTGGAACCGCCATCTTCCACTCCAGAAAGCTGGCTCTCTCTTTCTGCTCCAACTCTGAGGTCGCTTCCGAGCTAACCATCCCTATTCCGGAGGAATTGCCGAAACGTGTAAGCTCGTTGGCTGGACTAGTCTGTAATTAGCTCAATCTCTTTGGAATTTGAAGCATTCAGAATCTAAAATGAACTTGGTGTACGGAAATGTGGCCTGCCGCGTTGATTGTTTCAGCAGAGTCCCCTGAGTCCTGGACTGTACTTGGTTGGAACGCCGATTGGAAATCTTGAAGATATAAGTTTCAGGTGTTGTTTTGAACTGACGAATTTGATGCTCCTTGGTTTCGATGTGCCTTAACTTCCTGTATTTTGAGCTGTTATTGAAGCTGGCTAAGTGAATTTAGCTTAGAGCTTGTGCTAACCTAATTGCAGGGCTATTCGTGTCTTGAAATCGGCTGATGTGATACTTTCGGAGGACACGAGGCATTCAGGAAAGCTGCTCCATTACTACAACATCAACACTCCTCTCGTGAGTTTGTTTCATAGATTGGTTTGCTTATAAAATTTTTGTGTGTTCTTAGAATTGTGGAATGGTCTTTCCCCAATTCTAATTGTGTGCTTTAGGTTTCCAGTTGAGCTACCACAAGTTCAACGAGTCGCAAAGAGAACAGACTGTGCTGAGGAGGCTAAAGCAAGGAGAAATCGTGGCACTGATCAGTGATGCGGGCATGCCAGGCATTAGTGATCCTGGCGCAGCTCTGGTAAAAACATTGTTAAGCTTAGAACTAGCTTAAACTCTTAGGTAAAGGGCTCTTTGAAAGTAATTAACTTGTGAATTCGGTGTGCGCTCGTTGTAACTGTGTAGGCAAAGTTGTGTGCGGATGAAAACATTCCTGTCATACCTATTCCCGGGCCTTGTGCTCTTGTAGCTGCTCTATCTGCCTCTGGCTTAAATACCGAGGAGTTTACATTTGGTAATCTACTCTTATTCTTCTGCTGAACACTTCCTTCCCCATGACGTGCATTATGCCAGCATTAGGATTCTGGATTGCTAAGCCATATAATATTTTGTAAATGCTGTTGCAGCTGGATTCCTCCCCAAGCATACTGGGTCCAGGAGAGAGAGATTAACAGCTTCAGCTAAGGAAGCAAGAACGCAAGTGTTTTATGTTCCACCACACAAGTTGTTGCAATTTCTCGAGGAGGCTTCATCTACATTTGGTGATTCGAGGTATCGTATGTTCTCTTTCAGTTTCATATAAGTTTTATGCGTCCATGATGACACAAATGGCATTAATATTCTGGTTTATCGTTGCTGTTCTTTCGCGAGGTGTAAACTTTACTTGACCATTAAGATATCGCAATTTTTTTCTTCCCAATTGAAGTTTGAACTGGATATATGATTTTGCAATATTTGTAAGCCAGAGCTAGGATGTCTTTGTTCATAGTGAAAATCTTGAATCACTTGCCGGGTTCTGACGGTGCATTTTCACTGCATTGCAGGCAGTGTGTCATAGGCAGAGAAATCACTAAATTACATGAAGAGGTGGGTTTTGTTTATGACTTCTAGCTGATAAGTTTCATAGACACTCATCATCATGCAAAGACAATGCTCTTACCGCGCTTACGTTTCTTGATCAAAATTTTATCAGTTCTGGCGCGGTACACTTGTGGAAGCAAAAGAAGCGTTTACGAATCGCGTAGCAAAGGGAGAGATAACTCTGCTGATCGAAGGCAACAGCAATGCCCCGGTAGAAACTCCTTCGGATACCCAACTTGAACACGAACTGGGGCTCTTGATCTCCCAGGGGCACAGCCTCTCCATGGTAAAGCTCCATTCTATGGCGCGATGAGTTGAGCTTTCAAAGCGTAAACTGAACGATTTGGATCGAGATTCCCTTAACGGGTTTCTTTGTTCTCGTTCGTTGTCTTGGAAGCATGGTTATCCCTCCCACTGACATGTTATCGTTTCAAACTTTCAGGCAGTCAAATTGGTAGCTGATGGATCGCCGGTGAAGAGGAAGACCATCTATTCTCTAGCCTTGCGGAAATTCGGAAAGCAAGAAGAAACAGAGGAATGAATGATTCGTCGAAAATTAAAAATTAAAAGCACATCTTAATTATGATCTGAGTTATGCTCCCTCTCTGTTTCTCCTCTTTCTAGTGTAATGTTTGTTTCCTTCATTTTGAGCAAGAGGTATATAACTTAAACTTGTAACATCCGTAGCTGCCCTGACTCCCGACTCCAGCCTTCGGAGGTTGGATAATCTAGCTCCGAACGAGAGTCGAGGCAGATCGATTCATTATGACGCGCGATTTGAGCACAAAAAAAAAAAAAAAACCATATACCATAACAGAAAAGAATCGAAGACATGCATCGTTTAAAACTCAACCATGAAACCTAAAAGCTTCAATAGAAGCCAACCACATCCCCATTCCAGGAGCAAAAGTACTACTACAACATTGTTCTTTCTCCCTGCTTAAACACTACCACGTCAGCATATTCCCTCCCTAATTAATAATAAACAATTAATTAATCAACTACTTCCCTTACAGCCTAACTTCCCCTCCATAGAAAAAAATATGTACAGAGAGATAAGAGATTGAGCAGATATTCCTACGTCAGTGATAAGATTGCGGTTGCAGCAGCAGAAGAAGCAGTACGTAACGTAACCCCTCAATCCAGCGGTGGCGTAAAGGGGAGAAAAACAGAATCGCACTGTGCAAAAACAAAAAGGAAGAAGCAGGGGTCTGTTACTCTGTTTTGCTTTTGTGCCGTCACCACGAAGCTTTCCCCTTTCTCACCAAAGAAGCAGCATCAGCAGAATCAGGTACGGGTTTGAATATACGCTGGCCAGTGGCCAGAATACGGCGAGGATCGAACGACGTCTTCCGCTGATTGAAACGGTCCCACTTCTCCTCCCCAAAGTGGGCCGCCCATTCCCGCTCCGTTGTGTAGTGAGGTAAGTACTGCTTCATTTTGATCCCCGACTCCTCGCAGAATCTCAGTATCTCACGGTTCTGATTGCTCAGATACTCCAGCGTCTTGCCGCTAGAGTCCTCCACCGCCGACCTCAGCAGCGCCACCAGGTAGAACACCTCCTCGTCTCCCTCCGGCGTCACCGCCGAGCTCCGGCCGTCCCACCTGGCAAAGATAATAAAAGCCACATCATAAATTCGGGGTTTCGAGCCACAAAGTCAAGAGAGCGGGTGATTGTCAAATTAATCCTAGCTGGACCCCTAATGCAAAATACATTATGTCATGCTACGAGTATTGTTATTATTGGATGAGAAAGAAGAGATCAAGTCTGCAGATGTAGTTGTTATGCACAGCAATTCGAGTGAGATAAGGATTAGCTCGTGTCAACAACACAAAGATGATGGACTGAAGTGGAAGCGGATACAAATTTGGAACTAGACTAATATTTTCACAATGCAACGTCGTTTTATCATTTTTTTTCATTTCTTTAATCTATTGAATACATATTCGTTATGTAATAACGAGTCCCACTTAGCCCCCGTGTCATGTGCGGGTTAATGGGATTCGAATGGTGGTTAATCATTGTTGATTAGCCGTTGAATGTCCTATATAAATCAAAAACCTTAAAGAGATGAGATAGCTTTTTTGCTGCTCTCAAGTCTCATCCACCCCAATAAGTCTCTCTTCCCCTTTACTTAGTTATGAAATTGCGACAGAATTATATTCCTTATCAAAATTGAAGAAATTAGGTATTTTTCGTATTAATATTAGAGTTTTTGGTTTTTCTGTTTCCTTTGTGTCTGTCTGGTCTTTTTCCATCTCTTTCCCTTTTGCATGTGGCCCACGTGTTCCCATAATTCTCCCCCCCTCCTATACTACGTGTCCTCCCATCGTCTCTGGACCACGGCGTCCTATTGCTAGCAAGTTCTAGTGGTGGGTTCTCCCTCAGAAAATAATTCTAGTTGTTTAGTTCTTTCTTGTATGCAATGAATTACAACAACAAAGGAGGAGAAGAAAGGCCCGTCGTGATCAAGCCAAAAGAACTGCTGTAGAAAGAAAAATGACCAATCGTGTAAAAGGACAGCCCAAAAAAAAAAAAAAGTAAATGGATAAGTAGATGATGAGGTTAAAAAAAGATTTACTGACGACATATAAACACACGTCAACTATATCTGAACCGAAGCTGTGCTTATGTCTATCAAAATATATATGCATGTGGAATCTAATCCTCTTAAAAAGGAGCAAAAGATGAGAGAGTATAAAGTGGGGCAATTAGGGCTCGAGAAATGACTTGCATGTTCCATGCATGCAACGCCATCATTGCCAAACCCGATAATAACAATAAAGGAAAAGAGTAATGTTGCTTTTAAATTGGAGTACTAATGTAATGATTGTAATTAACAGATGGACTTACTTGCTTTTGTTCATAGGGTAAATGAGGATGGGGCCGCTGGTCCTGTTGTTTCCCAAAATGCCCTTGAACACGCCCTTGTCGAAGTCGTCGATCCTCGACTTGGGGACGAAGAGGTTGAGCCAAGGGTGGGGGACCTCCCAGAGGTTCTTCGCCCTCAGCTTCAGCTCGACCTTGTGGACTCGGTCAAGGAAATCGACATAGGGCAGATCGGTCGTGAAAACCGACGCCGGTATGAAGTTGAGCTCCTTCATCAATGCCTCTATTTCCTGCGCGTGTTAATTAATTGTAATTGACAAGGTCAATATCAATTCAATAAAGTAGAAAATTTCAAACAAAAAAAAAAAAAAATTGGAAGTGCAGGGGAGGAAAAATAAAGGTGCTAGCTAGTTAGCCAGATTTGCTTTTGTCATGATAAAGCCGTATATATCTCTGATTCCCCGTATAAGTTTAGTTCAGAGGAAAAGGCGCAAAGCATGTAATTAATTGAAATCTTACAAGTAATTAATTGTATATAAATTACACAAGGGGAATAATTTTGGTGGGTAGCAAAAATAAGAAATGAAAAAGCACTGTTTACATCTTATAGAATCACATGATGATGGAACTATAGATTGCACAAGATCTTTGCAAATCTAATTTCTTTTTCATAATTAAATGGATGCTTTAATTAATTATTTATTTTGGAAGTATAATAATTATTAAATAATTGAGTTGTAATCCTCATCCTAGCTAGCATCATCATCATGGTGTAACCTAGCTAGGAGCATATAGCTGGTTTGCAACAAAAGCCCTGAGATCACGAAACTATGTTTCTGATGATGATCCCTTTTTTTTTTCTTCCTACTATTTATTAATCAACATTTAAAAAGTAGACCAATTAAAGGAGAACAAATAATAATAAAAAAAATTATAATGAATTAGTGGGATGGGTGATACGTACAAGATATTAATAATTCACAACAAATTCTTAACTTGAAGCCACTAATACTACCCACTTCCATTATGTAAGCTAGCTAAGCTCTAGGGACGTATTGCTATCACTTTTACTTACATGTACACACAAACTCCTTTAGCATATGCCATTAATTAACCAATGAGTTAGCTACCTAGCTAGCTAGCTAGGTTTTCGTGTACCAATAATTCAAAGTTAGGTGAAAGAATATTTTTTACCTGGTCGACAGTATCAGCAGTCGACTCGCGGTAGTTCTTGGTGACTTCAAGGCAGTAGAGGACCCCTCCGTCGGTGTCGAGGGATGAGATTTTGACCGGGTTGCGAGGGGAGAAGAAGGAGGACCTCCAGTTGTTGATCAGCCCTTCGTCCACGATCACAAACCCTTCCACGTAGTCGAACTTGCTCCGACCGTCTCCCTGCAGGGAGATCAGATGCTCCTGGTCCCTCGTAAACGTGGAGAAGCTGGAGTACAGAACCCTGATCCAACGCACCTGCACATACGCAATTAGGTCATCGTACCAATTCAGCATCAATTATGCAAATAGTAGTACACTACTAAACATGGAGGAGGGGGGGCTAGCTAGGAAAGAAAAGGATGTGTCAACAACATTTGCCAGCTTTAGAACAACCATTTGAATGTGTAGAGAGATTTGCAAATATACTCTCTCTATGGACCAAACCCCAAAAAATCAACCCCATTCTCCAGCCGTCCTACACAATATTTTCTCAAGTGGCAGCATGTTGGGGGCCCATATCGATCATCAATTAACGTTTGTTTGTTTGTTTGTTTGTTTGAACGGTTCGTTGTTGTCTTTCAGAGTTTGTTTGTTTTTTTGCTTTGGTCATTAGCTAAATACTAGGAAAGTGTTTGTTTCCCACACACTAGCCAATTAAATTTGACTAGTCGTCCTATATGGGAATATTTGGAATTCTAATTTGGAATGGAGCTAACCATAAATCGATCCTAACCCCAATTAATTATATGGTAGTTAGAGCGAGATATAGAGAGAAGAGTTTAGTTTTTTTTTTTCGTCGTAACGTTCCGACGTACCCTTTGGGGAGCCGGTTCGACCGCGATTCGAGCCCGAGTAATTATCCCAAACTGCCCTAACCCACCCAGCACCGCGTGGAACAGCTCCTGGTTCTCTTCTTCCGAACACTTCACCATCTCCCCTTTACCTGCCAAAATATTACCGATGACGTGGTCATGTGGATTTATTAGCTTACTCAACGTGACGTTACATTAAAATAAAAAAGATTAATATCAAGGAGGAGAAGAAAAAAAACATGCAATAATAATAAGTTAATTAAGCGAACCTGTAACGACATCGAGCTCGTGAACATTGCTAATCTGCGGGCCGTGGTTGAAAGCCTGTCCGCTAATCCCGGCATTGGACAGCGTCCCGCCGACCGACAGGTACAAGTAGTCCGTCCACGACCTCGGCGCCAGCCCGTGTTCCAGACACGCCCTTAGCACGTCGATCCACAGCTCGCCTCCCCACGCGTCCACGTACTTCATCTCCTCCGACACCTTGGGCCGCGGCGGCCCATCCCCCTTCCTCCTCCCTTCTTCCAGCCTGCTCATCTCGATCACCACCCCGCCGGCGGTGTTCGCCTGCCCGTTGATGGAGTGCCCGTGTCCCCTGGCGGACACGGGGAATCCCTGCTGGTACGCCGCTCTGATCAGCTGAGCTACGTCCCCGTCGGAAGTTGGGTGGAAGACTGCCGCCGGCTCGACTACTGGAGACCCTCCTACACGTAGCATCCCGAAGTCGGAGGAGGCTCTCGCGAGGTCGGAGGGATTGGTGCTGAGCTGGAAGTCGTTGCCGCCGTCGAAGTCGAAGTCGAGGACGGTCGGTCCTACGACGGTTACGATGAGGCGGCAGCACATGATGACAACTAAGAGGAGCTTGGCCGTGGACATCTCGAAAGTGATGGTGGTGGTGAAGAGAGAATTGTTGTGGTGGCGGTGGACGGTGGTGGTGCTCTACATGCAGAGAGAAAAGAGAGAGAGGGAAGTGAAGGGTTTGAAGATAACGAGGAAGATCGGGGGAGCAGAGATATATAACGTATCTTCTGGTTTGTTTTAGTGCATGATGAGTTGAACGGACTTTTTTTCTTTCTTCTTTCTCTTTGCTTTTTTTTTTTTTACTTTCTGCTGCAGCTTCTGCGGGGTGGTGGCTTTGGAGTTCTGAATTTTTGATTTGGTGTGTAGGGGGGGATATTTTATTACTATATGCACAAAGTTGGTTCTTGATTTATAGGACAGAGGGGGGAAAAGAGAAGAGGCAGCAGAAGAGGGAATGGGGAGACACGTGCGAGGAGGGGAAAGACACGTGTGGGGGGAGAGGGGAGCCATGCCTTGTTCTGGGCTAAGCCATACCTGTTGTTTGGATGTAAAGAGTCATTAGAAGGGTGGAAATGATGAATATGAGTAATTAGTAATGGTTAAGACAGGCACCCTATCGTAATGGTTGGTCAGATCGAAAATATAGTTGAATAATTACGGTTTTAGTATGAATAATTTATTATTATTGACTTTTTGACATTTAACCGCTTCTGGTACGCGGTTTCACAATCTTTGATAATTAGTTGCATGTCGCTGGTTTTTGTGTGGATGGAATTTTTTTTGTGTTGGACTAGCAAGTAGGGGATCTGATACAGGTGTGTATCGATTAAACTACTTAACAAACCTATTATGGTACTAGTACTTGATTTTGAATAGTTTGGTAAATATGTTGGCTTGTCGACATAAAGAGTAAGGAATTGGACATGCTGTAGTTGATCACATACTTAAATATACCACTTGAAACTTAATTGTCAAAATTTTTAAATTTGAATCAAACTATAAGTTTGGTTTGTAGGCCATATCATATATATATGACCTCAGACCTAGTGAATATAGTTTGGTAAGACTGGTATAATGCACTCGACATTTTGGTGTATTAAGGTGATTTTTGGACACTCAATCCTCAAATGGTCTTGCAAAACTGAATATGGAATTGATAATTAAGGAATTTGTATGATCAAGGTGGTAAGTACGTATCAACGACGTAATCATGTCGAAATTTTGATGAACAGTTTGTTATCAAATCAATCGAAAAATCTGCTAAACAACATCCTAATGCTCTACAATATTAAAAAAAAACAAAATTATACAAAATTCAGCCTAACAAATGACAAGAAAAAAAATATCGAATCACATATATTTGACCTGGTTAGTTATACATGTAATTAATGATTAGCTTCTTATGTAAGATGAAACGAAACCGACGATATAGATAGTGAAAATGTACCGGAAAGACGTGATCTAACGGCCACATCGTCAAGAATGTACTGTTTTTAGAAGAGTTGTTTTAAAAGAGTTCTATTGAAGAATGGATCTTGTTAAACTCATGCCCTAAACAAGATTTAAGAACCTGATACACTGCCCACAACTCTGCTGGTCACTATACCATAGTACCTCTCTCTCTCTCTCTCTCTCTCTCTCTAAGTTGGCTGGCTGGCTGTATATGGAATCAGGAAAATGGAATAAAGAGAGACATATGGTACAAGCAAGAAGGCGATAGGAGGAGGGGATCGAGTACTGTAGCGTTGGCCCACAATTTGGATACGGAGGATCTTCGTGGGGACGTGAGCAATAGACAAAGGGACTTCACGTGGGCTAGTGAAGGACGTCGTCGATGATCGATAGGGATCCTCTGCTCTGCTCTGCAGGACGACGAAGACGACGACGAAGAAACCCAAAACCAACGATGATCCATGTTGGTTGTTGTTATATGTACGTTTTTTTGGCGCTGCCTTTTGCCTTTGCCTTCACCCAATCACAATATCAAAAGACCCTCTCTACTACACTCATCATTTCTCGTCCTCACTCGCACAACACACACAGTCGACCCGTTGCTATCACACCTTTTTCCCACTCAGACATTGATAATTACTTCTCGTCGTGAAAAAAAAAAAAAAGAAAAAAGAGTATCATTAGGACTTTGAATTAATGTTACATAACTTAACATTGATTAACTTTTGTTCTAAGCATGATCAGCAAGAGCTAGCTATATAGCTCGTCGGCTCACAATCACAATCAAGTAAGATTTCCAGGAGCGATATTAAGTAGGAGCGACAATAGGGCAGGTGGGGTGAGTAATTCGATATATATATATATGTCCATGACAGGTTGGGTCTAGATCATCGGGTATTTTGTCATGAGGCACGAGTCGCGGGGATGTTGGTTCTTCATTAAAAAAATAGAGAAGCATTGATAAACCAGAAAGCAGTATCGGAATAGCAGAAAAAGAAAACGACACACAGATTTAACGTGGTATCCCTGGAAATCCCAGGACTAATCCACAGAAGAGAACTGGCTCTTCAAGCACTCAAGATCACTATCAGATTGTCGTTGTTGTTGTACAGAGAAGTGGCGGCACTCTCACACTATATACACGAAGGTTAGGTTTCCACAGATCACCTCCTAACCGTGCATGGGCTTGCATGGATAATGGCCCAGACTATAATTACTAACATAATGTAATACAATGAATGGGCCACGAAAATAAACAAAGCGAAACCCAGCCCTGTTCCGCTAATAGCCTCCCCCAAATTGATGCCGGAAACCGAGCATAAATTTGCTACTGAGAAACCAATGACGACCGGTGGGGAAGGATTTTGTCAGAAGATCAGCAACCTGGTCCTCCGTGCGGATGTAGTGAAGGCGTAGCGTCTCATCACGGACTAAGTCACGAACATAGTGTATATGAATCTCCATATGCTTCGTGCGATCATGGAGAACTGGGTTGACAACAATGCGAATGGCACTCGTATTATCAACAAACAACTCCATAGGACCAGGGCAGTGAACACCAAGATCCTGTAAAAGACGGCGTACCCATTCAAGCTCAGAAGTAACCTCAGACATGGCCCAATACTCAGCTTCAGTGGAAGATTTAAAAGCGTCCCCAAATTGGACGCACCAGCCGGACGTCGAGCGGCGAGTATCGGGGCACCCTGCAAAGTCAGAATCGGAGAAAGCACGAAGAGAGGAAGCACCGCCCGATGGGAAGAAGATTCCAACTTCCTTAGTCCCCTGCAAGTAACGGAGAATCCGATGCACAGCAGTAAGATGATCACGACAAGGAGATGACATAAATTGACTAACCACTTGGACGACATAGGAGATGTCGGGACAAGTGGCTGACAAATAGATAAGGCTCTCGACGATGCTCCTATACTGCTTTCCATCCAACAGGCGATCTCCAGAGTCGCGGCGGAGTTTCAAATTTAACTCCATAGGGGTGGAGACAGGATGGCAATTCTCGAACTGATGGTCTGCTAGAAGATCCATGATATACTTTTGTTGATTAAGAAGAATCCCACGTGAGGTGAGAGTAACCTCCAGTCCCAGGAAATAAGAAAGGTCACCCAAATCCTTGATGCTAAAGGCAGATTGTAAACCTGCTTTGAGACGCTGAATGCCTGTAGTATCGGAGCCAGTGATCACCATATCATCAACATATAATAAGAGAATGATGATACCTTGAGGAGATGACCAGGTGAACAACGATGGATCGTTTAAACTCTGACGGAGGCCAAGCCGCTGTAGAGTGGCATGGAATTTGTCAAACCAGGCACATGGTGCCTGTTTGAGTCCATACAGAGACCGATGCAACCAACAAACCTAACCAGGAGAGCCAACATTGTAACCAGGGGTCTTCTCCATGTAGATCACTTCATCCAAATCCCCATGAAGAAAGGCATTTTTGACGTCCATCTGTAGGAGTTTCCAATTCTGTTGGGCAGCAACAACAAGCAAAGTGCAAACAGAGGACATCTTAGCAACGGGGGCACATGTTTCATGGTAATCAATCCCATATTCTTGAGTATAACCCAGAGCAACAACTCGAGCCTTGAAGCGTTCAATGTTACCATCAGGAAGCATTTTAATATTGTAGATCCATTTGCTGCCAATCACAGGAACCTCAGGAGGAGGACGATCAACGACTGTCCACGTTTGATTTGCATGTAAAGCATCTATCTCACAATCCATGGCATGCCCCCATCGAGGATCGGCAAGGGCTTGTTTGTAGGGGTGGGAAACGGTTTGATCCAGTTAAACCGGACCAGATTAACCCGATTTTTTTGAAGTCGTATTGACCAAAGCTGCAACTGGAAATTGGATTGGATGGAGACCCAGTTTCAACCATGACCGGACTGGGTTGGATCCGGTCCGGTTTCAACAAAAAAACTGGATATTTTCTTTACCCAAAAAACACCACCGTTTAATCCCTCTTCTCTCCCAAAACCAAAAAAGCAAGCATCCCCACCCCACAATTGCCAAATCTCTCTCTCCCTCCCTCTGTCTCTGTTTCTCTCCCCTCTCACATTGAAAGAGTTCTCTCCCCTCTCACCCACCGACGCAACCATCGCCACCATCCCCGCATCTTCCTTGTCGTCGCAGTCGCCATCGTCGCCATCCCCGAATCATCGTTGCCATCGCCTCGTCTTCCCTCTCTGTTATCTCCCCTTTCACTTGTTCTTTCTTCGTTGTTGACTTGTTGTTGTTGCATGTTTCGATCTGGGCAAGATCGAGACTGAGGGTGCAGATCGAAGGCGGTCTCAAATCAAATGGTGAGACTGAGAAGAGAGAGGGACCAGATCAGGTGCGATTGAGATGTCGCCGCCAGTTTTAAAGCCGTTTTGAGATGTCGCCGTCGCCATCGTTTAACCGGGTTGCATGTGCGGAGAGACGCTCCTCAAGGGCTGGGTTGAGATGTCGTCGCCTCCGACTGAGTCTTCATCGGCCAGAGACTGATGCGGACGGAGGGAGAGCAGAGCGAACGAGGATTGAAGAAGAGAGAACGAGAAGAAGAGAGTAAGCGGCGCTGTGGCAGAATGGAGGTGATAGGTTTGTTAGGGTTTTGCAGGCTCTGGGCCCTGGGGGTGTTTTGCGGGCTGAGGGATCTGGGCCCTGGGGATGTTTTGTGGGCTGTGAGTTGCGGGCTCTGGGCTATTAGACAGTCACCCGATTTCCGGTTAAAACCGGACCAAATTGGACCGCGACCGGGCCGGTATTTTACTCATAAGCTCCGACCGCAAACTGGATTGGGTAAGCTGCTATTCGGTTTCCGGTTAAAACCGGGACGGTTTAAATTGGACGGTTTCCGGTTTGACCAGAAAACCGGGACCGGATTTCCAGCCCTACTTGTTTGTAGCGAGTAGGGATAGGGATATTCTCAATAGCATGGGCGCAGTAGTCTTGAAAGTGAGGTGGAGGAATGCCCTGTGTCGAACGATGGGAGCGGCGGAGCTCAGGAGGAGCTGGTGGAGACGGAGGCGGAGTGGCCGGTGCTGAGTCGGAGCTGGAAGTGGAAGGTGAGGCCGAGCCCGCGGGCGATGGAGGACTGGAAGGCGGATGTGGAGAGGCAGCAGCAAGAGTATCATCATCACCAGGAGAATCTTCATCATCAAAGAAGGTAGGAGGGAAAAGACTCGAAGAAGGAAAAAACGAAGAAGAGGTTGGACTAGACTCAAAAAACGGAAGATGTTCAAAAAATACGACCGAGCACGCAATACGAACACGTTGTACTGAAGGATCATAACATAAGTAACCCTAATGTACATCACTGTATCCCAGAAATGCACACTTAGCTGTTTTGGATGTTAGTTTAGTGTGCTCCCTTTTTGGAAGGAGAACAAAACACAAGCACCCAAAAAACGCGAAGGCGGGAGTAATCAGGGTGCCGAGAGTACAGTGCGTAGTAAGGGCTATTATATTTGAGAAGAGGAGTGATCTGGAAATTGATTAGGCAAACTGTTGTTGCTACAACTTCTGGCAAAAAACGCCCAGGGACATTAGTGGCAAGAAGCATAGCTCTAGTAAGTTCCATGACATGCCTATTCTTTCTTTCCACTAGACCATTTTGTTGGGAGACACCAGGACAGGATTTTTGACTTAGAATGCCACGAGAACGATAAACATCACAAGAGGAAAGGAACTAAATTCTCCACCAGGATCGGACCGGATTATCCTAACAGTACGACCGAATCGAGTATGGATCATATTTAAAAATTCGATGGCCACCTCCCTAAGATCAGATTTAAGACGAAGAAAATAAATCCAAGTAAACCGAGTGGCATGATCGATAAACAAAGCAAAATATTTATACCCATGGCGAGACGTGACAGGAATAGGACCCCATAGATCAGTGTGAACGATATGGAAAGGCTCAGTAATAACAGTAGCACTAGAAAGAAAAGATGAACTGACAGTTTTGGCTTATACACAACTAGTGCAAGAGTGTTTAGCAGATAAATCAACATAATGTTTTTCGAGGAGAGACTGTTTAAACATCAAAGATAGATGACTAGAGTGGGGATGCCCCAAACGAGCATGCCAGAGATCCCACTGGTTATTAGAAAGACTTGAAAACACTGACTTAGACTGTAACGAACAAGAATTACTGGAAAACTGGGAAATTTGTTTTTGACGAGAAGAACTAGAGGTGTCTCCGAGCTCCTCCAGATGAAAGATCCTGTCGTGCTTACTCCCCCTGATCCCCCTTCCGATCAGCCTCCCGTCTTCAAATCCTGTATAACACATCCCGTCGGGGCAAACATGACAGAACATCCTTGCTCAGTAAGCTGACCAACATAAACTAAGTTGGGAACAAGCTTGGGAACATACAATGTCTCAGGTAAGTTAATTAATTTGCTGTTGATATTCCCTATAGCCTGAACTGCAAGTTTGTCTCCGCTAGCTACCGTAAGGGACATATTCTGAACCGACCGAATCTTGTTCAAATCATTTGCACTACGTCTCATATGATTAAAACAGGCGGAGTCAATTAGCCAAGGTTTGGGGAGTTTATTACCTGATCCAGGCATGGTTGCAAAGGCAGCATTAATTGCCGTGGGAAGAGATTTTTGAAGGGCCGCATTCACAAGATCTTCAACAGCAGTTGCGGTGAGAGTAAAGCTGCTACTAGCTTCTGCTGCATAAGCACCGCGAACTCCACTCCTTGGGCCAGTAAAATCACGCCCAACGGGATACATTCCCCCTCCATTTGATCTATTTCCAGGGCCATAAAAGGGACGTTCGCCAGCAGCAGTGGGTTCGGCATAAGGACCACCATTCCTTTGAGCATTTCGCTCTCTCGATCGGCATTCTAAGACTATATGCCCCATCAGCTTACAGTATAGGCAATAATTGCGTTGGCGGCAATGTTTTACGAGATGACCCCTCTCGTGACAATGATGACACTTTAGTGTGGAAGCAGGAACCCTTTGCTGAAACTGAGGGCGAACTATAGCATAGGCCGATGAACGAGAGCTGTTTTGGATCCCGCCAATAGTAGCAGCAACAGCGATAATAGCTTCTCCCTCTCCTGGACGAATATCAAGTTGTGCTTGAGTTCGAAGACGTGTTTCTTCACGTACCAGAAGTCCCAGCACCCCATCAAAACTCAGGTTCTCACGGTTTAGCAAGGTTGAGCGCACGGTCTCGAATTTGGGACGAAATCGCATCAAGAACTGGAGGATTCAAACTTGTTGGCGTTCGTCTATAGCATCAGAAGACTCAGCAACATGAGGTCGCAAGACAGCCGACAGAAGATCTTGCTCTGTCCAGATCTCTTGCGCTGCATTGAAGTATTCTGTGACGCTCTTATCCCCTTGTTCCAAACGAGCCAAAGCACATTGGATTTCAAACTGGTGGGAAGCATTCACGGTGGAGTAGAGATCGGAGAGATGACGCCACATGCGATTCGCGGTGGGAAACAAACGCAGACTTAGACAGGTGGAAGCATCAATAGATCCCAGCAGCAGTGATCTGACTCTAGCATCGTTCTGACTCCAAGTTGCAATCTCTTGGACTGAGGCAGCTCCTTCGGTAGGCTTTGGACTCGTTCCGAGCAATATACCAAGCAATCCCTTGCCTTCAACAAAGACTCGGAATTGGAATTCCCATAGGGCATAATTCGTTGATGTGAGACGTACAAGAGATCGCTCAGATTCGATGGCCTCTAATACCATGTTGATAAACCGGAAAGCAGTATCGGAATCGCAGAAACAGAAAACGGCACACAAATTTAACGTGGTATCCCTGGAAATCCCAGGACTAATCCACGGAAGAGAACTGGCTCTTCAAGCACTCGGGATCACTATCAGATTGTCGTTGTTGTTGTACAGAGAAGTGGCGGCACTCTCACACTATATACACGAAGGTTAGGTTTCCACAGATCACCTCCTAACCGTGCATGGGCTTGCATGGATAATGGCCCAGACTATAATTACTAACATAACGTAATACAATGAATGGGCCACGAAAATAAACAAAGCAAAACCCAGCCCTTTTCCGCTAATAACATAACTTAACATTGATTAACTTTTGTTCTAAGCATGATCAGCAAGAGCTAGCTATATAGCTCGTCGGCTCACAATCACAATAAAGTAAGATTTCCAGGAGCAATTTTAAGTAGGAGCGACAATGGGGCAGGTGGGGGTGAGTAATTCGATATATATATATATATATATATATATATATATAAAATAAATAATCGATCTTCGACACAGAATGGCTAATCTCTTCTTGAGTACTTAACCAAGCCCCCGCGGGTGCGCGGGTTGAAAAGAGAAGGAGCTCACTTTCTCTCTTTTTCTTTCAAATACAAATAAAAAAACTCATTGGTGCCAAGCGTGAGGGAATGCTAAATGTTTGGTAATTTTTTCCCCGGCCAGGATAAAAGATCTCATTGAAGCGGCTAATCCTCAATAACATATTTTGGTTCAGGCATTTGTTCATATAATCTCACTAACGAAGGAGCCATTTTCATGCGAGGCTTTCAAATGCATGGTAAGAAAGCTCCGGGGAGTTCAATCCTTTAGGAAGCCATTTCAGGTAATGAGAACGGCTGCATTTAGCCGGTGGTGATCTCACTTTCCCGGGAATTCACCCCAGTCGAAGGCCCCACCGTGGTATGCGCCAATAAGACCACCAAAAGCCTAGGGGCTAATAAAATAATTTATTTTGGCTTTTTGACCCCATATTGTAGGGTGGATCTCGAAAGATATGAAAGACCTCCCTCCAAGCCGTACATACGACTTTCGTCGAATACGGCTTTCCACATAATTGTATATGTATCTATAAGATCGAGTATGGAATTCTGTTTACTCACTTTAAATTGAGTATCTGTTTCCCTCCTTTTCCTGCTAGGATTGGAAATAAATTGAAAAATATCGGACTAGTACAAATTTTAACATAAGGCTTCAACATGTTTTTATTTTCTGAAAAAGAATAACAAATAGGCTTGGTAAATTGCTCAACAAATATGTATATCCTACTAGACAGTAGTTCACGAACTGATCGCATATGGATTTCTAACCTTGTTATTGATGTAACTCAAAGTTGAAAAGACTCTTTCAACACTTGTTGTGTAACCATAAAATCAATTCAAATTAAGGGTAGCCCGTAATTTGTTTAATTGTTAGGTTTTGGAAATAGTTGGGGATAAGGAATAACATTTTACTATGATGTAGTGTTTAAAATAGAACAACAAATGAGTTGCAACTTAATGGAGGACAATGTTTAAATAATATAGTATATCCTAAATTTGAATAACACAGATTATCGCTTATTTTTTTTAAGTATACGCAAACTACTACTGAGGATAGGATTATCGTTGTAAGGGTGTCCCGAATCACTAATTATAATTTTTTTTATCCATACAAAACTATTACCGGGAGTTGAATAATCGTATTCCCAAATTTTAGGGATGTCCCGGGACACCCCTAAACCCTCATGTATCCGCCCCTGGGTCTAGATCATCGGCTATTTTGTCATGAGGCACGAGTCGCGGGGATGTTGGTTCTTCATTAAAAAAATAGAGAAGCATACTATGACACTACCATTGTAGTTAAATTATTCACGAAATTGAGGTTCTCGTCTATTTATAACTTTATTGTAGCTAAAATATGATGTAAAGAAAGTAAAATTATAAATATTTTGAGTAAAATTACATATAATTTAGAAAAAATGAGTCAAGAATGGAGTGGTTAGGGCGGGTGATGTCGAGCGAAGTAACCATGCCCGCACCAAGTCGCCTCACCTACAGGGCGAGTATTACTTGCTCTAGAACAGGTCAAATAGATCGAGTAAAATGGGTCATGACGAAATTGTCATCTCTAATGATATATGTGTCATGGTTCAGCTTATGTGGCCAGTCGGTCTCCCGAGTGATATATGTACATACCTATATGTTTCGTAGTGGAACCTTCAAAAATATTGATTTGACTGGATGCACCTCTGACTTATGGAGAGCAATGCAATGTTGGTACGGTCCACACCTCTTCTAACAAGGATTTTTTAGTTTTGGGAATCTACTTTAACTTAGAACTAATCCAATGAAGATTCCTCTAGAGAGCTCCGTGACTAAGACTACAACTACACCTATGGATAATCCTTCATGGAAGGAGAGTTGTCCACCTTTTTCCACTCTTCGTTGGAGCTTGGAAACTTGTCATGCTACAACTGCTATGAACCCACGCATCACCGTCCTTCGAGTGCAACTGACGTGAACACAATTGCATCATTGAAATAGGATCGATGTTATTCTCTTACAAAACACATTACAGGAACAACCTTGTGGCTAACCCATCAAAATGGTGGCCAAGGAATCTTGCGGCATGGTTGCACTCGCGATACCGTTGATCTTGTGATATGGATAAATTGTGTTGTTTATCTCACGATATTATTTTAGGTAAACAACCTCGTTGCTTACCTCCACGATATTGTCGAACTTGCCACATTGCTGAACTTGTGGCGTTGTTTACCACCACAATGTTGTTGGTAACTAACCCAAAATAAATTGGAGTAAGAAACTCCTACAACCCAATACATACTTATTGTAATTAATTTGGGTTGGGGGCCCGCTATGTCAAAAGATTTAAAAACCTGATCTCTCTCTCTTTCCTTTTACGTCCTCATGTCACTCTTTTAAAGCCAATTGAATGCTACTTAGCTACCTATCAACACAGGATCAAACTGCAAATATGTTGAAAAAGGCCGTAGGCACAAGTCGTCATTGATTTTTGACAAACAAATTGATGTTGCGCAAGTATCGAATTTGAGGGTGGGTGCTAGATTTACGCTTGTATTTAGTTTAGGTACCTTTATGTATTTTTACTCTTTATACGTAAAGTGCTAGGCTAAGCCATAGCTAGGGTTTCATGAAGTATATATATGTATACCGATTATAACCTAACATACCGTTTGGTAGGGGTGGGAAACGGTCCGGTCCGGTTAAATTGGACCAGATTAACCCGGGTTTTTAAAACCGTTTTGACCAATATCACAACCGAAGACGGGATTGGGTGAGTACCCGGTTTTGACCGTGACCGGACTAGATGGAATCCTGTCCGATCCGGTTTCAACAAAAACCGAATGTAACTGTTTTCTCCAAAAAAACGCTACCGTTTAGAATAAAATCGAACGAAACAAAAAATAAAAATCCCTCTTTCCCAAATCCCACCTCTCACCCGCAATGCACGGACCCACTTCATCTCTTCGCGATTCTTCTCTCTCTGTCTCTTCGCGATTTTTATGGATTTCAAAATTTTCGGTTAGCGATTCTTCTCCATAGAATTCAAAATTTAGAATTAAAAATGAATTCTTTTAAATACCAAACACAAAAAAAATTTCATTTCAAAACGAATTCCGTAAAATTTATGGAATTCATATATACCAAACGCTATGTAAGTATCTAAGCTGAATAACAGACCGTTTGGTACCAAATGAGTCGAGAATTCATTGTCAAATGAAATCCTATGTTTGGTATGTTATATTCAAATCTTTAGAAATAAAATGAAGTGTCGTGTAGAATTCATTGTCAAATGAATTATTATGTTTGGTATGTCATATGTATAAGTAATTTAGTTAATAAAAGAAGGTAATTATGACATTCTATTATAATTAGTAAATACTTGTGGAATTCATTTGGAAATTCAATCTCAATTCCTCAGAATTGCTATAACTAGTTCCAATTCCATAGAATTCAAAATTTAGAATTGAAGATTAATTCTTTTTAATACCAAACACAAAACATTTCGTTTCAAAATAAATTTCTCAAAACTTATGAAATGCATTTATACCAAACCGTATGTGTAAGAATCAATTGGAGAACTCTGTTTCTTCAGTGTGCTAGTCTTGATATTCAACGAAACCACGAAAAATTCAGTGTTCATGTTCTTTTTTTTCTATTTATGTCTCATAAACACCCCCTCGTGGCTCCGAACCGAGTTTTCATGCTTAGGCTTGTCAAGAACCAGTTGATACCAATAACTCGAGTTGTTGAGAGAGGTTCAATAATTATTCTTATCCCACTTACTAACACACCCCCTCAAACGAAAACCAGTCAACTCATAAGGAATTTCACTTGCACATGGCCTGAATACGAGAATATCATGTGCTTCACAAATGGGGTCCTCGAGATTCGAACACAAGTCCTTTCGGTCAAATAAGGCTCTGATACCATGTCAAGAACCATTTGATCTCAATAACTCGAGTCTTTGCTACCTTCAGTAAAAGAGATTCAATAATGGATCTTATCTCGCTTACTAACAAGACTAGGCTAGCTATTAATTGGGCATCTCTTCCCCTCGATGAAGAGAGAGAGAGCAACCTCTATAAACTTGAATTCCTCATTTAGGTTTGATTAATGTTAAATTAATTCATCATTGACAGATCTCTTGCAGATATTATTCAAGTATACATCATAGAGAGCAATAAAAAGGCCAATTCTAGAAGTAGGAAAACCTTACGTTATGAATTAGAACTCATTTCTTTATATCGATCAACGTCTACCCATGACTCGTTGTTAGTTACATATAATTAGAACGATTGAGACGTCAAATTTGATGTGCAATATTGGTCAAGTCCTGTACGAATCTGAATGAAATCGGGAAGATGAGTTACTATATATAAAAATTGAGTTGTTCATTATTGGTCATGCATAATGTGGGTTAATAATATAATGATCCAATTGCTAGCTAGTTTAGGGATAAGGTCGTAATCATTGGATAATTGAGCTATGGAATAAAAACAAAAGGAACAAGGCCAGCAATCAATTTTGAATTCCAGAATTGTCAGCAAAATCTAGGGCACAGATTGCAGTTTGGCTACTTCTTTGTAACAGCATATTATTATAATACAATGGGCCGTCTGTGGTTTTTTGGTGACTAACAAGGTTTTTTATTTCTTTTTCTCTATTGCTACATTAATTGGTGATGGGAATAAATATCTTTTGATGTTCCCAAGTTGTGAAGCTTGTTTGGTGATTGATATGATGAGAATCACAAGTGATCAACAAAATGTTAATGAATTTGTAGTTTAATGGTACCATAATAGCAGATTAACGACCTCTTTTTTATGAATGAACCAATTTTATATATTCACCGAGAAATAAAGAACCATCTACTACTGAATAGAATGATCAAACAAAAATATGAAAGTACACAAATGGGCTAAAAAGAAGCATCATGTCACAAAACTCAACCAACAAAAGCTATCAATCCTCTTACAAAAGATGATGATTATACGAAACAAACTATGCACAAGTGATTGTGCAAAAATCTACAATACCAGACCGTATCATCTCCTTGGTAGAGACCATGTTTCCTTCATCGAGCATAACTCTCCTGCCTAAGCAAAGATATTATACATCATCATATTATACATCATCGACGCTCTATCTAAAATTCTATCTCGAAACTTCATGTTGTTTCTCTCGAGCCAAATGAACCAACAATCAACATACAAGCCAATTGTTGCATGATTATCATGACAAGTTATACCTTTTCCAAGCAACAATAGAACCCTTAACTCCAAACAAAATCAAACCGACCCAATAGTGTTTTATTTGTCCACCTTCATTTTCCAGGACCAATCTCTATCTACTCAAATTCATTGATTATTGACCGATCTCATTTTCTGCCCTAAAATTTCTACACGGTTCATTATATGTATTGTTAAATTAGGTTTATAATTAGGTTTAAAATTTGTTGAACCAAGATAAATATAAATATCAGGCGTTTGCTAATCATTATAAGAGGTTACATGTCGTAAAATTATGTATTAATTAACTTCTCTACTCTTAATAACAAATATTGTAAATTAGCTGACCAAGCCACAACCAAATCGACCCAAACACTAATGAAATCTAATCTCACAAAAACTATTCTATTTCACCACAAAATGCATCTTCTCGATTTAGATTGGTTTTTAACTTATGAACTATGAATCTCTCACGTGCTTTGTCAATATGTGATTCGCCTAATGTGTTACATACACCCCCTTTGGAACTCAACGTCCTCGTTGAGGTTTGCGCTACCATCGTTTAAGAGGGACGCAAAGAGGTTCTGATACCACTTGTAACATCTTGTACCTTTTGCCGACAAGATATTGTCGGCTTGGGTTTAGACCCTCGCGAATTTTGTCTCTGGGTGCATATCAAGGTGACTTCCAATAAGGTCACCCATCTTTGTAGTGCTACACAATGAGCACGTTTAACTTCGGAGTTCTCATAATAACTATTATATTTCACCCCAAAACACGTCTTGTTAGTTAAGATCGGTCTCTTACTTAAGAACTATGGATCTCTCTCGTGTTTTGTCGATGTAGAATTCGCCTAAAATTTTGCATATGGTACCTACATTGAGGATTTTGGAAAGGTTTGTTAAGACAGGTCAAATTCGACCTAATTGACCCATGTTCACCTCTATATTGTATATTTTTCGGTGCTTCTTATCAAGGTTAGACAACGATTCAATCCATATCGGAAAGAAAAAAAATATTCCAGTTGAGAATAAAAATGGAATCATATTATATTGACTTTATTTTTATTTATATAAATAATAAAAATGTACATTAACATGTATATAGCATTAATTTGATTCTTCACTCATATTAAGAGTTTAAAATAATCCTATGTGATTCAATTGATCTGATATATACATGAATATGATGATTAGTTAACAGGAGAGGCTTAAATAAAAATTGGATTAAAAATTGATAAAGAGGCAAAATTTTGAGATAGAGTTTCACCTATGTGATTATTATTATTTTTTCCCCAAAACTACCCAAAACAATTATAAGCATCAGTTTAAATGATACCAATGAAGGGTGGAGATGTGGATTGAAATGTTGACAACCCTTTATATCTCCTTTTTAAGAAGAAACAAAAAGATGACCAAATAACGTGATGATAATTGATGGATAAAAACCGGTCAAATGTATGAGTCATTGGAGTTTTAAAGCCATTAAATTATGACCTACAAATGTAGTAATGAAACGAACCTTTTGTCTTTTTTACTTTGTTTCATTTTTTATGTTCAATTTTATCAATTTGGTGGTGACAGATATGTAGTGGCTAAGTTATTTGTTTTTATTAATTTTTATTGTATATATTCTATCTGCATTTTTATTTGTTAAAGATAACGAGACCAATTTCCTTTTGTCGCTTCTATCATGATATTTCTAACTCATTTGTCATTGATCTCATAGCTCTTCATGATGCTCCCCCCTTAGTATTTGCGTCATCCATTTTCTTTGTTTTTGTGGTGATGTGCAGGTGGTCAGTTAGATGATCACGCGTTGGAAACTATCTTGCAAAACTGTAAGCATAACAAAATTGTACATATATATCGTGACAAATCAAGTTCTCTCATCGTGAGATCGACTTCTAGTCAAATGCCATCTAGCCGAACGATGTCTTTTCCTTATTTATATTTCGTAACTCAACGTATAAAGGTTTTGTATATTTATCATATCTGACTGCTTTCCCTCTAGAATATCTTTGGAGGAAAAAAAGTGACACACAAAGCCGTTATGGAATTCATGGGACCTTTCCCGTGCACTATTGACTCCCTGATACGAGGATGGCCGCCAATCAAGCTTTCACCGTGGAATGACTGGTTCAACAACAGATTTATTCATGCCTTTTGCTGTGAAATTTGGAAAGAGAGGAACGCCAGAACGTTTAAGGACGAAGCCATGACGTGGAGAGCAGTCGTTCGAAAGATCGGGAATAACCTCCTGAAGTGGAGTTCCGCCCATGGTGCTGTGAGTTCCCATGATGGTCTCATTTGGCTTCACTCGATTTATCATGCCTGCCATTTGATTCAGCCGCTGGAAGAGAGCTGAGATAAAGAGAGCTGTGCTTTTTTGTCTTTCCCAGCTCCTCTGTTTACGCCTGCTTCGTTCTTTAGCAACCTTCTTTCTTCTCTATTTTAGTTGGTTTTGTTGTTTTTCTGCTTCTTCCTGCCCATGTCTTGATCGCTTCTTGTGATCTGAATGGTGCTTTCTTGCTTCTTGTACTCTTCTCTTTTAGTTTGATTCTAATATATTCACCCTTATAAAAAAAAAGAGCTAAGCTTAACAAAGTCCATTCTCTTCACTAGTTGGTAATTGAGAAAAGTTGTCGTCCATCAGACAGTGGGAAATTAGGTCTGGATGATTACAGTGTAACAACCGGAAAATGTGCGGGTCCCGAGTAATTAAGCCTTGATTGGTCAATCCTTAACTAACTAGTTTAGCTTAATTGGTCATCAACGTAACTTGTATTTTAGTCTTAAATTATCCTTTAGTAATTAATTAATTAGATATTGGCTCTCAAAAGTTAGTTAAGATCGATGAATTCATCGTATCAATGCTCTGATTGGGTGTGAACAGAACAAGAAAGTCATACTGAGGGGAGACTGGGAAGTCAATGCCCTGCCCCCATCTTTATAATGGCTTCCAAGTTGTTTATGTGACTTAGTAGTCAAAATCTGTGCAAAAGGGAAGAAAACACGAGGGAAAATGTTGCAAAACAAGGAGTTAATGCGTTCGGTCAGGAGCCTAACATTTATTTTTGGGCGGTTCGGTAGTGGAATAATGCATGTCTTTACAGTTGTTCTTTTAGGTACAAAAGAAGTTCTTGTTTAAGATTTTGTTTTCGACGAGATCGTATCTTAGTATTGTTTGGCTTTCACAAGCTAGATGGTCCTTGTTGTCTTCCAACCGTTAAGTAGACAAAAATTTCTACTGAATATAAACAGGGTCGTCCATTAGCATGTGTCGGCCTGCACTACAACACAGTGTCTCTATTATTATATTACAGGGAAAAAATTACGTGAGAGGTTAGAGGCCACGAGTTTCCGAGAATTTTACAATTTAATCAATATAACGTGTAGCCAGTGGCGGATACATGGCTCTTTGAGGGTGTTCCGGGATACTCCTAAATTTTGAGAGCACGATTATTCAACCCTGTTAGTATTTTGCATATTGGTGTAAAAATATATTTAAGTGATAGTGGGACACTCTTAAAATTTGGGAAAATGATTATCCAACCCCCAGCAGTAGTTTGCGTATGTGTAAATAAAAACGTTTAAGTGGTAGCTTATATGATTTGAACTTGGGTCGCTGCTTTTAAATCCAAATATACTAGTAAAAAACTATTCCTAATTCACAATTACTTTAAAAGCTAACGATTAAACTCAATTACTGACTCTCCTTGTTTGGTAGGATATATCGAGAGAGATTTGTAGAGCATTATTAGACACAAATTTTACAATTTTTTCAGAATACGAAACACATCATTGTGCTTTGTTGTATTTTGTACAAGTTAGATATTTTCTATTTAATAATTAATTTAATTAAATTTTTAGATGAGGACACCCCCTATCTAAAATTTATGGATCCGCTACCGCATGTAACATATAGATAAAATATCAGTTTGCCTTTATCTATTGGTAAACATGTTAGATAATTAATATGCATATTCGGTCATGGTTTCATCAATCCTCACTTATTTGTTTTTCCATTTTTTACACATCTATTTATTTAACTAAGCTTGACTAACATGTACGTTCAGTCCACCACTTTAATATTTTGATATTTTCTAATTCTTAAATTTCAAGTTTGTCCCTTTAACTCACATTATATGAATGCTCATTTATTTAATTTAACTTTACTGAAATATTAGTTTAGTCTCTCAACTTTGATATTTTGATCGTTTTTGTTTTTGAACATCAAGTGTCTCAATTTAGCTCCCATTACAATAAAATTTATAGTTTTTTTAGAACAGTTTGTGAATGAATAATTGTAAATTTAGACTTCAAACATTCTATGAATCAATTCAATTCCGGCAACACAAAAGTTTATGTTTTATAATACAATTTTGAATTGAGTAATTAAAAATTAATTTTATTCAATATTCAAAAAAAGATTCAGGATCTTATTTATGAAACAGGGCCTCCGATATCGATTGGATGACCCTGCATATAAACAAAGACAAGTAAGATCTACAAAATACTATAAGGCAATGTCAATATATTGATATTGCTACGTCAGTCCATCCTGATTAATCCGCACAGTGCGGAGGGACCAATTCGTCATTTCGTAACCCTCCTCTCTCTTTCGCTCTGTACCTCAACCCGCTCTTGAAAAACACAGCTGCTCCCCAAAATCTTCCTCCGCCGTCGTTGCATTCCCTTTCTCCGCCCCGCCGCTTCCGTCTTCCTTCGTTCCATCCATCCTTTCCTGCCGCTGCAACCTCAATCGATAGTATTCCACATATGGGAAATCCCCTCCACCACCGCTTGCCCTTCCCTTTCCCTCTGACCACTTCTTTCTCCCTTCCTTCAATTATACTCAACAGTCAAAGTTGCCAGTGAGCTCAATTGGTTTTCTCCTTCTCGAGCTTTCTAACGATCATACGTTGTGTGATTTAGTAAGGTCAGTTGTATTTCAATTTCAAGTCTTGATTTTTCTACACCAGCATCTTGGTGTTGGGTTTAAGAACGTTTAAGTTTGAGTTACAATTATTCTTTCTCCCCTTATTCATTTGGCACTCAAAGGAGACTACCGATGATGATGATCATCTCCGATGAATTAAATGATCATCCAACCCCCAAATATACTTTATTCATTCATCATCCTTTTGAAATAGAACAATGATTTTCGAATGATATTTGGACTTATGCCTTTTGTTTTAAGTAGTTGGGCTAATACCACTACAACACCCGAACTATGCGGAAAATGCCACTTGTGTCCTATTATTTCCAATATTCCATCTGTGTCCTGAACTATTATTCTGTTAGTGTTGACCGTTAGTATTTGACAGAAAATCCAGTCATCGTTGACGTGGCATCTGACGTGGAATTTTTATCATCAATTTTCATTTATTTTTTCATATAAAATAATTAAAATAAGAAAAAAATTTATGGAAAATTACAAAAATAAAACAATAACTCAAATGATTTTTTACCAACGTCTGGCTTCTTCTTCTTTCTGTTTCTCCGACCAAATCTTTTCGGATCGCCATAAGAGAGGATAGCAGCAGGCGCTTGTGCGGGAGGAAATCCACCAGATCGAGGTCGGGGATCTTGCGAAGACGTTGGTGATTCGAAGACACCGAAGTTGACGAGGATAAAAGCGAGGTCGCCGCTGTTCACGAGGATGCTCGGAAAAAAACTATTTCAGATATGTCTGGTTTTTTTATTTTTTTTCCAGGGAAAGAAGAGATCGAAGGAGGAGGGTTCTTGTTCATCGATTAGGGTAGTAGGATTTTGGGTTCTTGAAAATCCCCACCCACCCCCAATCTGTAATGATGATTCAGAGTACCGATGATGGCAGATCTGTTCCTGCCGGCGGCAACAGAGGAATAGGTCAATGATTGCGCCGACCCTAGATTCACCACCACAATCGTCCGGCGGAAGCTGGAGGAAGATTTCGGGGTGGATTTGTCCGATAAGAAGGGTTTCGTCAGGGAGCAGGTCGACCTGTTCCTGGAATCGCAGTTCGAGGAGCAGGCAGTCGATGTCGCAAGCGGCAATGAAGACAAAGGAGAAGGGAGCGCCGCAGATGATGGAAATCGGAGGGGAACGAGGGCGATGAAGTGGAGGAAGACAAGGAGGAGGAAGTAGAAGAAGCAATGAGAAGATCGAGTAAGCGGAAGACTCGAGAAGACTCGACCCAAAGGCAGGTTTGTTCAAGATTGAATTCTTTTGGCGATGAATTGACGGGTTTCGTTTCTTTTCCTCTGCATTATTAGGTTGCTGGAAAGAACTTGTTTCCATGGTGGTGTTGTGGATTGGTTTAATTCTATTGGTTAGAGATGGTTCTTTGATGGTGAATGAGTGGGGCATGGTTCGGGTTGTATTGATTATTTTTTTTAATTTATTTATAAATTAATTGTTTATTAAATATGATGTGGCAATGACGTGGCATCAATTTGTCTGCCACGTCGACCACAATCTGACGTCGTTTTGAAAATCGTTTGGTCAACTGTTATCTTTAACGGTCAACGAAATTGTCAGGATACAAATGGAACAAAGTATCATAGTTCAGGTCACATCTGGAATATTGGAAACAATAGGACACAAGTGGCATTTTCCGCATAGTTCGGGTGTTGTAGTGGTATTAGCCCTAAGTAGTTTAATAAAGGCTTCCCTAACCCAGCTAAGATTTTGGGTTCAACTGTTACCAAAATTGTGAAGTACTTTTTACCTTTCGAGAAGCACTTTTTACCTTTCGATTAGTAAACTGAGAAGAATATATGTGAAGTTACATATGGCATGAATAAATTTGTATCATTAAGTCACATGTTCTCTGCCAATATATCTAGCATCACGAATTCAACAATATAAATGGAACTACACTATCAATACCAAGGTCCCCTATACCATATATCATAATTCAAAATCATTTTCATATATATATATATATATATATATATATATATATATATATTTATGCCTCTGAGCATTTGAAACAAAAAAATTCAAACACGATGATTGAAATTCATATAAGAAAACAAGGTACACACAGCTTCAGACACAGTGCGTATTTCCTATTACACTGTTTTTGCTTCTTTGGCATACCATCTTTATCTGCTGCAGTTGGTCTTGCCATTGATTTTGAAGAATCAAGCTTCTTGCAAAAGGAAATCGTTTCATTAGCTAAAGAATTAGAATGTTGTTTCCTTTCACTAACTTTCCAGTCTATTTTATGGTTGATTGTATTAGTCCTGATGAGGTATTCAATTAATTCAATTGTTGTGGTGATATAACATTCATCATATTGTAGCTTTTTATCATTAAAATGCATTTTAAATTCCACTGTAGTACTGCGTGATCATTTGTCATTTGCAAGTATATATTACAAATGTTGTCAAATTGTGATGCCCAAGATAACGCAAGCATTTATCTGTTCGAGACTTTTAATTCCCTTTCCATGAGCTTCTTACTTTTTCTCTTATTTCCTTCTTCCAGTTTGCTTATGTCAATAATAATCGTTGTCACAATCTGATTATTAAAATTCTTTGCTGGAATTTTGTAATAGTTGGTTCTTATTAGAGCCTTGCTGACATACACATGGTTTAAGTAGTTTCCGATTGATGATGCACATTAGGGATGAAATCTTTTGCTGCAAATTTATGTGACTTATGTGATGAGTTGTCTGAATAATAATGTATATCTTAAACTTCATAATGCTTTATTTTAAAAAAGAGTTTTCTAAAACCTTCCTCCATAGTTACTTTGTCTTTCTCCTTAAATTGGGATTTTAAATTTTTATTTACTATCTCAAAGTGTGGTCTTTTGATCTTTTCTGTAAGAACCAGGAGCAATATGCAAGCCTCTGGTGTTGTAATATCTTTAGAAGTCAAGCAGTTAATCCCTTTGCAACAGATAAATGAGCCATCAAATATATCATATTCAACAAGTCAATTCTCTAACAAGTCAGCTTTTATCTCAGAGTAGCTTTCCAGACTTCTCATGACAACGGCGTGCGAGAGGAATCATATTCGATTGTAAACCCAAGTCTTGAACATCTTCGAGTAAGTACCTTAAAGAAGCAAAAACAAAATTATGCATCTCTGACATTAATGTTGTGTGATTATTGTTTAGAGAAGGTCTAGCTTATAAATATTGTTTTAGTATTCGGTTTTCTTTGTTTTTGTCTTTCCGGTTTCGATCCGGAAGCTTTGCTTTTCTCCGATTTCATTTTGGATTGTTGTATCGCATTTCTTTTCTTTTTTCTGTAATTAATAAAAAGTATATATCATCATTATAAAAAAAATATATTGTTTTAGTATTGTGCTTCTCATCTATGGGATGTTAGTAAGTTGTTTGCTTTTCATTTAGGTTGTAAACAACTTCAAATTATATGTTTTGCATTATCGTTCTCCAGGTACAATTGGAATTTTATGTTGTAAATGACATGTATTTGTGTTTATTCAGTCTATTTAAAAAAAAAAAGAATGACACCAATTGCTTACTTTCATGTAATTTATTGGTGTTTAGTTTCATACCAAAGCAAAAAGTTTCGCACAATAGTTATTCAGTGTGAGAACGACTGACAACACCGCTTTAGTTTATTAGTTTAGTCATGTACCCATACAAAAGCAAAAGAGTATGACCACATCTTAGTTTAATTAGTTCCATATAATTGTAAAAAAATGTTTAATACTATATACGGTTTCCAATGCAGTAGTAGCCAATAGGCTTGGCCTGTTTAGCTCGATTTTGTACCTTTTTTGGTCTATCATCAAAACTCGACCGGCCAACGGGCCGGAGCCAATGCTAGTTCCAACTAGAGGAAAAGGGATGGATGACCATATCTGGCTGGCTAGGATTTTTATCATCATTAGCTTATGAAGACTTTTTTTTTTCGGTGAGAAGCTTATGAAGACTTAATTAAGTGGTTTTAATTTTACATTGTGGTTAGGTGCTTCCCCAATAACATTTTACTTGTGCAAAAGTTTCTTTTTGGTCGGTCTTTTTTTTCCGCTTTACACCCTATACTTGTGCAAAAGGACCACGCAGAGATTCCACTCTTAACTTGTTCCTTAAAGAAAGGGGAACTAACAAACATTGCAACGTTACGTTGTTGGATGTCTTTCTTGTATAAAGAAATCTTTCTCGGTTTATATGGGTAATACCTTTTTCCTTTTCTTATACGACGATATACATGGATTATGAAATATGTTTAATGCAGTCATGAAGAACTAGATAAATAGCAATCTGGATGATACTACTGATAATCAACACATATATGCGGTCATGAAAAAGCTAAATAAATAGCAATTTGAATGGTTCTACTATTAGTCAACACATAGAGCCATCGGAGAAGCTCATGTGTGATGCCCAAGTCTGCCAACAAGTGCCAGAGGCAAACATGTTAAGACCCGACATTCGACATCGATCGATACTCAACCTTAATTATAGAGACTTGGTACCTTTTCTTGGTTCTGAAGTCACTAATAAGTAACAAATGCATCACCAAACACACACACATCAGCCATTATTAGAACGACCGGTGTCAACACACGGGCTTCATAATCAAAATCAACGTAAGCTCGTGCTCTTTGAGATCCATCAAGGTCATCATCGATCCACTAGACTTTCTTATTGAATCTAGATAGTTTCTAAACAGTTTAACTATAAGCGTTACCTATGCATTTGCTTAATTATTGCTTCTGGATCGGCTGTCTTTCTCTCCTACATTTGACCAAACTTCCCCATCGCCATCAATCATCGTGCTTAGTTGTCTAAAAAGGATAGGTTTAAATCACTAACAAGAGGAGAACACATCAAATTAGCTAGCTGGCTAGCTAGGGCCACAGCCAGCCTAATACATCAGTATTTTAATTTGTTAGCCAAGTGCTGCAAAAGTCTTGATGATGATTATATATAATCGATTAATTAGTGGATACCAATGCTAGCTAACACTCATCAGCCCATTTTCGGTAAGAATTAATACATTTTGGCAACTTGAAAAATGACTTTAGATACGATCAGTCACATCCTCCTTGCAACTGTCCTACGTTGCTAGCTGTTACTTCTGAGTGGATTGATCATAGAACATCAATTTGGATTATGGGCCATGGAGGATCTTCCCCACTTTTCCAACCTTAGATCTTAAAGTCCATATTATGGTTGAATTTTGGCTCTATATAATTCATTTAGAGAGCAAAAGATATAGTGACCTTACATAGAAAGTCATTTGGATATTGGACTTGAGAGACGGATTTGAAGATGAGGAATCTGACGATGTATACCATGAAGACATGATATGGAAACACATCGACCCAACCTCCCAGCTATACTAGTTGAAAAGATTTCGTTGCTTCCCTATTATATATATAATCACTATTTACCAACACCAAAATGTAAGCTTTATCATATAGCTAAATATTTATAAACTAAGGGTGGAGGTTTCCTAGGAATACAAACAACTTTGGGTTTTCCCCAGATTTGGAGAGCTTCGGGAATAACTTGTGAATTACAACTCTAGTGTATCACAATTGAAGCATTGGCATTTGCAACCTTAATCCTTTCTGGTGGTTGGTTCCGTTGTCACAAAGTCAGGTTAAGTTCAAAATTGTTTATTTTGTGAAATATTCCAATCACACCCAAAAATACAAAAAAAAAAAAAACCAATGGGTGAGCATATTTTCATGTATAAAATAAGGGTGTGCAAAAGTAGAAGCTAGTGAGTGCATGATTGGTCAATAAAATGGAAGGAAATTGAAATGTGGCTATGGAATATTGTAGTGCATGTGTCCAATATATCAAATATGTGTAGGGCACAGGAATAAAATCTAACACAAAATCTCTCCACCCGTATAATTATGAGTGGGAGAGGGGAGAAGGGAGGAGGAGAGGATCCATATATATCATAATGATGGAAGGAAAATAATTAAATTGGAAATTTGGAACAGTCTGGAAATGAAATATTGTGGTGCATATATATATATGGGTATGTGTCATTATATTTATAATAATTATTGTGTGGCAATTGGCATGTAACTTAATATATGGTCCCATCCCTACATCTCCAAGATTCCATTTGCATGCCCATTTTCATGCTTATAATAAAAAGCCAAGGACATGGACATCCAATGCTATATAACTTCTAGTGGTTTAATTAAATACTATTGGCTATGCATGATACATAATACATGTAGAATATTCATCACATTTGATGAGTATTATTCATATACAAAGGAGATCTCATCTATTTTCGTAGAAGAAACTGGTGCATACATAAATTTTAGGGTTGTTTGGGTGAGGATTTTGTTAAGTGAAGAATTTGAGGCCAAATAACTCATTGAAAAGCTCAAGAAATTAAAACAAATAACTCGATCAATGCAGTCACGCAGATAGTGTTGCGGATTATAGCGTCGCCAGAGAAGAGGAAGGTCGGGCTCCAATTTTGAGGGCAGAGGGTGGTGTGGTGACGATGCAGGAACACCACAAGTACTGGTGGTGTGGTGACAATGAAAGAAGTGAATAGGAGGCGCAGTGTTTGGAAGAAAAGAAATAATAGTGGGGGATTTCGAAATAATTAATGGGCTCAACTATTTTGAAATCTTACACTTGTATGTTTTTCAAAAATACTCTTAGTTAAAATTTCTCATTTTTTCAATTATTTCAAATATAGAATTGTGACAAAATCCGAAAAAATGAAAGATTGTGACAAAAGCCTGCACCATAATCCTCCATACTCGCCCCTAGAAGATTTGTGCAGAAAGATCTTATCACACTACTTCAACCTAGGGTAGACTGAACTTTGAACTTCTCTTGGAGAAAAAGGAAGACCGCGCGATTAATCTTGTGAAGCAAGTAATAGAAATAGAAGCCCAATAAAAACTAGAAGTGACTCATTTATTTGTATAATATTTACTAAGAGATAAAGATAATAAGATAAATTTCAAATACAACAGGTAAAGTGCAATAACATACTCACTCTAAATCTTATGTTAGAGAGGGTGAGGATAATAATCAGCCACCATTCAAAACTAGTTATAGACTAGCTACCAAGGTTGTCAACCCGCGGGTCAACCCGCGGGTTGACCCACTTTAACTCTGACCCGGTGAGAAAAACGGGCCGCACGCACCCGCCGGGTCGATCGCTACAAGGTATTGGATTGGAGGTCAAATTGTGTCATTTTTTCTTTGATTTGCGAAATGCGCCTATTTTCCGATTTTTCTTTTCGCCTAACTCTATCTTTGGAATCCTAAGTTAAACATTTGAATATATATGTTATATAAGTGTGTGTAAATTTTCAATATATGTTGGATCTAAGTACGACATGTTATTTTGGTGGAATATTATATGTAATAACTCATATGTTAGATGAGATTTGATATAATTTATCAGGATAAGTACAATATAATGACTATTTCCATATTTTTCGAGCTAAACCGGGTGACCCATTAACCCTTGACCCACTAGCTCCACCAGGTCTGGGTCAACCCACGGGTTGACAACCTTACTAGCTACTCAATAATATTATAGTTTTTCTATATATGAAAACTATTTGGTAATAATTATCTATAGCAATATAGTAAACACTATTGTTTTCTCTTGTATACAATATACACATATATGTTAAAATCCCAAAAAACAGAACCCACAATTATACTGGCCATTGAAATGGAAGCGTGCGATGAAGATTCTCTTGTGTACGACATACATTAAATTATAATAGCATCATTCACCATTAAGAAAAAAGAGTGAGATATCGTCACTTCCCTTTTAAGAGTTGTGAGATGCACTACACACCTCTCAGCCACTAGCTTTATTATCTCTCCTTTTTTTGAATGGATGGAGAAGATTAATCAAGTGGTATTTTTCGATGAAAAAAATAACCACACCAGATCTCTCTCCCCTAATAACTCTACATATTTCTCTCCTCTCTTTTCCTCTAACCCTAACAGATCCATCTTCTTTCTCTCTCCTTCTAACTTGAACGGAGCAGACATCCTCCTCTCATCGTTCTGCCGCCACCACCATCCCCTCCTCCTATCGGTGACGTCCTCTCGTCGCCACAGCTTCACGCCGTCGCTCCCCCTTCCCTCTCCTTAACTCCTCCGCCCAGCAACCATCGCCGTCTTTGCCCCCTCCACAACCCTCTCGCGCCCCCACCATACCTTATCGTGCCCTCTGTCTCCCCCTTCCTCCACCTCCCACCACCACCGCCACGAGGTCCCCGTCGCAAGGTCATAGCCTCCCCTTTTCCTCATCCTTTTTTCCAAGATATGTGTTTTTTAGATTACAAATCTGTTTTTGTGTGTGTGTGTGTTAGGCTCTAGTGGTAGTTATTTTCAAATGGTACTATACCAGTGGTGGTACTAGTGCTACCACTACTCACTGGTAGTGGTAGTGTATCACTATCAGTGGTAGCGTACCACTATCACTGGTAGTGCTACCACTACTCACTGGTAGTGGTAGTGTACCACTATCACACTAATGAAGTGGTAATTTTTTGCAGGTGGTCGGAGCGGTATGACTCAAGGATTTCACTGGAGAAAGTTTGTCGGTCAGTGGAGTGGCTGTTGAAAAAGGAAGAGAGAAATATATTTTTGGTAGGATTTAAATTTAAAAATAAAACAATGTATTTAATATGAATTTTAAATTCCCAAAATGTAATTAATATAGAAATTAAAGTAATTAATAAGATTCTTTATTGGACTACCCAAATTACCCTGAGTTGTCAAACTCACAACCCTTGAGTGAAGTGTAATATGCAAGTATTGCATATTATATATCATGAATGGTTCAATCAACGGTTTGTAACGATTAACCACTGAACCATAAACCACCAACTTTTCTGATTCAATTTACTGTTCGATTCTGAAAACAGAGGAAGTGACGCTATCTCACACCAAGAAAAAACCATATATACGACTATACGAGACACCTAACAAAAATGAAGTGCATAAACATCTAATCAATACAAAAGTATCGAATCGAAATCTTGCCCAATTTGAAACAGATCTTATTTATTGATTCTGTTTTTGTCTCTCTCTCCCAAACTGGTTTCTCCTTTGCCGTAAATGCACTACATGTTTACGCATACGTACATAATTTCTGAAAAAAGAGTCGACAAGCATGCGTACACGTTTGTTATTGCTCCTTCGATCGCATGAGCCAACTCTTATCTCTTAACCTGATCAAATTCTTGGAAATTAACTTCGTCTGGCTAACAAATCGAATATGATAACCTGAACTATAATATTAAAAGAAAATGATCAGTCGCTCTGAGACATAATTAAGAGAGTTGGGTGATTATTATGATGTAAGTTTGGTAGCTCAATAAAAGGGGCCGATATGCAAATTAAAACAAGGTTTTTGAGATAATATTATAGCTTTCGTTTGTTCAATGAAATATAGTGCATTCCAAATGATAAGAACTATGAAATCAACAACATAACACCAGATTTACGTGGTTTCCTTGAGAATCAGGACTAGTACACGGGAGAGCTAGAACTCTTCAGAGTCAATATTATTCACGTTACTTTCACCGTACAGCCGAAGAGAGTATATATACATATGGGAGCTGGGTTTATTAACCCTAATACGACTTAGTTAGGGACTTAAGGATAATTACATAAAGCCTCCCAAACTAAGGACATTAGTGATTTTCAACACCTCCCTCAAATTGATGAGGCTTACGCAACATCAATTTATTATATAAATACCAATGTTTACTGGATCCCATATCCTTTGTCAACAGATCTACAGTCTGATCTTCTGTTGACAGATAGCGAAGCTCAATAACTCCCTCTGTCACAAGTTGTCTGATGTAGTGAACATGCGTCTCAATGTGCTTCGTTCTATCATGCAACACCGGACTGGTCGCAATCCTTATTGCGCTCGTGTTGTCCCTAAATAGACGCATAGGCGTACCACATTCAACTCCCAAATCTCCTAGAAGACGTTGTAGCCATACAAGTTCAGAACTGACCTTAGACATAGATCTATACTCGGCCTCTGTCGAGGATTTCGAGACCCGATCCTGCTTCTTACACCTCCATGATATGAATGACCGCCCAAGACGAACACACCACCCAGATGTGGATCTCCGTGTATCAAGACATCCCGCAAAATACGCATCTGCAAAGGCTTCCAAAGTAAAATCCCCCTCTCTAGGGAAAAAGAGTCGCACATCCTGCGTACCTTGTAGATATCTCAAGATGCGATGAACCGCATCCAAGTGCATAGTACGTGCTATACCCAGGAATTGACAGACGACCTGGACTGCATATGCTATGTCCGGCCGCGTGGAACTGAGATACTGGAGCGACCCCACCACAGTCCTGTAGTGTGCCTGATCATCTAGCAAGTCTCCACTACTCCTGCTTAACTTAAGATTCTGCTCCATAGGTGTAGGACATGGCTAACAGTTATCAAACTGGTACTCAGCTAATAGATCTCGAATATACTTCCTTTGGCTTATGAGAATGCCATGATCAGTCCGCTCAATTTCCAGGCCTAGGAAGTATGAGACCTTGCCAAGCTCCTTGAGTTTAAAGGCCACATGAAGTGTCGCAGTGAGATCTCGTATCCCTTCCTGATCATTTCCTGAAACAATCATATCATCCACATACAGTAAATGTATCATAATCCCATGTAATGTGTTTCTCAGGAATAGTGAGGGATCGTTCTGACTCTGCACAAAGGCAGCTTGAACAATCATACTGTGAAACTTTTCAAACCAAGCTCTTGGTGCCTGCTTGAGACCATACAGAGATCGCTTCAACCTGCAGACTGTGTTAGCATCTCCTATGGTGTAGCCAGGTGGTCGAGGCATATAAATTGTCTCCTTAAGATCTCCGTGAAGAAATGCGTTCTTCACATCAAACTGGACCAGAGGCCAGCCCTTCATTGTTGCCGTTGCAATCACACATCTTACAGTCTGGATTTTGGCT